ACCGCACGGAGAATCGAGCCCGGCTACCTCTCTTACCAGACATCGTTTGTCGCTGAATAAAATTCCCTGGAGTGCCCATTTGAATAACAGCAAAAGCTGTGTCGCCTCACCTAAATAGAGAGTGTATTCAACAGTTGGTTGCATAACGAACTTGTGGCGTTACTCCCAAGGTTTCGGTGTTGCGTAATGGAGCGTTTAACCTAAACGCTCACGTAACTCACTGTGGTTTGGCTCGCTAGCGCCGTGGCCTCGGAGGATCGAAGCGAGGTGGAACAACCACCTGAACATGTCCCACCGCTGGACAAAGGCCTCTGTGCAGACGCCCCACTGCGGATCGACGATTTAACATATCTTCGAAACATTTTTTGTTGTTATTTCGAAAATGTGCACACACGATTTTATCTTTTTTTTTTTAAGTGAAAAGTTTGCCAAGTGAGCAGACGGTTCACCTGATGTTAAGTGAATACCGCCGCCCATGGACATCCGCTACACCCGAGGGTTGCAGATGCGTTGGCAGCCTTTTGAAAATTGGGCTCCGGCTACCTCACTCACCGGACGCAACGCGAAAGTATTATACTTCCTCTTCACGCCGGTCTTCTGAGAGGTCGTGGTACTTACGCGGACGAGCCTGCCCATTCGTGCAACAGCCGAGGCCGCTGCGTGGCCTTACCACCGTAAATCTTGCACCGCTGAGCACGTGATAGGCCAGCACTTCAATTGCTGGTGGGACGTGAACTCAGTTTACTCGTGCATATCGAATTGAACGCGAGCAAGCACACTGAGCAATAACGAAGTGAAGCGGTTGTAAGTATATATGTATGGGGACATCCCCTAACCTTTCTTTACCTACCTACGTACCTTTATATAAAAGTGGCAACGCATCTGCAACCCTTCGGGTGTTGCAACGGACGGCGGTTGTCAATTAACATCAAGTGAGCCGCCAGCTCGTTTGCCGCCTTCTCACATAAAAAAATATATAGTATACAGCGTGTCGTTACCATCGCGACCATAAATGAACACACGTCTAACGCTACTTGCCAATAATCATAAAAAAATATTAACGTTAAACAAAATCCAAAATTAAAAAAAAAATATTTTTCAAACAAAGTAATTAAGTAAAAAAGAAACAAAATTTGTAACATCCTATACAACTCGCGCCACAGCGTCGTATTACAAGCCTCTCCTTCTAACAGTATGTTTTGTCTCTTTTAAATTCATTCAACGCATTCATATGCTTTGTGACCTTTACAAATGAACTTTACATTACGCTTTGATAGGTGAGGGTGTTCTAAAATTCTTTGTTTGGAAAATTTAATAACTCTGTAAATATTGATGTTTAAAGAATGTAAATGCTTAATACAATTTTAAAAAGTTATCCCCTATATAAGTGTTCATTTATTGTCGCTAATGTAAAGACACGCGTATATGCGCTTACGTAATCGTGTTGTTACAAGATTAGTTTCAAATGCAGTCAGGCTTCCCGACCTTGACAATACACTTGATGCAATAACGTGAGGTTTTAATGGCATCAGTAGCTTGCGTAAAGTCGTGTATCGATACTACCCTGGAGCATCTTACGTAAAGCATTGAACGGTTATGTAGTACCCTACCATATGTTAATACCTCCAATCGAAATCACATCTTAAAAAAGTCGCGCCTTTACTTGGTTAATGCTATTAATGTTATATCACCACATAGTACAAAACAAAGTCGTCCCGCTGTCTGTCTGTCCCTATGTATGCTTAGATCTTTAAAACTACGCAACGGATCTTGATGTGGTTTTTTTACTAGATAAAGTGATTCAAGAGGAAGGTTTATGTTTATAATGCATTGCACCCGTGCGGAGCCGGGGCGATTACGATCATTTACACACTTATTTTTTTTACTTTTTTTTTCTATACCAGATCATTTTCTTTATTTTTTTTTTTTATTTCTAAAATACATGATTTACCAAAAAAAATCGAGCAAAGCTCGGTCCTCCTGGTACTGTATAATTATCATAGCTCTTGTATTTTATGTAAATTTCATAATGATTATGTCGAGTTAAAATAAATACTTTTCTAATCAATCCTAAAGTGCATTTTTGGTTTGAAAGTGATCCCATTAGCCACATATACCATTCAAGAATTTTGACTTTATTTATTTTTTAAACACTGCTCTTACTTCGGCATAACACTATCCTATGTTGTAAGGGCGTTTTACACACATAAATCTCACCCAGATGCGAAACAATTATTTGTGGGTCACACAAATATAAGTCGCGTGTGGGAATCGAACCCACGACGAATGCAATACCTTGGCATACGCCACGGAGTCCTCAATTGTTACAAAGTAAGCACCTTCGGTTGCAATGCACGTGTCTTGGTCAATTGATTCTTCAATGGGTTAGGGACCGCTCTATCAGTAACGCAATCGCTGTAGGGTTGTGCGTTCGCCGTCGATATCACGTATCGATATAATTACCGACCCTCCGTTCATCCGCCTTTGATATCACGTGTCGAAATAATTAGCACGGCCCTACCATAGAAATGTTAATATTTCTTGTTGTCGGATTCGCGCATGAAGGGTATCTATAAAAACCGCATAACATCGTGTCTGTTCTTTGAGTTATATATTTTTTTATTCTGTTTTTTAGTATTTATTTTATTTATTGTGATAGCGGCAACAGAAACACACCATCTGTGAAAATTAAAATTGTCTAACTGTCACGGTTCACGAGATACAGCCTCCTGACAGACGGACAGTCAGACAGCGGCGTCTTAGCAATAGGGTCCCGTTTTAACCTGTGGGTACGGAACCCTAAAACAGTGTGTCTTTATGACTAACCCATTAACAATATATTGACCTCTATAGATATTGTACTAACAGGTCGAGTCCATTATTATGTGAGTGATAAAATATGTTACCGTATACCCGATTGTGGGACAATTGAATTTATTGTGAATTTACATAAGCGTCAATGTCTCTGTTTTACATAAATCATTTAAAAAGTAAAGTAACAGCCTATACATGTCCCACGCTTCTCTATACAGAGGGTATCAGGGCATAGTCCACCACGCGGCCCCACTGCGGTTTGGCGGACATAAATAATTTATTAAATCATTATGTAAAACAGAAATAATGGATATATATTTTATTTTAATAGTAATTAGGCCTTCGACTAGGCATTTGACGGTGGCTAAGCAACCTTGCCGATGTTTTTTGTTTTTTTTTTATGTGAAAAGTTCAAAAGAGCGTTTCACCTGATGTTAAGTGAATACCGCCGCCCATGGTTATTTGTAGCACCTGAAGGGTTGCTCATACGTAAGTAATGTCAAGTAACAACCTGTATAAGAATTTCCCACTGTCAAAGGCTTGGTAAATGTCAAAATAGTTGTTGTTGCCATGAGAATACCGTGACGTGTCTGTGTTGTGTGTGAGTACAGTGGTGTACGGATCGCACACATCGTAAAATTTTAACCTCGTAATTTTTGCCAAACGCGCCATAGAAGTGTAACTTCGATAAAATTTTAGCAGGCTATTACTTCGATATAGGATACAAAAAAAAACGATAGAGAACTAAACCCCGACTGCATGTGGTCTTGTGGTCTCTACCCCTAGAGTGAACATAAAAAGGCAATGCCAGGACCTCAACCACTCAGGGCCGACATAGCGAGAGTTCTAGCGTAGCGAATGGAAGAGTCAAATTTAATAATTAAATAATAACTTTGCTATATCTAAATAGAAGCCTGCTAAAGTTTTGCCATAATTTTAATAAAAAAATTTAAACGTTATCTTTACTGACCGCTCTCTGTTATTGTAAAGGTCTTAAATATGCACCAGTTTATTATCGATATCCCGAATGGGAGCGCGCGTCCCATCCCTACCATGACTGTCCCCCTTCCCGCCAATTGCCCGCTATTTCAAGCGACGGAAGTCACGTGGAGCTATTGACTGCGTGTTGATTTACGAGCACAGTCCAGACCTCTTTAGAGCAGTGGTTCAGCCAACGTATCCAGGTTCGACGTGACGACGTATCGCTTGAATATACTCAGAACAATTGTCACTGACCTCTGTTAGCTTTTTAGGTCCCGCACGCAATGAATAATGTTTACAAGATTTTGTCTGCGCTATAAATAGCTAAGATATCGTTATCTTATTATGATACAAAATATAAACATAAACTGGCAGTAAGTTTAGCTTAGTGGCTAGAGCGTCAGAGTAGAATCCCGAAGACGTGGGTTCGATTCCCCCAGCGGCGAAAAACTTTTCGTTACTTTTTTCTACAATATTTAATGAAGGTAGTAATAAATTCCTTTCTCAATTATCGTCATTATTAGTGTATTAAATTATGTCGTCAATGTTAAGTGGTAACCGCCGCCCACGAACATTTGCAACATCCATAGATGCGTTGCCATCTTTTATTAAAGTCAAGGTCCCGGCTACGTGAATCAACGGACGAAACGCAGAACTATAACACGTCCACTTCACGTGGTACTTCCCCGGATGGACCTGCCCATTCGTGCAACACCCGAGACTACTGTAACTGGACCATGTGGTCCCATATTAGGGGAAGCACCACCTTTCATATAAATAAATAAAGAATCATCAAAATTGGTTCACGCAGCCGAAAGTTATGAGTATGAGGAGCATTCAAGGTTTGAACTCTGGTTACTCGAGTGTATTGAACTAAAAGTGATTGAAATTTCTTTTTAAAATTTGTTATCGTGCTAATCTCTGCACTTAAGATTAAACATTAAGATTTGTAGAGAATGCTGGAAGGGATATAGCAATGGATGCGCCAAGCATTGCTTCAAATGCTAAAAAACAAAGTAGATAAAAGACGTTAAGATTTTCGTCGGCGTGGTATTCAGCCGTTTAGCTCAGTGGCTAAAGCGTCAGGCCGTGAATGCCGAAGACGTGGGTTCGATTCCCACGGCGGCGACATTATTATAATAATAATAAAATAGGGATTGCTTGTACCCTAAGCTATCGCGGCTGTAACAGGTTATTTGTTCCAGACGATGGTGCGTATCCTCCGTTTGGACCGCCGCGACAGTTCTGCTGCACCGCCTTATGACCACGCCCCACCCACAGATATCGGGTAAGCAGATACCTCGCGTAACCGTTTTTATGTGGCAGTGGCAAACGAGCTGGCGATTCACCTGATGTTGAGTGATAACCGCCGCCCATGGGCTATTGCAACACCCATAAGGTTGCAAATGCGTTGCCACCTTTAAATAAAGTGGGTCCCGGCTACCTCACTCACCGGACGAAACGCAGTAACACTTCTACTTTACGCCGGTCTTCTGCGAGGTCGTGGTACTTACCCGGACGGACCTGCCCATTCGTGCAACAGTGAACACTGTTGCGTGGCCCTACAACAACGTATAACTACAGTCAACGCTTACATTTTCGTGAAACGTAAAAATTTGTAGAAAAATGGGAGATTTTGAGCTTGAACTTGTGTCCGAACTAAATGGCTCACCTTCTCAGCGACGAAAATCTCGACGTATTATGTCTACTTTCTTTTTGACCTCTTGATTTTACGCGAATATTGTATATATTAAATGAAACTAGTTTACGGATTTTCTTTATGTTTTGATTTTATAATTCCCGACGTTTCGAACCCTTTCCGGCGTTCATGGTCACTGACAAACTAACGCCTGGTTTCTGAAACGCTGATCATCGTAGATGTCAACTAATCAGCTGTCAAATGGCTTTTCAAATGTCATTTGAGTTGCCAAAAGGACGGTGCCCAGACTCTAACCACTTTGCTTTTCTTACATATGCCACATATAAATAGGCAATGAGGCTCTATGTCTAGATTATTAATTAAGTATTTGTGCCATTTGCTGTTGAAACTTTGGGTCCGCGGGGTCCGAGCACATCTAAATTTTTTAAAGGTTTCAAAGGAGAGCTTCAAAGGTTAAGCATAACTATTCAGCGGGGAAATGCAGCTAGCGTTCTTGGCACCATGTCGCGTGGATTATGTTTATAAGATAATATGTAATATGTAGTTTTAGGTAGATTTAAGCCCGGTTTATGAAACATTGATCATCGTAGAAGTTAAACTCTCTGAATTAAATGATCAGAATGAACAATTCAATTTTTTTTAATGTGAAAACTTGCCAAACGAGCAGACGGTTCACCTGATGGTAAGTGAATACCGCCGCCCATGGACCTTTTGAAAATTGGGCTCCGGCTACCTCACTCACCAGACGAAACGCGAAAGTATTATACTTCGACTTTACGCCGGTCTTCTGTGAGGTCGTGGTACTTGCCCGGACGGGCCTGCCCATTCGTGCAACAGCCGAGGCTGCCGCGTGGCCCTACCACAGTAAAGGTTGGTCAAATGGTTTAACCATCCTTTTAGCAACTAAAAGGACATTTGAAAAGCCACTTGACTGCCGATTGATGATCAGTTCAGAAACCGTTAATGTTGTAAATATTGGATAAATATAAAATATTCTTCCGTTAAAAAAAATGCGATGAGCTTACGCCATTACACGTTCATATGTAGATTATTAATCTCACGTGTAATATTTTCATATTACGCGAGCAGCAACATTGTAATCAATTTGTATGTTTATATTTACTTATATAAACCGCGACACGTGTTATGTTATATATATCACAATACCTCATAAACTATATTTATCTAAGCGTATCGCTGAAGCTACTGAATTTTTTCTATGGCCACGCAACACTTTTTTTTGTTGCGCGAATGGACAGGGCCGTCCGGGTAAGTACCATGACCTCACAGAAGACCGGCGTGCCGTGGTAGTGTTATACTTCTGCGTATTGTCTGGTGAGGTACCCCGGGCCCACTTTATTGAAAAGTGGCAATGCATCTGCAATAGTATAGTTGTTGCAAATGTCAATGGGCGGCGGTTATCACTTAACGTCAGGTGAACCGCCGGCTCGATTGCCATCTTCTCACATAAAAAAAATCTACTTCACATCGAATTAACATTGGCTGTCTATCAATTGAATGTAACTAGTTTGGCTTAAAATTTGTATAAAAAAATGTGCGATATGACTTTAATTTATATTTTTGAAATGGGTGATGCCATATTAATTTTATTGGCATTTGTGTTATTTTTATTGAAAAAATTGTACGAAAAGTTTTGGCAATCCAAACTAATTTACGCGCTAAGCTAAACTGCCGATCGTCGTACCGACGAAAAGCTCGACCTATGTCATCTACTTTGTTTTTCCGCATTTTTAGCATTGCAGTTTAATAGTATCCCACATTGGAGCCCATTCTCGATGCTACGCCGTAGGGATTTCGAAAAAGTATCCATGTATCGATATTTTTATTTCTATATATCGATACTTTTTAAAGAAGAAGAGTATCGATATATTTGCATCCGATTTGTTGATAGAAAATATTTAATGTCGAAAATCGTATCAAAAACTAGTAGCTGTCAAATATTTTTTTGGACTAACGTTTCTAGGATCGATCTATCGATTTTTTCTCTTATACGTATCGAGGCCGATATTGATGTTTTTATAATTATCGATACATCGATATATTTCTTCTTTTCCGACATCCCTACTAAGCCGCAGCTAATTGTAACACCATAGCCCAGCCGGGTCAACGTTTCACTTCCCCCAGGCCCGAAGCCGCCGAAGCCGCGGCCGGCTACCACCGGCCACCTGCACCCTGAGCCGCTGGTGGAGTGCGTGGTCCTCCACCAGCCGCCATCGCACACCCTCGACGTCATATTCGTGCACGGGCTCTACGGTGAGTTGTAAACTTAGAACTACCACTACTTGTCATAGTAGTTGTCGCATACGTCGAAGTTTTATGTCGTTAGAGATTAAAGAACTAGGTATAGGTTTTCAGCTTCTAAATTCAAATAAAAAAAACTAGACTTGGAACTATGAAATTGTAGATGCTTGTCCTTCTTCTCTTTATCTAGTAGGAGTCCATAACTTCTATTCGTCAATTGACAAATACAATGGCAGACGTTTGCGGGAGAGAGCATAGACGCCATGCTGTCAAAACCTTTGTGAAGTTCAATTGAATTACTAAAAATTTATTGCTTTTGACCCCCTAAAATTGAGCCATCATCTATCATCACCCCTGCTAAGCAATCTGCAATACTTGAAGTTGATATTATTCAAACAAGAGGTTAAACGCATCGAAATTAAATATCTAAATTACATAGACTCTTAAAATTGATCCCTTATCATATGCCACTTTAGAGGGACTATTCACTATTCGAGCCACGCGTTCTCTCAAATAATACTTATAATAATTCTATTGTGGTTCCTACCGTGGACTGTTCCTACCGTGGTCCTCCACGCAACAGTGTTCACTGTTGCACGAATAGGCATGTCCGTCTTGGTAAGTACCACGACCTCACAGAAGGTCGGCGTAAAGTAGAGATCACCAGACAAGACGCAGAAGTGTTACACTTCTGCGTCTCTTCTGTTGAGTGAGGTAGCCCGGTCTCACTTTATTTAAAGTTGGCAACGCATTTGCGATCCTACGGGGGTTCCAAATGTCCATAGGCAGTGGTTATCCCTTAACATCAGGTGAACCGTCAGCTCGTTTGCCACTTTCTCACATTAAAAAAAATACTTGGGAAATAAAACCGTTCTTCAATGTCTTGGAGACTAGAATATACCCATCGCTGAGCGTTAGCGTCAGATTAACGGTAGTCTGTTTGGGTATCGAACGACCAGTTCCTGTTAGGTTTACAAAACTTACGCGCATTTGCTGACGGCAGTGTAAGCATCGTCTCAAAACATTGTCTCGGCCGTCGACTCGCTGTTGATAACTGGAATCGACTGGTTGACCGGAAGGAAAATATTTTGCAGAAACACAATGTGGGTTATTGTTGAGGAAACACTCCTTATTTATCTAGGAAAAGGCAGATAAAGAAATTTGTTTGACCCGTTTAATTAGCAACCAGCAACCTAGTCGTCTACTCCGTTGACGAGGGTCGAGGTTCCCATTCCCACGCGAGATAACTATTTGTGTGACCCACAGATTTCAGATCCACGTGAAATTTATTTATGTAAAACATCCTTACAAAACCGGATAATGTTATCCAACAGTAGGCGGGAATGTGTTCGACGGGAATACTACAGTAGATCTTATAGGCCGCATGGCCGTTGAGTCTTACTACTCAACCCCTTCAACACGTATTGTGTTGAAGGGGTTGGGTATAAGACAACCAGTAACCGATTCAGAAGTACTAAGTCAAATTTAGCAAACCAACAAGCTTATATTTTTGGGTTATTGTAGCGTTGTGATATTCTACTTTTTTTTCTTGTTGGTAAATTGAACTTGATTTCGATGTCTTTCTAATGTTAGTAAAGTTTATGCGCCACATATATTGTTTGCAGCTAATTCGGTTTCAGGAATTTTAACAAATCGAGTATATTGAATCAGAAACCCGCTCACGTATTAGTAGTTGTAGTGATTATTTTACCTTATTTATGGTGTAGGCGTACAGGGGTTGGTAAATGAAATTAAAAACATAGGACTATCAATTTCCTGTTTAATTCAAGGGAAGGTAAGGATAGATAGGTTTTAATAAATTAACAAGTTGGGTTAGTAGACCACTACTACAACTACAATCGCTATCTATTACCTAACCAAAGTAAACATGTTTTTGCTGCCCTATCCGATCTTATCGTGGGTTCTGCAGGGTTCAAATCAAAGCCAATCTAATTCGTAGCAATGTTTCATTATCGTATCCATCCATCGTACCAATCGGGTCGTCTGAAACGTGGCCGTTTTCCAACCGCCGACCAGGTTCCCTGGCCAACACATGGCGCCAGGGCGAATGGAGGTCCAACTACACCTCGGATCCGATCAAGGTGCCGCTGCGGCGGCCGGACTCTTTGCCCACCGCGTGCTCCTGCACCTGGGACGAGGACCAGGTCCGAGAATGCCCCTGCGAGCTCAAACTACCCCGAAAGACCAAGCCACAAGCGAAAGATGACGCGTTCGACGGGGGGCGAACGGACGGCGAGTTCTACTCGAAATACCGCAAGGTTCTGCCACAGGAAGAATTGTTCATCACGGAGAAGTTCTACAACAACACGATCTTAGACCGGGCTGGGGTAGGGGACTTCGGGACGCAGGCCGGCTTCGTGCGGGACCTCTTCCAGAGGAACTGTTCCGGGGAGGGTGGGAAGTGTGATAGGGGGGAGTCGGTTGGATGCGAGTGCGGAGTGGACTGCCAGGCCGGGTGTGGCTGTATCTGCGATAGATGCTACTCGCCCTGCTGGCCCCGCGACTGGGTCAAGGTGGACTTCCCCGGCGCGAGGGTCATCTCGATCAATTACACGAGCGACCCGTACCTGTGGCGGCCGCTCTGGATCAAGCAGTGCAAACGGTGAGTGGTGAAAGGTACAGTAACAGCCTATCCGTGTCCCACTGCTGGGCAGAGGCCTCCTCTGTACATAGGTATAGGGAATAGTCCACAACGCGGCCCCACTGCGGCTTGGTGGACTTTACATGTTTTTTTTTGTTACTATTTAGAAGATATGCAGGTTTCCTCACGATTTTTTGCCTTCACCGTTGAGTGCATGATAAGTCAGCACAATCAAAATTAGCAATTTCATTGGTACCGGCACCGTGGATCGAATTTAGGTTGCTCGAGTATATTGAATTAAAAGCAAGTGCCCGGACAATGAGCTATCACGGCTCATTGTCCGATGTGTAATCTTATTTATTCGCATGACCCTGTATCAAGGTTCGTTACATGTATCTTTTTAGAGGGTTCGTAGTTCCTGGTGTACTGTGTTGAATTGTTACTGGTCGCTCGTGTTTATGAACTTAAAAAGTGTCAAGTTGGTGATGGGAGGGTGAACGATTGGCAATGAAAATTGAACGAATGGGCATTAGCTAAGGTATTGACTTCGGCGTCGGGGGTCGTGGGTTCGATCCCCACACGGAACAACTATTCGTGTGACCCACAGATAGTTGTTTCGCATCTGGGTGTTGGTACACGTGAAATTCATGTTTGTAAAACGTCCTTACAATATACAGGATAAGGTTATCCTAAAGTAAGGGCAATGTTAAAAAAAAGAAAAAAATGGCTACTTTTAATTTCTAGAGTTTATTGTCAGGTGGTTATTGTCAGATGTTAAGTGATTACCGCCGCACATCGGACATCCACAGCATCCAAGCACCTGCTGCTTCGCAAATCTTCGACAGTGGGTAAACCACTGTCGAAGATTCACATTCTAGATTAATTTTTCAGTGGGATACTTCACTCACTAGATGAACCACAAAAGTATTTCTACTTCACGCTGGTCTTCGGTGAGGCCGTGTCGGGAATTTAAAAATCTAATCCAACGCGATAGAATCCGTAAAACAGTTTCGTTTAACAACGATAAAAGCTAATTGAGCTGAGGCGGTCTCTATCGAGTGATCCACCATCAGACAGAGGCTGCACGAGCGCGCTGAGCAAATGATGCGACAGCTAATGCAGCTCGGCGTTGGCGACAAGCCTATCGTGTGGGTCGGGCACTCCAAGGGGGGGCTTTTCATCAAGCAGTTGTACTGCGAAGGTAGGTTCCACCTTCCGCTTTCAAGTTATTCCTCAATCATTTTCGGATTTAAAATAATTTACTCCAAACCTCTGAGGAGGTAGCGGATTCTAGCAGCAACGGAAAACAAGTGCTGCAGCCAGTGGCGGATTTTCAGTCTTGGCCGCCCTAGGCCCCAGCCCACGTAGTAAGTTTCAGCCGCCCCTTTCTCAGCGCCCATCATATCTTGTTATCATCCATACCATCTATCTCTTGTTATCATCAGTGATTTTTTTGTCACGATTGTCCGCACCTAATATGTGACCGCCCTAGACCCGGGCCTATTGGGCCTTAAGGTAAATCCGCCACTGGCTGCAGCATGAGACGTGTAAGTCTGGGCAGAAGGTGGATCTCGATCGGGCGCTTCTGATGTCAGCTGACGTCTTTTACCGGACCTTAGTCGTTTGGTTGATGTTAAGTGATCATCGAAAATAACTGTGGCGTTGCAGTGACTCCTTGAGGGACACCCAATTAACAAGACGAATTGCTTAGGTATAAATGCTTCTATTTATGTGAAATCTTACCTTGTATCACACTACAAACAGGAGGAACAATACTCGACGCCAGTGCGTAGTTAAAATAATATGTGGTTTAGATTCTCGAATACAACGTTAGGTCAAAGGTTAACATAGCATACAAATGTGTGTTTAGCGAAGTGTAGATTGAATTGAGTTTTTATATGAGCGGAGGCGGTGTAGGACGTAATTTAGTAATATTATCGTTTATCATTATTACGAGTATATTAACATAAACCCCAATATCTCCCACATAAACTTCAGATTTTTAATATCAAATTCTTAAATTGTTTTTGTTTTTATAAGCACTTAAGTTAACATATTTCTGTTAACATTATTGACATATAAAGTTGAGGATACCTATAAAATTAGCTAACAATTATTTAATTATAGCGCACTTAATAATGAAAAGTCAGACATAAAGCAATTGTTTGTCTCTACTTATATAGTATTATTTACAAATGTTTGTGATCATAACTGTTTAGAACAGGTTAGATAGCTAGTCAAATTGTCACGGAACTATATAATAACCAAAATTTAGTTTGGAAAACCCTGTTCTATTCCTTCTAAAACATTTGTATGCTATTTTATTTGAGTAAAAAATATACTTTCACTAGCTGTCCCGGCAAACGCTGTTCTGCCATATAAATTATTTCTAGGGAATTTGTAGCGTTGAAAAATCTGTTTAGGGTGGTTAACCCTTAACATTTAGGAAGATGAAAAATAGATGTTGTCCGCTTCTCCACCCTGGCCGATATGCACACAAAATTTCACGAAAGTCAAGTACAAACACCGTGACACGAGAATTTTATATGTTAGATTTAAGTTGAACCTAACTTGCCTCAAAATAAATCCACCGCATACAACACAAGAAATGTAGCAGAGCCTAGAATTTGAAGCAAGTTCAGGTTTAATACAATTGTTTGTCACAAAAGTACATAAAATAGTAAAAACTTGATAGCTTATTTTCATGCAAGAAGGCGGCAAGCGAGCTAGCTCACCTGATGTGAAGTTATAGTCGTCGCCAATAGACATTTGCAACACCCGCAAGGTTGCAGATGCGTTGCCACCTTTTAATTAACTGAGCCCCGGCTACCTCACTCACCAGGCGAAACGCAGACGTATAACTCTTCCACTTCACGTCGACCTCCTGTGCGGTTGTGGTACTTACGCGGAATCACTTGCCCATTCGTGCAACAGTGAAAACGTTGCGTGGCCCTGAACAGACCAATCTAAAAAATGAAATCGTAAACAATCTCCTGCCAGCTTACGAGGCGTATTTGAAAACGGACAAAGTCGACGATTGCTATTTCGAGAACGAAAATCCAGTTAAAGACGATAACGATGATCCTGTCACTAGCGATAATTTCGTTACCGATACCGTCAACAACAACTGTTCTAACGAGAACGCTTCAAACGAGGCAAAACTGAGCAGCCTGATAGACTATGTATTCGGTGGGGCCAAAAATTCGGACACTGACGAATTAGATATTAATAAAAATCCAACGGTGGCCAAAGAAGTTGAAGAAGCAGCAGCGATGAATGACACTTGCGAAGATAGACCGGATGGAGCCAAAGATTCGGAAACTACAGAGGCGTCTTCTATTGATGCAGGTGAGACGTATTCCGTAGCTCATGACAGACGTGACGAAGGCAAATATGTCGTTGTAATCTTTAAATGGACAATTCTTGTCAGGTTTTACACTATCTACTACATTTTTTTTTCATTATATAACATTGCCCTTACTTTAGGATAACATTATCCTGTGTTGTAAGGACGTTTTACAGACATAAATTTCACGCGGACAAACACCCAGATGCGAAACAACTATCTGTGGGTCACACAAATTGTCCCGTGTGGGAATCGAACCCACGACCTCCGACGCCGAAGCCGATAAATTGGCGACTGGGCCGCGGAAATATCGAATTACTACTAGTCTCTCTAGTAACTCTAAACGGATAATTCTTGTACATCTGTTCATATTTTTTGTATCTCGAAAGAGGTCGTAACAGTTCGGATCGAATTTTGCATTTGGCTGATATAAATTTAAGTTTTGCTTCTCATCTAAGCAATTTTCATTTCTGGCAAGCCGAAATTCTAAATAAATCTTGAATGGTGCGCACAGAGTTTCTGAGATGGGGCTATATGAGATTATCAGATTACGAATACTTAACCATACTTAAATTATCTCTTAACCGAATTTTCGCCCCTTATTATCTTGTCACCCATTGAGTAAAGGATTCTTCTAATCCTTAACGCGACAGATATAGCTTATAATTAAAGTAAGGTAACAGTCTATATTTGTCCCCCTGTTGGGCAAAAGCCTCCTCTGAACAGAACCCCACTGCAGATTGGCGGATTTCGCATATCTTCGAAATATTCGTTTTTCTTATTATTTCGAAAATATGCAGGTTTCCCCAGGATGTTAGGTGATGTAATTTCGACATACAGTGGCTTGTTTACGATATGTTTGTGCTCCAGTGATATCGATCTACGTGAATTAGGTTTTTCAAACTTTTGTTTCCCCTCCATCTTCTAGAAGATCCTAAAGAGGTAGCAAGGCGCGCCAACCTGTGGAAGAACAGCGCCGGCTTCATGTTCTACTCAGTACCGCACCGAGGGTCACCGCTGGCCGACATCAAGACCCCAATCACGGCCAGGAGTGTGGAGTTGCTGGAGATTTGCAAAGGTACAGCATCTGATGCAGGGTCTAGGGTTCGATTCCAGCAGAAGCAACATTCATTTGCCGAAGCTGATGGAACTTTAACCGTAGCAGGGCCACGCAGCAGTCTTCGCTGTTGCATAGATGGGCAGTTCCGTCCGGGGAAGTACCACGATCTCAAAGAGGGCCGGCGAGAAGTGAAAGTGTTACACTTCTGCGTTTCGTCTGGCGAGTGAGGTAGCCGGGGCCCACTTTAAAAGGTGGCAACGCATCTGCAACCCCTTAGGGTTGCAAATGTCCATGGGCGGCGGTTATCACTTAACATCAGGTGAACCTCCAGCTCATTTGTCATCTCTCATAAAAAAGAAACATCAGAAATGAAATAAGAAGAAGCGGTAAGTTCCCTAAGCAAAAAATAGAAAAAGAAGAAGATAACAAGAAGGCAATTAATCAAATCTTTTCCGTCGGGGGTCTAGAATGACCCCAGATAGCATCTTTGAACATGCCTTCCAGACTGTCCACTGGTGATGGAACTCCAGGACCGGTGGCTGCGGGCCACGACCAGGTCCCGGCCGCCGGTCAGCAGCCTGGTGGAGACCTGCAAGACCCTCATGTCGCTGCTCTGGCTTCGGATCGTCAGCGTCGACTCGGCTGGTGAGTCCACACCGCGTAGTACACTGACCGATCACTGATCATCGATTGGTGATCAGTGTTTCAGAAACTGGGCATCAGTCAGTACCGTGACCATGAACGCCGGAAAGGGTTCGAGACGTCGGGAATTTAAAAATCTAATTAAACGCGATAAAATCCGTAAAAAGGTTTCATTTGGCGACGTCTCTCGTTCGAATTATCGTTGTAAAACGATATTCGAAATTGTTTGTATGCTGGAAAGGATATAACAATGGATGTGCCAAGCATTGCTTCAAATGCTAAATAACAATGTAGATAAAAGACGTTAAGATTTTAGTCAGTGTGGCAATCAGCCGTTTAGCTCAGTGGCTAGAGCATCAGGCCGGGAATGCCGAAGACGTGGGTTCGATTCCCACAGCGGCGACAATCTTTTCGTACTTTTTCTACAAATTTTAAAGTTTTATTTAACAATCTATCTGATTTTTATGTGAGCTAGGGATTTCAACCTTACCTGAGGTTTTAAGTACTTGAATACTGTCTCATCCGATAGTAAGGTGATGAAATCTATCCCGACTATATGAAGTTTGTTAATTATGTACACCCCTATCTCCCCCACCATACCATCCTTTATCTTAGACCGGTGTGAAATGGAGGTATTAAACTCGCGTTTCTCGCGTGAGTGAGGTAGCCGGGGCCCACATTATCATAAAAAAGAAACAGAAATGTAATTAGAAGAAGCGGTAAGTTCCCTAAGCAAAAAATAGAAGAAGAAGAAGATAACAAGAAGGCAATTAATCAAATCTTTTCCGTCGAGGGTCCAGAATGACCTAGCATCTTTGAACGTGCTTTCCAGACTGTCCACTGGTGATGGAACTCCAGGACCGGTGGCTGCGGGCCACGACCAGGTCCCGGCCGCCGGTCAGCAGCCTGGTGGAGACCTGCAAGACCCTCATGTCGCTGCTCTGGCTTCGGATCGTCAGCGTCGACTCGGCTGGTGAGTCCACACCGCGTAGTACACTGACCGATCACTGATCATCGATTGGTGATCAGTGTTTCAGAAACTGGGCATCAGTCTGTACCGTGACCATGAACGCCGGAAAGGGTTCGAGACGTCGGGAATTTAAAAAATCTAATTAAACGCGATAAAAATCCGTAAAAAGGTTTCATTTGGCGACGTCTCTCGTTCGAATTATCGTTGTAAAACGATATTCGAAATTGTTTGTATGCTGGAAAGGATATAACAATGGATGTGCCCAAGCATTGCTTCAAATGCTAAATAACAATGTAGATAAAAGACGTTAAGATTTTAGTCAGTGTGGCAATCAGCCGTTTAGCTCAGTGGCTAGAGCACCAGGCCGGGAATGCCGAAGACGTGGGTTCGATTCCCACAGCGGCGACAATCTTTTCGTACCTTTTCTACAAATTTTAAAGTTTTATTTAACAATCTATCTGATTTTTATGTGAGCTAGGGATTTCAACCTTAGCTGAGGTTTTAAGTACTTGAATACTGTCTCATCCGATAGTAAGGTGATGAAATCTATCCCGACTATATGAAGTTTGTTAATTATGTACTCCCCCTATCTCCCCCACCATACCATCCTTTATCTTAGACCGGTGTGAAATGGAGGTATTAAACTCGCGTTTCTCGCGTGAGTGAGGTAGCCGGGGCCCACATTATTGAAAGGTCCTTTCAACGCATCCGCTATAACTCTGGTGTTGTAGATATCTGCCTGCTCGCTTGAAAACTTTTAATATGAAAAGTTTTAAAATAAAACTTTGTGCGTAGTGAGTTCTAGTGGAGTGGAACCATTGAGTTTCTAGTTTTTTGAAGTTCTTACTTGCTAAAATTGTCGTTGCATTTTGTGTCCGTTTGGCTCATCACTTGAATCACACTATTATCTCTGTTTAACCTTTCAGGGTCTTGAAATGCGAGTTTTTGTTCTAGATCCTGGCATTGGAGTCCTATCCGGCGTGTCGGTAGACCACCGCGAGATCTGCAAGCCTTCGAGCAGAAAGTGCCTTTTATACAGAGAGCTTAAAGCCCTCATAACGCATGCTCTCAACAACATTAGGCAATTTTAATGGTACCAAAGCGTGGGGAACGAACACAGCGCCCTGTGGGACCCCGCGCGTATTTCCGATCTGTGATTGTCCCTGCTTTTCAGTGCAATATATGTGTATTAGGACCATAAGTGCTGACGAATTAGAAACGAATTAATGGTATTTTCAATAGATTCCTTCGATTTCAGGTCTATATTGTCAATTTTCTGTGTCGATTGCATTTGTTAGATACTATTGGCAATTTTACGTTTATCTCGTTTTGAGACGATATAGTTGTAGACGAAGGTAATGCGTTCAGTCCCAAACATTGGGATGGCGACAGAACTAAGAAGTTCATCGCGTTTTACAATATTTTAACTATCAATTAGGTAAATAAGTAAACGAAGTTACTTCATAAGAAATCAACAATTCACTGTCAGTATCGTGTATACTAGAAAGGATTCCAATAAAATTGGTTTGGTGTAGTGTAATGATTAATAATTAAGATATATTTTAACTAGAATCAAACAATACGTAATAATCGTACCACTATTAGTTTTGAGACCGTTACCAGGATACCCATTTATTGTCAACGGTCACCATCCTGGGAACATACATCATGCAAAGATTTATATTGCTAAAATTTATAAAATAAATTATATTCTTCAACCACCCTCACAATCCATTCCGATTGTAAATATAATAAACTTAAGTAGCGTTGTAACTATAAGAAATAACGAATTTAAATTAGATTGGATGCGAACGTTGGACGTTTTCTTAGACAAGTGACAGGCTCATCTTATTTAAAAAAAAAAGACAGAAGACAAGTGACAAGCTTATCGTATTTCACGTCCGTTCGCGTCACGGCCAGTTTTGTATAAGCAGTGTGTTTAAATATCTTTCATAGTTTTACTCGTTTTACTCCAAGTATTATGATGCCAACGATGTAGCATTTACGGTTACGCGAAACGTGTTGAAACGATGTTGTTATATATTATTCCAAATAAACGCTAGTTACTAGACTGTTGTTTTATTTTTTATATGGCAATCAATGGAATTAATGAATGAATACAAACAATAAAGGAATTATTACTTAACATTTATCCAGTGTAGTTTTCTGTCCAGTTATCCTGGAAATTGAGTCATAATAAAAGTAGTATCTAATTTATGTATACAGGGTGGCTTTTCTAAAGGTGCCCAAATTCACACAGGAGGTTAAGACTCGGTAGCATAATCGTTTATTGAAATAAAAACAAACTTTTTCTTTCTTTTTATTGCAGGTTTAATTTTAATTGCCATTCCGTTCCCTAAAAACAGAACTTGTTGACAATGCGGTAGTCAGTTGAAACGAACTTGTCTGCGTGTTAGCTATGGATGATGGCGCGTAAAATAAATGAGTTGTTGAGAGAGTGAGAGTTAATGAGAAATAAGTTCAATTGATTGTATTTTATTAATTACGAGTGATTTTAAATATTTATCATTTTTATATAACACTATTTATGTCTAGAATTTAATAAAAAAATAGATACACTTAAAAAGCCTCCCTGTATTTGTTTCTTTTATCATTTATCGTTTTATTACATTTATGTTGTTTTTTTTTACCTACCTGTTAGGTTTACTGGCAGAAAATTCCTTTGACGTGCTGGACTATTTGCATCGATAATAAATCCGATTTCATTTCAATATATTTCTTCGCGCGTCAGTTATCAAGGTCGTCGATATCTCTGCCTTCCCTTCTAAATGATAGACGCGTACTATGTGTTTTGAAGCCTATTAGATTAATTGGCTTTCAATGATCACAAATTCAGATAGTTCAAAAAGTTGACAACAGATGGCATTGTCGTACATAAAAATTTTCAATTTAAACTAATTTTAAGTCTTCTTCTTTCTTTTACCTTTCTGTAATAGAGCCAGCAGCGTCGGCTGTTGCACAAATGGGCAGGCTCGGTCGGGAAAGTATCACGAATACAGGACCGGCGTGAAGTGGAAGTATTATACGAGTTTTATTTGTGAGGAGCCCACCTTCTTAATGTTGGCAACGCATTTGCAACCCCTTAGATGTTAATGGGCGGCGGTAATCACTTAACATCAGGTTAACCGCCTGGACGCTTGCCGACTTTTCATTAAAAAACCCTTATTCAATGAATCACGTCAATGATTTTGGCTAAGACTTGGGAACAAACACTCAGATCCGGAACGTGTAGATGTAATTTAAAAAATTAAAAAACCCGACTGCGTTTCTGTTTTTTTTTATGTGAAAAGTTGCCAAGCGAGCAGGCGGTTCACCTGATGTTAAGTGAATACCGCCGCCCATGGACATCTGCTACACCCGAGGGTTGCAGATACGTTGACAACCTTTTGAAGATGGCTCCGGCCATTCTGTGCAATTTGGAAATGATTTTGATATATCCAGTGTCACTCTCACAGTAATTACCAATCTAACGACACCTCTCAAGCTGAAATCCATCAAGCCGTTCAGGCTGCAGAGCGTGCCAAGCAATTATACATACATACTCTCGAAAAACATAACCTTCCGTCTGGCGCAGTCGGGTAAAAAATATCAGCGGGTCACACAAGTACTTATTCCGTGTGGGAATCGAACCCACAACGTCCGACGACGAAGTCGATAGCTAAGCTGCTGTGCGGTCTAGACGTGAGGTGAGTAAATGAAACGATAATAAACACTTGACAGTTTATTTGTGCGCTTAAAACTACTGTCACTTACGACATAAAATGGCGCCATTTTGAAATACATTAGTACAGCTAAACGCATACAGTTACAAGGAACAATACGATTTCGATTAATTATTTAGATTTAATAAAAACAATACACAAAACGCCTACAAAAATAAAGAAATTCGTCAGTTTTATTGTTAAGAGAACAATAAAAAAAACTTTCCACGACACTTGCAAGTCACGTCAGAAATAAATCTATTTGAATAACCACACAAAGGTATTAATTATCTCTAGCATTTAGATTTAAGTTCATAGCCCATTTAAAACAAGTATCGTACGTTCGATTCGCGAAAACATCACAGAAAGCAATGTGTGATGGATAAATAATTCAAATCATTATTCACACCTTTATTAAATAACTATTAGAGAAAAATCTTATCGGCAAAATATTTACTGAAGTTAAACAAAATGAAAAGACAAACGAAAATGATTTGAAAACTCATCAAATTTCAAAACTTCTTAGGTTGATACAATTGGAAGTTAAACTTAAAAAAAAAAAACTTAAAAGGGAAAGGACAGCAATTTCTACATTTACTTTAAATATGTAAACAAAGGCGAACTGCGTAGAAGATTTTTTTCCAAATTGAAACTTCCAAAGCTAAGATGAATGATAAAATACACGTTTGCTTTTATTTATGTATGTTGCTTTATCAAATAATTTAACAGTTTAGTTTTTATTTAAAATAATCTTTTCATTTTCAAATGCTGATACAGTTTTGATCATCTGTAATAGTCCTACGACTTGTTGACGTTTGAAATTGACGCAACGTAACACGCTATTTATCGGATGTTTGGGTGTACTAAAATACGTTCCGAAAACCTAACCCCTTTCCCATCGGAAAAGTCTGAATATGATTCGCGAGCTTATCCTATTTGTACTTTATTTACTAAACGAAAATATAAAATACGCGTGGGACTCTAGTGAACATTTGGGGTTACCCCACAAAAATGTTGAAGCCAAAAAATCCTTAGACACTAAAATAGTACTAACTTCAAAACTAGTTATATATCGTAGGAACGTGAATTTAAAACCTTCTGGTCTATTTATAAGTAGATTTTAAGACTTAATAACCTATCGGAATTATTATTACCCTTTCGCTTGCTCCTGAAATCTTTACACAATTTTATTACAAGACCCGCTGGAAGCTAATGCTTCGTGAAACTAAATGCATTTTTTATATTAAATTCAATTTGCGAAAAGCGACAAATTCCGTGGTTTTATCTAACACTGTACGGTGTTCCCTTAAATATTCCTCGTTTATATATTCCTTTATTACTGTCAAAAATTTTCAGTTTCAAAATCTAACAATAAAGCCATGCTATCACTAAAGTAAGGATCATCGAGCTATAAGCGCTAAATCACAAAACTAACGACTAGTTTTATTTTCATTTTTATTACGTTAATGCCTTTGGTGAGTCGCTATTCTAATTAAAAAAAGGGTACGACAGAAACAATTTAGCTTAATTTATGTTCACGATAAATAATTAAAAAAAAATTAACCACATGATTCCCGCCAACAATGACACGTAACTTGACAAGGATGATGTGAAAACAAAATATTAAAAAAAACTCGTAATGTCATATTTATACAGATTTTAATAAAAAAAAAACAATTACAATAAGATAATTTGTAAAATCAAACAGCCCGGGCGCTTTCGACGCAGCAAGGTTTACGAATTATCTTTTCATAATTATTTTTCTCTATATTTACATCGAAGAAATGATGGTCGTTCTTGGCACAAAGTAAACATTAAAACATAATCAGAATTTATTCGATACAAAGCCACAATGTTAGTTCACAAAAACATAATTACTAAAAACTAATAATACTTATGAAATCGATTGAATTGCATTTTTATAGACATTACAATACAGCCATGCTTAAAAATTATTAAAATGTGTATGTCCATCTGTCACCTAAATTGATCACGACCTATGGCTTATAACACAGTGCAGGTTTTCTATTCATTTTGTGTTTAAATAATTCCCTTTGGAAACTTGACGGCTGAATGGATTTGATGCGGTGTCATATGTACTGACGTTTCGTTTTTGCCCGATTCATTTTTTATCTGTGACGTAAGATGTGATAAAAACGCGCGAAACTTGAATTGAGACGTCGAAAGCATTTTATATGCGATCAGAATATTTAATGTTAGAAATTCATTGCAAAGTCAATTCTGAATTTATTCCGAATAATTCTTGTTTTTATCCTGTATACTTATATTAATTGCTAATTTTTAATTATTTTTTTGTAAATCCTAATTTCACGTTAATATTATGTTGTTCTTTGAAAAAACCAACACTTTTTTGAGCAACCTGAAAATTTACTACAATTTAAAACTTAGATAAGCCGCAGATTTAGATTTGGTTCTTTCATATTTACAATTTGAAAAGTCACAGATATATTTTATAGTTAAATACTGTTTTTTATTTCGCGAATGTGAAATATTATTCTGTGCGCATATATGGTGCGCACACGTGCATTTGATTTAGAGCACGGAGTAAAAATTGTAGTTTTAATTTCTTAACAAGATTTTTTGTGTTCGATTAAATAAGTTGAACGGAATTTAAGATTTCGGGAAGTATGAAAACAATATGAGCCCGTATCCAACTAGTGTGCAAGGATGTACGGATGTTAAAAGGCCTGAGTGTCCACGCGTAAAAGATTATTCTAACCTCACTTTCTACTTCACTATTTAATATACTAACGAATGAAAAACGTCTAAGAGTATCTTAATCTCTATTTGTACTAAAACAGGCAAAACCTAACCTATCACAGCTGAAATATAAGATTTCAGATCATTTTATTGGAAAGAAACGATTTCTCTTATCCGGTCTTCTCTATCTTATCTCTCCGCAACTAAAAGCGTAATTATCGAAAGGTTTATACAGAATTAAAGAGTAGTAGCAACAAATGATATAGAATCCGACATTTTCAGCTTTCCACAAAACCTACCTTAGTCTACTTTGAGTTCATAGCCTGTACCAAATCTAGGCGCAACAACGCGTGCTCTAAATAAATAATGAAGAATCGAGAGAGAGATGAACGCAGAGAATATATTGATCGGAATTGAAATAGAACACAAGAGAAGCCGAATAGATCGACGCTGGGTGAGTTTGTGTCAAAACGGATCAAATCCTTACGTAATCACATCCGCAAAAACCGCACCATTCAACTATAAATACGCTATAAAGTCCGCGCCGAATCCAATACACAGACCGAAAACGGACACGACCGAAACGCGCCTTAAACCGCGATCCGTATGTAGAAACCGGGGGCGACAAAACGAAACGGACGCGTCGACAACAGACACGAAATACGTCGTTGGAGACCGCGGTCCAAGCCGAAAATCTCGGAACGGAAATCCGCGCCGCGCGTTCTGACCCGATCGAAAATATCGTAACCCAGCGAGACCGGCGGGTGGGAAGATCCGCGAGATCCGCGCCACACGTTGAAACCGAAATCCGCCGTCCGGGACCGGCGCGAGCCGAAGCCCCCGACGCCCTTCGAGGCCGGCGAGGGGGGAGAGGGGAGATCCACGCAAAGCGTCCGGCGTCCGCGCTAGATCCGAAATCCGCTCAGCCGTCCGCGGTGCGCCTGCACAGTGTTACCGGCGGATAGGCGGTGCCCGTCTAGGCGAACAGCGCGGACACCGCGCCCGCTTCCGCGGCGCTGATGTCGCTCACAAAGTGGTCCTGCTCGATGGGCTTCTTTATCCAGCGGCCGAGGCCGGCCTTCGCGAACGCCTCCATCAGGCATTCCTTCGCGGTCTGCGGAAGCGGGGCCGCCGCCAGGGGGCCTTTAGAGTGGGCTCTAGCAGTGCTCGCGAGAATTTAGACCAGGTGTCCTTAGAGGCCTCGTGTATACAACGTGTTTTTCTTGACGCAAGAGGGCCTTTAGAGTGGGCTCTAGCAATGCTCTCGGGAATTAAGACCAGGTATCCTTAGAGGGCCGTGTATACAAGTGTTTTTATCGACGCAAGAGGGCCTTTAGAGTGGGATCTAGCAATGCTCTCGAGAATTTAGACCAGGTATCCTTAGAGGCCCCGTGTATACAAGTGTTTTTATCGACGCAAGAGGGCCTTTAGAGTGGGCTGTAGTAATCCTCTCGAGAATTTAAATCAGGTATCCTTAGAGGCCTCGTGTATACAAGTGTTTTTATCGACGCAAGAGGGCCTTTAGAGTGGGCTGTAGCAATGCTCTCGAGAATTTAGAGCAGGTGTCCTTAGAGGCCTGGTGTATACAAGTGTTTTTATTGACGAAAGGGGGCCTTTAGAGTGGGATCTAGCAGTGCTCGCGAGAATTTAGACCAGGTGTCCTTAGAGGCCTGGTGTATACAAGTGTTTTTATTGACGAAAGGGGGCCTTTAGAGTGGGATCTAGCAATACTCTTGAGAATTTAGACCAGGTATCCTTAGAGGCCTCGTGTATACAAGTGTTTTTATCGACGCAAGAGGGCCTTTAGAGTGGGCTGTAGCAATGCTCTCGAGAATTTAAATCAGGTATCCTTAGAGGCCTCGTGTATACAAGTGTTTTTATCGACGCAAGAGGGCCTTTAGAGTGGGCTGTAGCAATGCTCTCGAGAATTTAGACCAGGTGTCCTTAGAGGCCTCGTGTATACAAGTGTTTTTATAGACGCAAGAGGGCCTTTAGAGTGGGATCTAGCAATGCTCTCGAGAATTTAGACCAGGTATCCTTAGAGGCCTCGTGTATACAAGTGTTTTTATCGACGCAAGAGGGCCTTTAGAGTGGGCTGTAGCAATGCTCTCGAGAATTTAGACCAGGTATCCTTAGAGGCCTCGTGTATACAAGTGTTTTTTTATTGACGCAAGAGGGCCTTTAGAGTGGGCTGTAGCAATGCTCTCGAGAATTTAAATCAGGTATCCTTAGAGGCCTCGTGTATACAAGTGTTTTTATTGATGCAAGATGGCCTTTAGAGTGGGCTTTAGCAATGCTCTCGGGAATTTAGACCAGGTGTCCTTAGAGGCCTCGTGTATACAAGTGTTTTTATCGACGCAAGAGGGCCTTTAGAGTGGGCTGTAGCAATGCTCTCGAGAATTTAGACCAGGTGTCCTTAGAGGCCTCGTGTATACAAGTGTTTTTATAGACGCAAGAGGGCCTTTAGGGTGGGATCTAGCAATGCCCCTTCTCGAGAATTTAAACCAGGTCTCTCGAGAATTTAGACCAGGTATCCTTAGAGGCCTCGTGTATACAAGTGTTTTTATCGACGCAAGAGGGCCTTTAGAGTGGGCTGTAGCAATGCTCTCGAGAATTTAGAGCAGGTATCCTTAGAGGCCTCGTGTATACAAGTGTTTTTATCGACGCAAGAGGGCCTTTAGAGTGGGCTGTAGCAATGCTCTCGAGAATTTAGACCAGGTATCCTTAGAGGCCTCGTGTATACAAGTGTTTTTATCGACGCAAGAGGGCCTTTAGAGTGGGATCTAGCAATACTCTTGAGAATTTAGAGCAGGTGTCCTTAGAGGCCTCGTGTATACAACGTGTATATTGTATTGACACCAGAGTTATGTCTATTAAATGAAACTAGTTTACGGATTTTATCGCGGGACAATGTGACCATGAACGCTGGAAAGGGGAGTTCAAATCAAAATAAAAACGCGATAAAATCCGTAAACTAGTTTCATTTAATATGTATAATATTCACGTAAAATCAAGAAAACAATCTGGACCACAGAGTTATATCTTTTACGATCCATGGGAATCGAACCCACGACTACTTCGCCGAAGTCTTAGCGATGGTGCCACCGGGAGATGGCACGTCTTCTTTCTTGTCTTTAAAAAAAAAGTAAAGTAACAGCCTATACATGTCCCACTGCTGGGCAAAGGCCTCCTGTATACAGAGGGTATCAGGGCATAGTCCACCACGCGGCCCCAATGCGGATTGGCGGACTTCACATATGTTCGAAATATATATATTTTAGTTATTATTTCGAAAATATTCAGGTTTCCTCACGATGTTTTCCTTCACCGCGGAGCACGTGATAAGTCAGCACTTAAAGTTAAAAACTTCATTGGTGCCGGCACCGGGAATCGAACTCAGGTTGCTCGAGTATATTGAATTAAAGACGAGCGCCCGGACACTGAGCTATCACGGCTCTATTCTTGTATACCTGGAGAACTTGAAAGAGGGGGAGGGGGGGGGGGGACAATCACCTGGTAAGTGGAGCAGAGTTGTTTCGCCTCGTTGTAGGGTAGGTTCGCCATGTCCGAGGGCACGACGTTCCTGACCACGCCCGGCTCCGTCTCCTGAAATGTATTGTTCTATCGGAGTAGACGGCAATAGACCAGCCAGTCAAATCAAGTGGACTATGATAAATTGTAAACATGTTGGTAAAAAAAAAACACTGCTGTTGTGAGTTTACAATTTAATCACGAATACATTTCCCGTTGTTTTTAGTTGTTCCGATGACCCGCGGGATATTTGTTTCGCATCTGGTTGTTTTTCCGCGTGAAATCTATGTATGCTAGTAAGGGGAAATGTTTAAAGAAAATTACGCTCACAACCTCACTCGGAGAGCGCCGCATCTCCACGTGAGACGTTGGCAGTGGCAGTGATCGGTGGCAGACTGCGCGACGATACGACGCATCGTCACGGGCATACCTGTGGCAGCAGCGGCAGCTTGGTGACCAGGTACTGCCACCTGGCGAACATGCTCTGCTTGCACAGCAGGGACGGCTGCCCGTTCTCCAGCTTGCCGGTGGTCGCGTTCACCACCTCCGGCACCTGCCAATCGTTGCTTTGTTTTAGCCCCGAACCCTGGATACTGCCGGTCCGTTTGTTACGATGTGGATGTAGGTTCGCGTCGCACCAGCTTTTTGGCACAACACTTGGAATCAACAGAGTTCAGTATTCCGCTCATCTACTCTGATCGGTTCAAAGATGATCCACACTTAGTCGGTCTAATCTAGAGATTTTTTTTTAATGTGAAATGTTGCCAAACGAGCAGACGGTTCACCTGATGATAAGTGAATACCGCCGCCCATGGACATCTACTACACCCGAGGGTTCCAGACTTTGACAACCTTTTGAAAATTGGGCTCCGGCCCCATCACTCACCAGACGAAACGCGAAATTATTATACTTCCACTTTACGCCGGTCTTCTGCGAGGTCGTGGTACCCACCCGGACGAGCCTGCCCATTCAAGCAACAGCCGAGGCTGCTGCGTGGCCACACCACCTTTTAGTAGCCAAAAGGATGGTTAAACTCTCTAAATTCACCAGAACGATCTTCTTAATGACCAAATGATCAATTCAGAGAGTTAAACCGTCCTTTTGGCAACTCAAAAGCGATTTGAATATGAATGAATGAATATTTATTTAGTTTCAACAACAAACACAGTTATGTTAACAATTAAAATTATATATATCTAAGACATGAAACCAAACAGGTATGTACTCGGTACGATTTCCCGATTTTCAGTACATACCAAAAATTTGACGGCCGATTAGTTGACGTCTACGATGATCGGTGTTTCGCGAACCGGGCGTAAGACCCCATCAGCCCAAAGGTCGGAGGCGCTCACCGGATTGGTGCAGCTCCAGCAGACGCTGAAGCTGGGCGCGCGGGCCGGGGTTCGGGCCTCGGTGCTGGCCGCACGCGCCAGCATCGGCCTCTGCAGCCGGTAGGGGGGTGGTAAAGAAGACAGGTGGTTCTCTATGCGGCCGCATATTGCCCTGGGAAAGATATAAATAAATATGTTAGGACACATTTTTACACGACGATAACTTTTTTTTTTTTTTGCAAAGGAACATTGCCCTTACTTTAGGATAACATTATCCTGTATTGTAAGGACGTTTTACAAACATAAATTTCACGCGGACAAACACCCAGATGCGAAACAACTATCTGTGGGTCACACAGATAGTTGTCCCGTGTGGGAATCGAACCCACGACCCTCGACGCCGAAGCCGATGCCTTGGCAACTACGCCACGGATTCATCAAATTAAGCAAAGCTCGTACTATGGGCACTAGAAAACTGATAAACATACTTTTATTTTGTAAATAAATACTTATAATATATACAGCGTGTCGTTACCATCGCGACAATAAATGAACACACGTCTAACGCTACTTGCCAATAATCATAAAAAATCTTAACGTTAAACAAAATCCATAATTAAAAAAAAAAAATTTTTCAAACAAACTAATTAAGCAAAAAAGAAACTAAATTTGTAACATCCTATACAACTCGCGCCACAGCGTCGCATTAGAAGCCTCTCTTTCTAACAGTATGTTTTGTCTCTTTTAAATTCATTCAACCCATTCATATGCTTTGTGACCTTTACAAATTAACTATACGTTACAGTTTTATACGTAAGGGTGTTATAAAATTCTTTGTTTTGGAAAATTTAATAACTCGGTAAATATTGATGTTAAAAGAATGTAAATGTTTAATACAATTTTAAAAAGTTATCCTCTATATGTGTGTTCATTTATTGTCGCGGTGGTAACGACACGCTGTATAAATACCCAGACACTGGAAAAACACAATGCTCATTACACAATATTTTTCCAGCAGTATCGCTACCCACCCTCTTACATAAAAATATTACGGGGTCACTCCCACTCCAAGAAGACGCTTTACTTTCCACCTGCAGTCAGACTCATGTCGAAACCGCACGGGCAATTTGGCGCGAAAACCCAATCGTTTCGCGCGCTTTTCTCAAACCCGCCATTGTGGTTTATATCGGCGTTAAGGAACGTTCTGAATTTAGAAGTTTTTATTTTATTTTGTAATTTAATCTTTCTTAAGCGTTATTTTTTCTTAAGTGCGCAATTAATATATTAGAAATTGTTAACGTGTACACATATCAGTTGTTATAATAAAAAAACGGAATGCAGTCCTTACCTCTAGCGTGTTTCCTATCAATTATACGTGAGTATGAATAACATATAACAAAATAATAACATTTCATGTGGCCTAGGGACGTTGGGCAGTACAGAAGCTGATTAGCATCGCAGTTTCATTATATTAAAAAGTAACAGGCATGTCCCACAGCTGGGCAAAGGTCTCCTCTATACTGAGGGTAAAAGGGCATAGTCCACCACGCGGCCCCACTGCGCGTTGGCGGACTTCACATATTTTCGAAATATTTTTTTTTTGTTATTATTTCGAAAATATGCAGGTTTCCTCACGATGTTTTCCTTCACCGCGGAGCACGTGATAAATCAGCACTTAAAAGTTAAAAAATTCATTGGTGCCGGCACCGGGGATCGAACTCAGGTTGCTCGAGTATATTGAATTAAAGGCGAGCGCCCGGACACTGAGCTAACGCGGCTCTTAGGCTTCATTATATTAATTAAATTTAATTTCTAACGCCCGGGTTGTGAAACGCTGATCATCGCAGATGTCAACTAATCAGTTGTCAAACGGCTTCTCAAATTTCATTTCAGTTGCCAAATGGATGGTTAAACTCTTTGAATTGATCATTCTGATAATTAAGAAGGTCAATACTTACCCAGACGGACCTGCCCATTCCTAATTAGTTAAGAGCGAAAGTTAATAAGGTTTAATTTGGAATTCTCTTATACATGAATTAAATTTCATTTTTAATCTAAATCTCCACATGAAACATTCCTCTGTGGGCTACACAAATATTGGCCAGTTATAATACGATACGAAAAAAACTCGGTATGACTACGGTGGAGCAAACTTTGACTACCTTATTATGCGAATTTTTTTTCTCCCTTTAAACAATAATATTACTAGTATTTTCGTCCGCGAAGTCAACTTTAGGCTCCATTTGCAAAATCAGCCCTGCGGTAAATAGAAGTGCAGCATTTGCCGAAACGGGATTCCATTTCCGTGGCGCAGTCGCCAAGGTATCGGCTTCGGCGTCGGGGATCGTGGGTTCGATTCCCATACGGGACAACTATTCGTGTGACCCCCATATGGTTGTTTCGTATCTGGGTGTTCGTCCACGTTAAATTTATGTTTGTAAAACGTCCTTATAACACGGAACAATATGATCTTAAATTAAAGGCAATGTTTTTAAAGAAAAAGAATTAGACGTCACAATAGTTACTTTTCCTTATCTTTGTTTTAATGTTTTTTTTATTTAAGTCATGTTAAATAAAGAGTTTTTAAATTTTGTTCTTTATTTCATGCGTGGAGTGAGGTAACAGTACCTCAGTCCGCGCCGGGCCTCCGTGAGGTACGGAACGCGGTACTTCCCTGGACGCTCCGTGCGTGTTTGCATACACTTCATGATCGATTAGTGTTTACTGTGCGTTGCTTCAATCCTGAATTGTTTAAAGCGATGCAGTCTCAGGGGATGATTTCTTACACTATTGCATTAAATTCTTAATACTACACGATGTGTAATGACCGACACATTTGTAATTTGTATTGCCAGAGCAAGCGATACGGGCTATCCATGGTTTGGGTCTTTAGTTACTACGGCATATTTTAAGAAAAAGTTTAAACGTTTTAACGCTCACGTCGCTGAATATAGTCGAAATAAATATCTATATACGATATAATATTCACATATTTTATAAAAGAAAAAAAAAACCCCGTCGCGTCGGGGCCCTGGTGACAAGTTGGATATACCGAGGTTTAAAGTAAAGTAAAAAAAAAAACAGAAAATCGATTCTTGGTAGATGTATTAACTTACTAGCACATATTTTGATGGTTTAAGAATTTCTAAAATCGGTCGAGTTAGTTTCAGAGTTAAATCGTCAAAAACAAACGAACAAAAAATCAAATCTTTCTCTATATAATAAAGTAGATGATATCGACAAACCATTAGGTATATACAATTTCAAACGTTTTTTAAAAGCCAGGGCCGGATGTATGGGAGGGCAACCGGGGCAACAGCCCCGGGGCCTCCACAGATGAGGGGCCCCCGCAATAGAGACTTCGGAAAAAAAAAAATCAAATTAAGTCTAGTAAACATTAGTAAACAACTTTTCTTTTCTTATTTTTTTTCGTGTTTTACTTTTACCTGCAGTACTTTGTACTAACATGATTATATTAAATATTAATAGGAATCAGTAGAAAATAGTATTCGGGGCCAAGGGGCCTCCACTCCTTTGTTGCCCCGAGGCTTCCAGACCTCTAAATCTGGTCGTGGTTAAAACCACCCTAATGGAAAGGGCTTATTATAATGTCGAGGAATACATTGAGGACAAGGATGTGTGGAAATGACTCTTGCTCTGCACTTGCAAGTCCCTTATTATTTGTATCACTAAAAAAAAGAAGAGATTACAAGACCGCCGAGTTTCTTGCCGGTTCTTCTATTAATAGACCTAGTTTAGTAAACCGGTGGTAGCTTTAGACGACAAAAAGAGCTTAAGATAATCCGCCTATATTGAATAGAGAAATTTTGAATTTGACCACTTTAATTCGTATCGGTTCAATTTCTACATTAACGCGCGATGTTGTGAACGTTATGTGGCCACGATTTAAGGCGTAGTTTTGAAGATTATTAAAGTTAGTAATTGGTTCTTTTTCTCTTTTCTCCTACCCTCATCCTAGCCGGATGCTGGATGGATTTATTTGTGCTATTAAAGCCTTGCTCTTATTCAAAATTGACAATTCTAGGTCAACCGGAAGTACCCTATAGGTTTTGGGTCGAAAACCTATACGGTAGTTCCCGGTGACCTCTTGATCCTCCCCTTTTTGGAAGATGGTTTAAAAAATATAGGATATAACCATCCTTTACGTTTCAAACGCGATGACAATAAAGAAATTGACGTAATTACGCTACGCGAAATCGACGTCATAAGCGCGAGTTTTTAATGCGAATTCCGATATTATAACAATCATTACTTTGTTACATTTGCGATTAGCTTAACGGTCGTTGCGTGCAGCGATCGTTTGTGCGTGGCGCGTAGCGATGCGTGATGTCCTGGTATTTAAAAGACCGTATGTGGATTTAGAGCACTTATATTGCCAAATGGCGTGGTCGGTAATGGGCGAATACGAGTTGGCTCTAATTATGGGCACGGCGAAACGAACACAACGTGTACACTAGGTACAAACGCGTTGCAGGGCGGTTCTCACCGTCGCGCCCCCAGCCACCGACTAATCAACACAGTCAACGGCCATCGGGATCACGGTCCGCACCGAACCTTGATTGCCCGTAGGCGACATGTCATAATTAACGCACGCATGAGTACATACGAAGCCCTACCCAATGGGGAGACTCTCAACCCCGTGGGTTCTGACTAGCCCACCGGCTTTTTAGAACCGAACCTTTAATAGGCTAAGGACTGAAAGCATAACATCAGTTATACAAATACAAATAAAGATATAGCTAGGGTTAGCTGGTAGAGAATGCAATTTAGCATTAAGCTCGCCTTTGTACAATTTTCTGTGCAATAAAGATTCTACAAGACGCGTCGATTGCGTCAGTCATAGGCGAATATGAGGAGATGACTGCCTCACTTCCATCCTTTTAAGTGATACGTATTTTGGCGCGTTTAAGAAAAGTCAGTTATAGGCGAATACGAAGAGATCAAAATCAAAATCATTGGCTAGGTTACACGGCTCCCGTGTTGTGCCGACCCTACCTTTGCGAAGAGGGCGGGATGTGATGATTGAGGTAGCGCGGAGCCCGCCCTTAAACCCGTTAGACCATGTTTTTTTGTATTTGAAAAGTTGTCAAGCGAGCAGTGGCATCACCTGGTGTTAAGTGATCATCGTAGATGCGTTGACGTTTTAAAAAGTGGGCCCCGGTCACCTCACTCGACAGACCAAACGCGAAAGTAAAACAATTCACGACGATCTTCTCTTAGGTCTTAGTACTATCCCAAAATAAGCCTGGCCATTTTTGCAACGTGACCCTATAGTTGTTGTAGGTAGTCAGAGATGCCGAGGGCTCGCTGGTGCGACAAGTTGCCACTGGCCACCGATCGCACCACCGGTGTGGCAAGCCCCGATTTTCACGCTCAGCGGGCGCGGTATTAAGGGCGGCGTGTCAGTTACGAAAGCGCATTAAGCCGCATTCCGCGCACGCGAGACCGACACGTTGTTCCAATCCAGATATCTTTATTCAATATAGAAGCATTAATATGAGAGGCCCAGGGAGAGATGACGTCAGGCAGGTCGTAAAAAACGTAGCCAAAACCGCTTACAACATGATTCATACGTTGTGCCGACCCCGCCTAGGTAGGATAAGGGCAGAAGGAGGATGATGATAGAAGCATTATGCTCTGTTAATGATTATAAAAACACTACTACCGGTTCGGAATTAAATCCGCTAAACTGAGATGAACCGCCGAATGAAAGTCAGCGGGCTTCTTTGCTTTTTTTTTTATAACATTACATCACAATGAAATATCTATGCAATACATTATTTGGTCGTAGCATTATTGCCGTTTGGCCATATAAAATGCGCAAAATTTATGTTTGTAAAACGTCTTTACAACACAGGATAATATAATCCTAAAGTTATGGCAATGTTTAAAAACTAAGAATACAATGTAAACAAATGTGGAATGCGAAATCGTTGGCCGGCTCATCGCCACATAATCTTCTTAGCAACGTCCAGACCTTGGATTGCAGAATATAGTAAAGTAAAGTAACAGCCTATACATGTCCCACTGCAGGGCAAAGGCCTCCTCTATACTGACGGTATCAGGGTCTATACCCACCACGCTGCCCCACTGCGGATTGGCGGACTTCACATATCTTCGAAATATTTTTTTTTGTTATTATTTCGAAAATTTGCAGGTTTCCTCACGATGTTTTCCTTCACCGCGGAACACGTGATAAGTCAGCACTTAAAGTTAAAAACTTCATTGGTGCCGGCACCGGGATCGAACTCAGGTTGCTAGAGTATATAGAATTAAAGGCGAGCGCCCGGACACTGAGCTATCACGGCTCTTTGCAGAATATCACGACACCATAATACTCGGAAAGAAGGATGGAAAATAAAAGCATAATAGCGGCCCAACTAGGGCGTGACCGATTCAGCAACTTCGACACGCGGTAATAATTACGTAGGTTATACAAGTTGTTAGGTAAGCTGTTTACATCATTTTCTTCAATCTATTTCTTTTAAGACTGCAATTAGTGTAAAAATTAAAAACGGCCAGTTATGCAATTTCTGAGTAAGTTTCCACACAACCTGCTGATATAGATAGAGTCTTCGTCGTTCCAGAATGTTAGGCGTTTACAATTAAGATTGCTTTGATTACATTCATAAAATACGGGCAGGTCCGTTCGGGTAAGTACCACGACCTCACAGAAGACTTTTAAATGATATTTTAGGTGTTATAACCGCCACCCATTGACATTTGCAACACGTAACACACAACAAAATAGGGTTGCAGATGCGTTGCCACCATTTAATAAAGTTTTCACCGGCCACCTCACTCACCAGCCGCAAAAGTATAACTACACGCCGGCCTGTGGGGTCGTGGTACTTCCCCAAACGGACCTACGGTCTGCCCAATCGTGCCACAGCGAAGACCGTTGCGTGGCGTACCATAGAAGAGTAGGTACTTTCCCGGCAAGAATAAAGTAGGTACTTTCCCGGCAAACAGATACATACATTTATCCTTGTATACGTAATATTTTATAACAATGACAACAACGGAAGAGTTACAATGCCCACTTCCCCAAAAGGACTACACAGCGACCCCGAACCTGTAGACTTCCTTAACAGGACCTTCCAATCCAGGACCATACCAATAGGCGTGGCATTCTTAAATAAAATATGTCTATGGTGCATAGCAGCCTAACCAGATTCATCTTTTGTCACATTCTTTGGCTAAATAAGGAACAGCTATCCTTTTCTAACCAGAAAGAGTTAAACGCGCGTCAGTGAATTGTACTCTAGACCGCAATCGTGCAGTCCCAATCAAAGTCTTGTTTCGCAGACCCACCAGGGGTCCAGTTCGAGAACGCGCTCCTGCAAGCCACGCCCGTGGACAAGGGCAAGTGCCCTTACGTGAGGCAGAACCACGACGTCGGATTCCAACTGTACACCAGGTACCGTTGCAATCTGTCCAAATATGATTCATCAACAATGCTAAATACTTTTCAGTAAATTGTATTTTTATGTGAAATGTTGCGAAACGAGCAGATGGTTCACCTTATGTTAAGTGACTACCGCCGCCAATAAACATATGCTACACCCGAGGGTTCCCAGATGCGTTGACAACCTTTTTGGAAATTGGGCTCCGGCCACCTCACTCACCAGACGAAACGCGAAAGTATTTGTCATACTTTCACTTTACGCCGGTCTTCTGTGAGGTCATTGTACTTACCCGGATGAGCGTGCCCATTCGTGCAACAGCCGAGGCTGCTGCGTGGCTCTACTACTGTTAAAAGCGTCTAAACTGGAATCCGTAAAATCAAATTACTAGCTAGTACAGTCAACGGCATAACAAGCCCCAATCATACAATCAGAAGCGATAATTGTATGTACTACAGAAATAAGGTATATACAAAGCAGATTAATGCTACCGAGAGGTGTAACGCAACCGTGTTTAAAATCACACTGCACGCTGGTCTTATAAAAGGACTAGCGACCCGCCCCGGTTTCGCACGGGTGCAATGTATTATACATATAAACCTTCCTCTCGATCCACTCTATCTATTAAAAAAAAACGGCATCAAGATCCGTTGCGTAGTTTTAAAGGTCTAAGCATACATAGAGACAGACATACAGCGGGACGACTTTGTTTTATACTATGTATTGTTTTTTTATTATGCAAAGTTAGCACGCGCGCAGGCGGCTCACCTTACATCTACAATATTTGAGGGATTGTCTTATAATATACTATGGATGGTCACCAAGGGGAGGAAGGGGAATAAAAAAATTGTCCATAATGGGTTAAGTAGTTTGGGTTCGTTCCCTAAGGTACGCTTCAGCCTGTACCAACCGCTAAAGAATGTGTGTTCTGTTCTTAAAGAAATAAGATCGAAAGTTTTTAAATCTTAAAATATGTAGAAAAAAAAGTACGAAAAGATTGTCGCCGCTGTGGGAATCGAACCCACGTCTTCGGCATTCGCGGCCTGATGCTCTAGCCACTGAGCTAAACGGCTGATTGCCATACCGACGAAAATCTTAACGTCTTTTATCTACATTGGTTTTTAGCATTTGAAGCAATGCCTGGCGCATCCATTGTTATATCCTTTCCAGCATACAAACAATTTCGAATATCGTTTTACAACGATAATTCTAACGAGAGATGTCGCCATTGCTTTTTAGAAATCTAAATTGTTTATAATGCTAATCTTTGCACTTAAGATTGAACATCAAAATATGTAGAAAAAGTACGAAAAGATTGTCGAAAGTTTTCAAATCTTCTCAATTTCAGGCACAACCCTACGGTCTTCCAGGAGTTGATGGTGAACGACGATGAGAGGCTGTTCGCCTCCAACATCGATTTTAACAACCCCACGGTTTTGTACTTCCACGCGTTCATGGAACAGGCCGCGGACGGCTCCGGGCTCATGGTCAGAGAAGGTGAGAGTGAGGGGGAGATGGGAGATTGAGAAAAGAGAGTACTATGTATGAGGCGATCCACCTATTTTTATATATATTGATCTCTCCTCGTATCGTGAAAATGTTACATTCAATTTGTTGGTTTGCATGTGATGGCCGATCTAGAGACAATATAGAGCTACTGAACCTATTTTCAAAATTTTATTAAAAAAAAAAAAAGCGTGTTTACAAGTACAAAGTAAAGTTATTACTGATTACGAAAGCTAATTTTTAGGACTGTGTTTTTTTTTTCGCACGACGCAAGGAACTTATATGGCCTGCAGAAATTATTCAGATTTAGATATTCATTGAAGTTTAATCATTTTAGCACTAGCAGTATTAAAATGATTTAGCATCATCCTATAGTGTGTTCATCCTATATTTAAGAGTAAGTCTTTCGAATACTCGGTCCTCAAAACTGGAATGTCAAAAGGCTCAACCTATCACCACCTTTCTTAACAAGCTCTGATGGAAAATGTTCGTGACTGTTATCTGTCTACAGTTTACCACTTGATGGCTATGTACGTGTATGTACAGGTACGTCCAACCCGCACAGGGGTGAGGAAGAGTGAGTAGAGCTGAAAAGCAGCTAACAGCTAGAAATTATACCAACCACTAGCTGATTGCAAAACGTAATGTCACTTATGGTTGTTAACGTGACGTATGCAAAAAAACCGAGATGTGTAGCTAAATCAGCCACAAAACGTCATAAAATTAACTTAGATTCAACCTTAAAACTGGATTAATCTCTCCTCTTGCCGGGGGCTATTTTATAGCCAACTCTTTGGTGAACCGAACTTTGGACGAATGGTTTCCCAACAGCCTACGTGCAGCGGGGCGACACCAATGTGATCATGGTCGAGGCACCGCGGCTCGAGGCGGGGCCGTGGTACTTCACGGCGGCGGAAAACACCTGGTACATCGGGCGTTTCGCGGCGCAGTTCGTGGACTACTTGGTGTCCAGGTTAGCTGCACTTTTAGGTCGTACTTAAGACTGGATACTGGCCCCATGATCAGCGAGTGTTGGAGGCAGCGCCATCCGGGGATTTTAGTGGTCCCGACCACACAACCGGTCCGGACAACAAAGGCGAGTATGCGTAAGCGTTTTATCACTGATTTAGTCAGTGAAGAAATGGTTACGCATGCAACGATGTGAAAAAACTCCATAAGAACAAGTTCTGTACTTTCTCGAGCGTGTGAATTCTCCAACGCCGCTTTAACCAGTTTCTTTGTAACATCGTCAGTATTTAATATGGGATTTTCCCGAGCGTGGGAAAACACCATTGCTCTTCAAGCACGGATCTCATATGGAGGTTTATTGACCTGAGGGCGCGGGTGACAACGATCTCGTCATCAAGGGAACATTTACATCTAAACTTATCAGAGTTACCACGATCATTCCTTCACGGCCTTTCAAAAATCCAAGGCTGAATTGACAAAATTTCAGTTCTATCCTAAGCTGCGACAACACTCCAAATGTTTGCAATAATCAAGGCACGAGAATCACCGACGCAATCGAAAAATAATCAATAAATATCATTAAGAGTTTTTCACCTTGTATTCTTATCCGACCTCATCACATAACCATTGATTGAAGGAAGTAAAATTAAATGTATTCATAGCTAACGACATTGGTCTCGATAAAGATGCTTCCAGAAATTTCGCTTTTGTAGTCGGGATGCTGTCTAATCGTTTGGGAGTCATTAAAGTACCATTTTAAATTGCAGGGGTCTAAAGCTGTCCAACACTCACTTTGTGGGGCATAGTCTCGGCGCGCATGCCGCAGGGGTCGCCGGCGCCGCCCTGACCTCCGGTATGTGGAAACTAAGTTTCTACAACAGACAACGCGGACGCAAGGTACAGTTTTGAGGTCCAAATAACATTTGGGTATACATAGTGGACCTAAATAGGGGTGAATTATAAACTAACACTCCTTGAGCTGCGGTAAAATACTTCTAAAAAAAATCGTGCGAGGAGTCCCTCCGCGCGGAAGAAGTGAAACTTCGTAATGTGGAAATGAAAATAGGAATGGGTAGAGATTATATTTTTAGTGAAATCATATTGTTTCTTTCAGACAAACTTGACAAACTTGTGATCACAGTTGATATTCACAAGACGTACCTTGAACCCTTAAATCCGTCGCATTGTCCGTGGGATTGAATTCGATCATTTTTTTACAATTCTTATCCGCTAAATTTGAAGATATGTGTACCAGGAGACTATAAGCCCGATCGGGTTAACTGTAAAAACCAATATAGGTTGACACCTCAACACTTGTCCCTTGCTACAGGCCGCGTGGCCAGGATAACTGGCCTTGACCCGGCGCTGCCGCTCTTCGACAAAGTGCCACCGGAGCAGAGGCTGGACCCGTCGGACGCGGAATTCGTGGACGTGATACACACGGACGCCGGGATATTCGGTACGTGTTATCGCAGACTCGAGCGTCCTTTCGACTTCTGCGCGCCTGGTACTTGGCTGCGTATAGTCCTCGGCGATAAATATCCATACTAATATTATAAATGCGAAAGTAACTCTGTCTGTCTATCTCCCTTTCACGCCAAAAGTACTGAACCGATTTAAATGAAATTCGGTACAGGGATAGTCTAGAGCACGGACTCGAGCGTCCTTTCGACTTCTGCGCGCCTGGTACTTGGCTGCGTAGAATACGTATAGTTCTCAGCGATAAGTATCCATCAATTTTAAATGTAAAAGTAACTCTATCTGTCTCCCTTTCACGCCAAAACTATTGAACCGATTTAAATGAAATTCGATACACGGTAGCCTGAGAAAGGACATAGACTATTTTTAATTGGAAAAAAGTGTCGTCAAGGGTTGAAAATGTTTTTATTTAAAAATATATATAGTTTTTAAAGAAAGATATTTATTTAAGGGCTTCAACGCCAGCGAAGCCGCGGGCAAAAGCTAGTTATAATATACGTCTTCGTCACGTATGTGGTGTGAGAGAGCTTATCCCTTAATTTCTACGCAACTCTCGTAAAACATTATCTCTGTGTCACAATTAGCTGACTTCAGATGTCCCTTCAGACTTCTGTCCGCCTGGTACGTGGTTGCATCGTAAAGTACTCAGCGATGAATGTTGCTGCATCGTTGTATGAAAAAGATAGCCGGCTTTGGGTTTCGTAAAGCGTTATCTCTGTCACACACTACGTGACGTTTGTCATTGTTCATATGTGCGATAGAGATAGCGCTCTACGAAAAAGTCATAAGGATATTTGGCATAATATTCCACGGTCTTTGACCGCCCTTTCGAGTTCAATGTATAATATAAAATAATTAAATAAAAAAAAATCTAAACACCTTTTCACCGAAGTGAGAAATATAGATAAGATAGACGAAGCCAGTATGGTAGTAGACGGTCTTCTGCCTATTGAACAATGTATTTTGCAGGTTTCCCCCACTCTATTGGCCACGCGGACTTCTACCCGAACGGTGGAAAGAGTCCGCAGCCAGGGTGCAACCTGGAGGTGGTGCTGTCCAAGCAGCTGCTGCTGAACAAGTGTGAGTAGACCCTCGAGAACCTTCAATCGCGTCACCCAAGCGGATGGGCAGACACAAGAGATACTATGATGCGTATCATCTCAAAATCGCATGATATAAAAAATATGAGGTAAATATTACGCTAGCGCACCGGAACGGAGGCACTCAAATTACGCCAATTGGTGTAGTTAGATATCGGGTATCTCTTTCCGTATCATCAGTTCTATATCATGTGTCACTTTCACTTATCTCTGTTAGTTATCATAGTTTCTTTCGCCTGTTTCTTCTCCGTTAGAATGACTATCGGTAAATGAAATGTATTTCTTATTTCGATGAATAAATGATTTGGATTTTAATTTGAATTGTATATTTAGTAGTTAGACCATTACTATAGTATTTTGACTTTTCCTGCACGGTTAAGAAATTGGACCCGGTTTTATATCATTAAAGGTTTCAGTAAACCGCTATAACACTATTATGTAATATTGATAAATATTAGGTACGTCTTTGATGGTTTCTAAAGAGACTAACTTGTCAGCCCAGAAGCAGTTACGCCTGTGATGGGTTCAAGCAGACATCTCCTCAGGGTCATCAGCCCAGGAGCAGGTAGCTTCGGTGGTAGGGCCACGCAGCGGCCTCGGCCGTTGCACGAATGGGCAGGCTCGTCCGGGTAAGTACCACGACCTCGCAGAAGACCGGCGTAAAGTGGAAGTATAATACTTTCGCGTTTGGCCTGGTGAGTGAGGTGGCCGGAGCCCAATTTTCAAAAGGCTGCCAACGCATCTGCAACCCTCGGGTGTAGCAGATGTCCGTGGGCGGTATTCACTTAACATCAGGTGGACCGTCTGCTCGCTTGGCAACTTTTCACATAAAAGAAGAGCACTATCCAAGCCACTGTCTCCAGTCTTTTGCAGCCACTGGCGGTCGTACATGTTCTTCGCGGAGTCCGTGACGAGGCCGGACTCCTTCGTGGCGACATCGTGCCCCACGTGGCACCAGTACCGGAGGGGGGGGTGTGCGGGTTCACACCGCGTGCACATGGGCTTCGGGCTGGACCGAAGGTGGGGTAGAGATGTTCGAGATCTAGATTTTTCCAGTGAACAGCGGCGAAGGAAAACATCACGAGGTGACCAGAGTGTTTTCGAAATGGTAACGAAAGAGAAATATCTCGGAAGAAACATAGGTTGTTGTTGATGTTTATCTCTCAATCCTGGAAAGTGATCTGTGGTAAATGGTGTTGGTGTCACAATTATTGAACTTGTATTATTATATTTACTTTAAGTTATTCTTCTTTATGACACGGTTTATGTATCCCAAATAAATAAAAAAAAAACGACGTTTGAAGTACGCCAATCCGTAGGGGGCTCGCATGGTTGACTCACTGATACACTGTAGAGGTGTTTGCCCAGCAGTGGGGCATTTATAGGCTGTTGTTTTACTTTCAACTTTTAATCGGCATATTTCTCCCTTCTCACCGCCCTATAGGCTGTTACTTTACTTTTTTTACTTTTTAATCGTAGATTTTATACTTTTTCAGCGCCCGCGGGAACTTCTATCTGATGACCCACCGGGACTCGCCGTTTTCGATAGAGTGACGGAAATGCACCGTAAAATCATAGACTTAAGGTCGATTGTGCAGTGTACAGCTAAGTTATGTGTAAATGTGAAATAGATATTAGTAAATATGCCTTGTTTCATTCGAAAATACACCGTAAACTTATAGACTTAAGGTCGATTGTGCAGTGTAAAGCTATGTTGTGTAATTGTGAAATAGATATTAGTAAATATGCCTTGTTTCATTCGAAAATACACCGTAAAATTATAGACTTAAGGTCGATTGTGCAGTGTACAGCTAAGTTATGTGTAAATGTGAAATAGACATTAGTAAATATGCCTCGTTTCTAGTGCTGGTTCGTGAATAAACGTCCAAAATCCAAATAAGTGACGTCCACAAACAACTGTGTAAATAATTTCAAAACGTTTCGTAAGAGCGCAACTGATGGAAAGGGCCTATTATAATGTGGAAGAATACTTTGACGACAAGGATGTGTGAAAATTTTCTGTACTTGCAATTTTGTTTGCTTCCGATTTCGTACATATTTTTTTTTTCGTATATATTTTTTTAAACCGGCCAAGTGCAATACGGACCCGCGCACGAAGGGTTCCGTACGTTATCTATAAAAACGGCAAAAAATCATGTCTGTTGTGTGCGAGCCCCACTTAAATATATTTTATTCTGTTTTTTAGTATTTGCTGTTATGGCGGCAACAGAAATACATCATCTGTGAAAATTTCAACCGTCGTAACTGTCACGGTACACGAGACACAGCCTGGTGACAGACGTAAACAGACAGACAGACAGCGGAGTCTTAGTAATAGGGTCCCGTTTTATCCTTTCGGAACCCTAAAAAGAACTTTATTCGACTCGAATAGATCCCGATGTGACACGTTTCACTGTCCAGGTCCATGAGCCACCACTCGCCACCACCGCCCCGTACCACCCACCTGTACATGTGCTGCGGATGCAGCAGCGAGCCCAGCACCAGCGAGTGGAGGTAGACCGGCCGCATCAGCCGCCCCAGCAGCGCCCCCTGCAGCCCCACCACGCACCAGCGCGCGGCCTTGTCTGAGCAGGACATCGTCAGCAGCCGCTCGCCCTGCCACCATCACCGTCAATCAATCCGACGTTAACTCTGCAGGGTCCCCCATGATAATGGGTGTCCCACAAGGATCGATCTTGGGTCCATTATTATTATTCTTTTATTTGAATTCGAATGCCTCTTCTTCGCATAAACAGCAATAACAAGGCGTGCATGACCCTCGAGTTGGACCCTCGTGCACAATACAGTGATGCACCCACCTGCAAGACCCCGTCCCAGGTCTGCACGAAGTTGTTGCAGTTCTTCACCGGTATCGTTCCCTCGCCGGACTCTATCTTCGTTCGCAGCTGGCCGCGGGCGAGTCTGGTGGCAGGATGGTCGTAGTCAGTCGCGTGTACAAAGCTTTAAGACGGCGTGTGCACCAAAACATGCCGGGCCACGCGACGGCCTTCGCTGTTGCACGAACGAGCAGGTCCGTTTAACTTAGTTGGCTAAAGTGTCTCAAATTCACACAGCGGCGAAAAACTTTCTGTACTTTTTTTCTACAAATTTTAAAATATTTATAATTATAATAAACTTTAAAACATGTAGAAAAAGTACGAAAAGATTATCGCCGCTGTGGGAATCGAACCCACGTCTTCGGCATTCGCGGCCTGACGCTCTAGCCACTGAGCTAAACGGCTGATAGCCACATACGAAAATCTTAACGCCTTCTTTCTACATGTTATTTAGCCAAGCAATGCTTGGCGCATCTATTGTTAAAGCATAACAATTAGAAATATCGTTTTCAACGATAATTCGAACGAGAGATGTCGCCATCGCTTTTTATAAATTTTAAAGTTTTTTATAGTGCTAATCTCTGCACTTAAGATTGAACATTCACACACATTTTTGAAGACGTCGCTGTGGCTATCAGCCGTTTAGCTCAGTGGCTAGAGCGTCAGGCCGCGAATGCCGAAGACGTGGGTTCGATTCCCACAGCGGCGATAATCTTTTCGTACTTTTTCTACATGTTTTAATGTTCAATCTTAAGTGCAGAGATTAGCACTATAAAAAACTTTAAAATTTATAATAAACTTGTTCAAGAACGAAACGCAATTACGAAACAATCGAGACATCACACTTTTCGTAATGCTCTCGTCGCGCGCTCCCCAAGTCATGCTTGCGGTCGGGCGCCCACCTGTTGGGGCGCTCGTCGGGTTAACGCTGAGCAGGTCAAACGATCAAGCTCAAATCACCGTTCGCGTAACACACTTGTCGTAACGCCGATCGCACTTGCTTAGAAAAGACCAGTGCCCATCTGTCGGGGTGCTTGTCGGGCTCCGCCTCGGTATGCTCGTGGGGGCTTTAAGTCGAGCAGCTCAAAAAATCAAGATCAAATCAAATCACCGTTCGCGTAACACACACTTGTCGTAACGCCGATCGCACTTGCTTCGAAAAGCCCAGCGCCCACCTGTTGGGGTGCTTGTCGGGCTCCGCCTCGGTATGCTCGTGGGGGCTTTAAGTCGAGCAGTTCAAAAAATCAAGATCAAATCACCGTTCGCGTAACACACTTGTCGTAACGCCGATCGCACTTGCTTCGAAAAGCCCAGCGCCCACCTGTTGGGGTGCTTGTCGGGCTCCGCCTCGGTATGCTCGTGGGGGCTATAAGTCGAGCAGTTCAAAAAATCAAGATCAAATCACCGTTCGCGTAACACACTTGTCGTAACGCCGATCGCACTTGCTTCGAAAAGCCCAGCGCCCACCTGTTGGGGTGCTTGTCGGGCTCCGCCTCGGTATGCTCGTGGGGGCTATAAGTCGAGCAGTTCAAAAAATCAAGATCAAATCACCGTTCGCGTAACACACTTGTCGTAACGCCGATCGCACTTGCTTCGAAAAGCCCAGCGCCCACCTGTTGGGGTGCTTGTCGGGCTCCGCCTCGGTATGCTCGTGGGGGCTATAAGTCGAGCAGTTCAAAAAATCAAGATCAAATCACCGTTCGCGTAACACACTTGTCGTAACGCCGATCGCACTTGCTTAGAAAAGACCAGTGCCCACCTGTTGGGGTGCTTGTCGGGCTCCGCCTCGGTATGCTCGTGGGGGCTTTAAGTCGAGCAGTTCAAAAAATCAAGATCAAATCACCGTTCGCGTAACACACTTGTCGTAACGCCGATCGCACTTGCTTCGAAAAGCCCAGCGCCCACCTGTTGGGGTGCTTGTCGGGCTCCGCCTCGGTATGCTCGTGGGGGCTTTAAGTCGAGCAGTTCAAAAAATCAAGATCAAATCACCGTTCGCGTAACACACTTGTCGTAACGCCGATCGCACTTGCTTCGAAAAGCCCAGCGCCCACCTGTTGGGGTGCTTGTCGGGCTCCGCCTCGGTATGCTCGTGGGGGCTATAAGTCGAGCAGTTCAAAAAATCAAGATCAAATCACCAAAAATCAAGATCAAATCACCGTTCGCGTAACACACTTGTCGTAACGCCGATCGCACTTGCTTCGAAAAGCCCAGCGCCCACCTGTTGGGGTGCTTGTCGGGCTCCGCCTCGGTATGCTCGTGGGGGCTTTAAGTCGAGCAGTTCAAAAAATCAAGATCAAATCACCGTTCGCGTAACACACTTGTCGTAACGCCGATCGCACTTGCTTCGAAAAGCCCAGCGCCCACCTGTTGGGGTGCTTGTCGGGCTCCGCCTCGGTATGCTCGTGGGGGCTATAAGTCGAGCAGTTCAAAAAATCAAGATCAAATCACCGTTCGCGTAACACACTTGTCGTAACGCCGATCGCACTTGCTTCGAAAAGCCCAGCGCCCACCTGTTGGGGTGCTTGTCGGGCTCCGCCTCGGTATGCTCGTGGGGGCTATAAGTCGAGCAGTTCAAAAAATCAAGATCAAATCACCGTTCGCGTAACACACTTGTCGTAACGCCGATCGCACTTGCTTCGAAAAGCCCAGCGCCCACCTGTTGGGGTGCTTGTCGGGCTCCGCCTCGGTATGCTCGTGGGGGCTATAAGTCGAGCAGTTCAAAAAATCAAGATCAAATCACCGTTCGCGTAACACACTTGTCGTAACGCCGATCGCACTTGCTTCGAAAAGCCCAGCGCCCACCTGTTGGGGTGCTTGTCGGGCTCCGCCTCGGTATGCTCGTGGGGGCTTTAAGTCGAGCAGTTCAAAAAATCAAGATCAAATCACCGTTCGCGTAACACACTTGTCGTAACGCCGATCGCACTTGCTTCGAAAAGCCCAGCGCCCACCTGTTGGGGTGCTTGTCGGGCTCCGCCTCGGTGTGCTCGTGGGGGCTGAAGATCCTGCCGTCGCCGCAGGGCGCCGTGCTCACGTACAGGTGCAGCTGCCGGTCGGGGCGCAGCTGGAAGCCGCCGCCGGGGAGGGGCTCCAGGTCCGAATCCGGCAGCGGGCGGCGGGGGTCTGGCGGTCGGAAAGAAATTTGTGAGGCGACCCCAATGGCGTAATGGTTAGTGTGCCTGCCTCCTGCGCGAGAGCGTGTGGCTTCGATCGCCGCTACTGGAAAAATATTGTGTGATGAACCATATTCTCACATCTCCAATTACTCCAAGAAAATAGTTATTTAATTTTCCAAAACAAATAACTAGAACATCATAATTAGAACTTCCGAACGGTCACAAAGCATTTGAATTGGTTGAATGAATTCAAAGAAATAAAACATAATGATAGGATAAGACAAATTGATTCTTGCTAACTCAAAGTTTAAAAACGAGGGGGGGGAAGCATCAAGGGCTATCTTACCTGATGATGTCGCATACATCAGCAGCTGAGCGTACAGGAACCTCTGCAGGCATCGGCGTGCCGCGACCTGAAAAACAAACAGCACTTTTAAGTTCACCAGCACTGAACAACACAGTAGTGTATAACCATTCCATTCCCAAAGGGGGGACGTGGTCGAAATACATAACAGTGGTGGTACGCAACAGTCTTCGCTGTTGCACGAACGGGCAGATATTTTTTTTTATTTGAAAAGATGCCAAACGAGCAGACGGTTCACCTGATGTTAAGTGAATACCGCCGCCCATAGACATCTGCTACACCCGGGTTTGCAGATGCGTTTGGAAATTGGGCTCCGGCTACCTCACTCACCAGACCAAACGCGAAAGTATTTGTCATACTTCCACTTTGGGCCCGTCTTCTGTGAGGTCGTGATTCTTATCCGGACGAGCCTGTCCATTCGTGCAACAACCGAGGCTTCTGCGTGGCTCTACCACCGATAACCAGATACCAAGTTCGTCCGGGAAGTACCAGGACCTCACAGAAGACCGGCGTGAGGTGCAAGTGTTACACTTCGGCGTTTCATCCGGTGAGTGAGGCAGCCGGGACCCACTTTATTACAAGGTGGCAACGCATTTGCAATCATAAATATGGGTAAAACACCATCAGCAGTTTTATTTCAGCCACCCACTTTCTCCCACCAAGTCTATCCAGGATATCAGTTCGACAACCCACACAGAGCGTGCTCCGTCCAAAAAGACGATATCACCAGCACCAAATCAATCGAAGCAAGTCCAGCACCGTCCAAACGTAGTGGTTTATCACCACCACCGTAGATGACGGTATTGGCTTCGGCGCCGAAGGTCGATGTGATGGTTCGATTCCCACATGACACAGCTATTCGTGTGATCCACGTAATTTTTTAGGATCTACTTTCGAAGACTAAGGTGGTAGGGCCACGCAGCAGCCTCGGCTGTCGCATGAATGGGTAGGCCCGTCCGGGTAAGTACCACGACCTCACAGAAGACCAGCGTAAAGTGGAAATATGACAAATACTTTCGTGTTTCGTCTGGTGAGTGAGGTAGCCGGAGCCCAATTTTCAAAAGGTTGTCAACACACCTGCAACCCTCGGGTGTAGCAGATGTCCATGGGCGGTATTCACTTAACTTCAGGTGAACCGCGTGCTCGCTTGGCAACTTTTCACATAAAAAAAATCTTCTCGGTCACAGTGGTCCTTGGGACTTACCACCCAACCGCTTCCGCATGAAATATGAAATTACCTCCGCGTGGCAGTCGTTGAGGGCCATCCCCGTCACTGACATGTGCTCGCCGGAGACACACTTGGTGCCGGTGGTCACCGCTATCACCTGCAACGGGTCCAGGATTCAGGGCTGTGGCATGTGGTACTGGACCAGAGGCCTAACCGTCTTTTTTTTTTCATTATGTTAACAAACTTCCTCGTAGACTCGTGGTCCGTACTCTTTTTTAGTTTTCATTTAGAGTTCATTTTTTTGTTCCTTCTTGTGCTGTCACCGCGGTAGCGGTACAGCAGTTAGTTAATATTTAATAATTTTTTTTGGCTGGTCTGTTGCCACACTGTTGTTGGGATAGGAGGTTTTGGCCAGAAGTTCTGTTTACTTTTCTGGCGATAGTGTGTTATGCGGCCTAACCGTTAACCGTGGGGGTTTTCACTTAACATCAGATGGACCATCAGCTCGTTTTCTACCTTTTCCCATAAAATAGTAATTTTGGTATAACCAACGAGCTGTAGTCCAAAAACACGAGTCTTGTTATTGGCCTTAGCGAATAGACCATACAAAAAGCTAATAGACCTGACATTTTAAGCGTGGCAGAATTTCAAAAAGGCCAGTGTTAGGAAGTGTTACACTTCTGGCGTATAATCTGGTGAGTGAGTAAGAGAGCCACAAATATCGATTGTCAGCGGTTATCATTTAAAGTCGGCTGAACTGTCAGCTCGTTAGCCAGCTTTTCACCTAAAAGAACGCAGGTTCGATTCCCGCAACATCCAACGCTTTCCTTCAAAACCATCACAGCTTCAAATAGATGGTCAGATAGCACGTGTGCTCACCCTCGCGCTGTCCACGCTGTAGTTGACGGTGATCACGATGCCGGCCAGGACCTTCCGCTTTGAGTGGACTAGGTCGCCGCGCATCAGCTCCGTGAACTTCTCGTTGATCAGCCTGCAACGGCACGGGCTCAACGGGCTTAAGCGAGTTAATGGTACGATGGGATTCGTGTCGCGATCGTGAGCGAGAGGCAAGACGCGACAGGTGATGAGCCTGTCGCTGTGTAGGGCTAAAGAGATGCGCAACACGGTCGTCAGGGTTCGAGATAAGTGCAAGCCGAGTTAGGTGATCAGCCTGTCGCTATAACTTGTCCAATGAGATCGGCATCCAATTCATCAGAGGTCGAGATAAGCACAAGACGCCTTAGGTGACAAGCCTGTCGCTGTGTAGGGCCACAAACATCCACATCACGGTCATCAGTGGTCGAGATAAATAGAAGCTGAGTCAGGTGATGAGGCCTGTTGCTATGAACGGCCCGATGAAATCCACATCACTGTCTTCAGAGGTCGCGATAAGGCCAAGCCGAGACAGGTGATAAGCCTATCGCTATAACATGTGCAGTGAGACTCGCATCCAGATCATCAGAGATCGAGAAGAGTACAAGCCGGGGCAGATGATGAGCCTGTCGCTGTGACGACCTAGTGTAATTCGCATTAGAGTCATCAGAGGTCGAGATAAGTACAAGCCGAGTCAAGTGACGAGGTCTGTTGCAATGAACGGCCCAGTGAGATCCCAACACGGTCATCAGAGGTAGACATAAGTACATGCGACAGGTGACGACTCTGTCGCCGTGACAGACAAGTTCATAGTTCAAGTTTCGATTTATGCTATTGAACACTGTGACGTCAGGTTTTATGTATCTGGTCGTTTTGAGTTATAGCCTTGTAGTGATCACAATACCAAATGTATGTTAATAACCAACACACATTCGGATCGAACTTACTCAATGTCGACCTCTCTAAATGTTTTCCCAATGATTACAATTTAACAATAGACCGGATGAGTACACTGGAGCACTCCAAGTGCTCGTCGATACGTGTGAAGAGTTCCCCACGGTCTACTTCACCAGCTCCGTGCGGAGGCACTCACAAACGCTCAAGAGCGTCGAAACTATTGACGAGTTCCCCACGGTCTACCGGACCAGGTCCCTTCGGAGGCACTCACCTCAGTTGCCCACGGTCTACTTGACCTTGACCACTCACCTCGCGACGTGGTCCGCCAGCAGCTGTGGCAGGGGCTGGGTGGAGGGGGCCGCCTTGGGGGGGGCGAGGCGGGTCTCGCCCAGCTCGCCCAGGGCGGCGCGGGCTGCCGCCAGCTTCGCCAGCTTCTTGCTGGACCCTGGAACCCGTCACCCGACGAGGTATCAGGCAATGGAATCAGAAAGGTGATGATTTCGGTGGCAGACATCGCTCGTAACGGCAGCTGTTTCACTTTGGTCAGCGACTGAACATGTACTGGCTCACAGAAGACCGGCGTGAACTTCTGCGTTCCGTCTGGTGACTGGCGTAACCCTGGTTCAATTTTTTTATGGTGGCAACGCATTTGCAACCCTACGGGTGTTGCATATGTTCATGGTCTCACCAGTCGAAACGCAGTATAACACTTTAAGCTCACGTCGTTTTTCCGTGAGGTCATGGTACTTCTACGGAGGAACCTACCAGTTCGTGCAACAGCAAAGACTGCTGCGTGGCCCTACCACACTTATCCTATACATCACTTGACGCCGGTCTACTGTGAGTAGCCTTACCAGACGAAATGCGGAGGTGTAATGCTTTCACGGGGCCCTGCCACCGTCGTGTCAAACTATTGGATGCCCATTCGTGCAACAGCGGGGTCCTGCCACCGTCCTTTGGGTATTGCTTCAACCACACTCACCGTATCCCTCGAAGCGCTGGTCTTTGATCTGGCAGACGACCTTGAACCGCATGCTGTGGCTGAGCTGCAGCGGTGCTACGGACAATATAAGACTATATTAAATGGCTGCTTGAGGCCACAAATTATCAATGGGTATGACCCACGAACACTAGGAAGCTCCTTCCTTCTCTGTCACACATCCTCTTTCTCCTCCTCAGCGACTCACCGTGCATCGAGTCCATGGGCAAACCGTCAAATATATACCAATTATACAAGGGTATGGACCCACGAACACTTGCAAACTCCTTCCTTCTTTCTCACACATCCTCTCTCTCTCTCTTTCCTCCTCGACGACTCACCGTTCATCGAGTCTAGGGGCGAGCCGTCAAACACTTCCAATTATACAAGGGTATGGACCCACGAACACTTGCAAACTCCTTCCTTCTTTCTCACACACACTCTCTCTCTCTCTCTCTCTCTTTCCTCCTCGACGACTCACCATTCATCGAGTCTAGGGGCGAGCCGTCAAAGACTACCAATTATACAAGGGTATGGACCCACGAACACTTGCAAACTCCTTCCTTCTTTCTCACACATCCTCTCTCTCTCTCTCTCTCTCTCTCTCTTTCCTCCTCGACGACTCACCGTTCATCGAGTCTAAGGGCGAGCCGTCAAAGACTACCAATTATACAAGGGTATGGACCCACGAACACTTGCAAACTCCTTCCTTCTTTCTCACACATCCTCTATCTCTCTCTCTATCCTCCTCGACGACTCACCGTTCATCGAGTCTAGGGGCGAGCCGTCAAAGACTACCAATTATACAAGGGTATGGACCCACGAACACTTGCAAACTCCTACCTTCTTTCTCACACATCCTCTCTCTCTCTCTCTCTCTCTTTCCTCCTCCACGACACACCGTTCATCGAGTCTAGGGGCGAGCCGTCAAAGACTACCAATTATACAAGGGTATGGACCCACGAACACTTGCAAAATCCTTCCTTCTTTCTCACACATCCTCTATCTCTCTCTCTATCCTCCTCGACGACTCACCGTTCATCGAGTCTAGGGGCGAGCCGTCAAAGACTACCAATTATACAAGGGTATGGACCCACGAACACTTGCAAACTCCTTCCTTCTTTCTCACACATCCTCTCTCTCTCTCTCTCTTTCCTCCTCGACGACTCACCGTTCATCGAGTCTAGGGGCGAGCCGTCAAAGACTACCAATTATACAAGGGTGTAACCCACGAACACTCGGAAGATCCTTTCTTCTCAGTCACACATCCTCTCTCTCCCTTTCTCTTTCCTCCTCGGCGATACAGCCTGCATCGAGTCCAGGGCCGAATCGTCAAAGGCGATCAATCATTCATTCGTAGACCCACGAACACTCTGAAGCTCTTGTCATCTCTCTCACACATCCTCTCTCTCTCTCTCTCTCTCTCTCCATCCGGGCGACTCACCGTGCATCGAGTCCAGGGGCGAGCCGTCAGACTACCAATTCTACAATGGTGTGACCCACGAACACTCGGAAGCTGCTACCTTCTCTCTCACACATCCTCACTCTCTCTCTCTCTCTCTCTCCTCCTGAACTCACCGTGCATCGAGTCCAGGGGCGAGCCGTCCCCGTAGGTGCAGACGAAGCTCAGCCCCGGGTAGTTCTCGTAGAGCGTGTTGATGGGGCTCTTGAGGGGCGCCGCCTGCGGGGGCGCGCCGAACAGCACCGAGCCGGGCGACAGGCTCGTCGCCGGCAAGGCCGCCGCCGCGGCTGGCGGGTTTAACGGCGACACGCGACAGGTTTAACGGCGCCGTTCAGTGTCAGCGAGAGCAAAGTGACAGCCTCGGAATTCAGGCCGGGTCGGAAAGACAAATGATTGGACGATTCTTTTTTTTTTTTTTTGCGCTATCTGGCTGTCTGTTTTTTTATTCTTTTTTTACCGTTTTTTGTCACAGCGACAACAAAAATAAAAAAAAAATAATCACATGTGAACATTTCAACTGCCTAACTCACGGTTCATGACATCCAGCCTGACAGACTGACAGATAACGGTGTCTTAGTAAAAGGGTCGCGTTCTAACCTTTAGGTAAAAAAAAAAGTAACAGCTTATACATGTCCCACTGCTGGGCAAAGGCCTCTTCTATACAGAGGGTATCAGGGCATAGTCCACCACGCGGCCCCACTGCGGATTGGCAGACTTAACATAATTTCGAAATATATTTTTTTTTGTTATTATTTCGAAAATATGCAGGTCTCCTCACGATGTTTTCCTTCACCGCGGAGCACGTGATAAGTCAGCACTTAAAGTTAAAAACTTCATTGGTGCCGGCACCGGGGATCGAACTCAGGTTGCTCGAGTATATTGAATTAAAGGCGAGCCCCCGGACACTGAGCTATCACGGCTCGCTCTTTTAGTACTCTTTAGATACGGAACCCTAAAATAAAATAATGACTATCGATACAAGAAGTGCATGTTTCACATGTCGATGAATAAATGATTGTTTATATTTTATTTTTGGTGATTTACGAGCAATGGCTGAAGGGATACCTGGCGCCACATCGACACTCATCTCCTCCGTGCCCGGCTGCTTCGTCTTCATCTCCAGGCACTGGAACTCGGACACTGCGGAATGACCGTCGGGGGATTAGACACTGGCACAGTGAGGTTGTAAACCAGCTGGCGGTTCACCTGATGTTAAGTGATAACCGCCGCCCACGGACATTTGCAACACCCGTAGGGTTGCAGACGCGTTGCCACCTTTAAATAAAGCGGGCCCCGTCTACCTCAATCATCGGACGAAACGCAGAAGAGTAGGTCGTGGTACTCCCCGGAATAAACTATGTGGAAATACTATTTTCATCACACAATATTTTTCCCAATAGTGGGTATCGAACCCACACTCTCTAGCGCAAGAGGCAGGGCCGTAATAAACTACGCCAATTGGATCGCCGTTGGGAATAGCAGTCTCGTGCGATCGAGCCCACAACTGACTCTCGGCCCTCTCCCTCTCAAGCAAGGGTCACTGTCAACTACGACAATTGGGTCATCGTTGGGAATAGCAGTCTCGTGCGAACGAACCCACAACTGACTCTCTGACCCTAGACTCTCTTTCTAGCAACTGACCTCGTTTCCTCGAACCGCCTCTCTGACCTCTCCCTCTCGAGCAACTGACCTCGTTTCCTCCAATTGACTCTCTGAGCTCTCCCTCTCGAGCAACTCACCTCGTTTCCTCGAACCGACTCTCTGACCTCTCCCTCTCGAGCAACTGACCTCGTTTCCGCGGCGGCTCGTCGCTGGTGAAGTCCTGGTGCCTGGGCGGCGCCGGGAGTAGACGACCAGCTCGCGCCAGCAACGCGCTGAGACAGGTGCGCGCCGCGGCCGCCCTCGCCTCCCGCTTGCTGTGGCCCCAACCCTCGAACGTCATGTCGGCCACCTGCACGGCCGCCATTTTGTTGAACCTATACTTATTTAGGCGTCTTACGAAAAAAATATGAATTTAACTGTGGTACGGCCACGCAATTAACATCAGGTGAACTCGGCGCCCGCTTGGCAACTTTTCACATTAAAAAAAAACTATGAGTGAAATTTTAAGATGCGCGCACATCACTGTAACCCAAAAGTAACACCTTTGAAGCTGCCCGCTTAACCGCTTATTATAGATGGCAGCATATTCTCAATCACATTCGCCCGTTACAGTTCTCAATAAAGAATGTAGATGGCGCTTTCATAATTTTATCATTTTTGTTATTCATACCCTTTTCCAGTCTTTTTTTATTTTATTGTCATTAACTATTTGCGTGCAATTAAAAACTTTTTTTAATGATGCCAAACAAGTTTAACTTCGCACGCACGTACATAAGAACACGCAGCCATTTTTGTTTTATTCTATTTTAAATTTTTTTAAAGCCGAAGATGAAAGCTGTAACTAGGGAGTAACAAATATTAAGAAAAATACACTAAAATTAACATGTAAGCCTACAATACTACTATGTGTGGAAAAGATTATGCATCGGGCAAGATTGTATGGGAAAAATTGTTTAAATGTAGAAAGTACTTTAGCAATTCAAACTTCACGTCGAGGAACTAAGTTAAGATATAGAGGATCCACTCTGCGTCAAAAGCTAGTCATACAAAGATATCGAAGGTGGGTCACTCACCGTCAAACGCAAGTCGCACGAAGATATAGAAGGTGGGTCACTAACCTTCAAAAGCGAGTCATACAAATATATCGAAGGTGGATCACTCACCGTCAAAAGCGAGTCACACAAAGATATCGAAGCTTGGTCATTCCCGTCAAAGGCGAGTCACATAAAGATATCGAAGTTGGATCATTCACCGTCAAAAACGAGTCACACAAAGATATCGAAGCTTGGTCATTCCCGTCAAAGGCGAGTCAAAAAGATATAGTCGAGTCAAAAGCGAGTCATACAAGATATCGAAGGTGAGTCACTCACCGTCAAAAGCAAGACGAAGATCACTAACCTTCAAAAGCGAGTCATACAAATCACTCACCGTCAAAAGCGAGTCACACAAAGATATCGAAGCTTGGTCATTCCCGTCAAAGGCGAGTCACATAAAGATATCGAAGGTGGATCATTCACCGTCAAAAACGAGTCACACAAAGATATCGAAGCTTGGTCATTCCCGTCAAAGGCGAGTCACATAAAGATATAGGTCACTCACCGTCACGGCGACGGTGAAACTGGGGCAATGTGCGGGGCCGCCCTGCTGCAGCACCGCGTAGCTGACCCTGACGCCCAGCTCGTTGAGGGCGGAGACGGGCGACTTGCCGCCAGACTCAACGGCGTCTGCCGCGTTCGCCAGGGCCTGCGACGATAGTCCAAATGGCCGAGCTATTGTGAGCCAGTGGTGCAGTTGCCGAGCTATCGGCGACAACGGCGGTCGTGGGTTCGATCCACGCACGGGACAAGTTTTTGTACGACACGGGCAAAATTTTTGCACGATTTGCCTGCGTATTTTGTAGGCTTAAAAAGGAAAGAACAGCTAAAGGTAAGTGTGACAATTTTCCACACAAACACTTGTCCCGTGTGGGAATCGAATCCAGGAATACCGGCGCCGAAACGAGGCTTAGCCACCACGCTATCGAGTCATCAGTTAACATGTCAGATTTTAAAATTTGAGAACAGTCGCCATTTGGTGAAAAGCTTACCTATTTTATTTCCATTTGTTATTGCCATCTCCTTGAAATATATAAGAACTAACTGGCCCGCGCAACTTATTACAACAAAACAACTTAAGTAAAGACGAAGTTGTGTTTTTCAAAAAAAAAATTCAAAAAAATCTACTGGGTCCATACGTTTCGATTTTTAACATAGAGCCACCTATTGGATACTTGCTCAATCCAGCCGATAAATTTACCTTACACCGCCATCTGTTAAAATTTTATGGAACTTTTATGACTCCGTGGCGCAGTTGCCAAGGTCTCGGCTTCGGCGTCGGGGGTCGTGGGTTCGATTCCCACACGGGACAGTGTGCTGCACAAATAGTTGTTTCGTATCTGGGTGTTTGTCTGAAGTTTGTGTTTGTAACAACGTCTTTACAACACATGGTAATGTTATCCCAAAGTAAGGGCAATATTTTTGTACTAAAAAAAAACTCACAGATAACTCTTTGTCATGTAATAAAAAAATAATTTGCAATAAAATAATGTTGCGACTATAAATCGAGATGGAAGCTATTCTATCTTTCAAGTTGCATCAAACTGCACACTCTGTGCAAATTTGATTAAAATCGGTTATGTAGTCTAGGAGTCCATCGCGAACAAACAACGTGACACGTTATTTAGGATATAGAAATAAACAATTCTAACCTGGAGATTCCATTTGAAACCGGCGTCTAGTCTGATGGCGGGCGCCGCTCGCTTCGCCGGCGGGGCTCCATCTGTTTGCAATGGTTAAAAAATAAAAAAATAAGACATTTATTGAAGACACCACATAACACGATTATCCGATTATAACATAGGCGTCTTCAAGCCAAGAGTGAATAGGCTTTTACTGAGCTAGCGCGCTTACCATTCACGGCTGCATCGCTACTTACCATCAGGTGGGATGGCTAGTCCAGCGCTAGTCAGTTCCATAATAAAAAAAAAAAAAAAAAAAAAAACACCAATGTACAAAATGTAATAATCTTTATATAGTTAAGGTATACCAAGAAATAATAACATAAAATAAAAAAACAAATTGTATTTCGTACGTAAGTATGGGGTTGCGCGATACACGAAAATGTCCCCCGACTCAGCATAAAAACAAAGGTCCCTTGGAAAGACCTTAGCACTGTTTTTAAGTCGGAACAAATAAAAAAAATTAGGATATAAAAACAGTCAATAGTAGTATAGTCTTTCCTCTCTCCTGCCTTATCCCACCTAGTTGGGGTCGGCACAACATATGAATCATGTTGTAAGCGGATTTGGCTATGTTTTTACGACTGCCTGACGTCATCTCTCATTAGGAAACAAACACCGGAAAAACTATCTGTTGGTTACACAAATACTTGTCGCGTGTGGAAATCGAACCCAGGACACCCGACGGTAACGTTGAGAGAAATGTTGATGAGAATCATTAACATATTCTGGGCCGTTCAATCATATGCTTCCAACACTAGAAACCGTGGTCACACAGTCTAGTCTTGTAACTATGTTTATGTTGTAATATAGACTTAACAGTTCGAACTATTCGTATAAATAAAAAAAAGGACAACTTTTGTATTGGCAAAAATAACACCATAAATCTATATATATAAAAATGAATGTTGGTAAGCGCGTAACTCAAGAATGGGTGGACAAATTCGGATAATTTTTTTTGTATGTCCCTTAAGGTCCACGGAAGGTTTTAATACTATAAAAAAAAACTTTTGACAGAACAAAGTTGTTCTGGCAGCTAGTTTTGTATAAAAATTGTGATCTTATTATAGTAGTAACAATCATGCGATGTGATCATGTAAGTCTAAATTACTTCAATGTGATGAACTTAAAAAGTTTGGTTGGAAAGTCTGTAGTGGATGATTGTATGGGATTTAGGGAGTGCGTGCCATTCGCGTAATTAAATAAAACCGTTTTAAAACTTTTAAGTTAAACGGTTTTATTTTCTGTTTTTTTTTTTGTGCACCGAAAACTAAAATATTGTATTGTCATCTAAATTAAATGTGTGTACCAAATTTCAGATCAATCTGACAACGGGAAGGTGCTTAAATTTCAATTTCTATTTTTGACCCAAATAAACAAATAAATTCCGTACGTGTCGAGCTAAATAAAACCGTTTAAAAAGTACAACTTTGGTATAAAAACAAAATCGATTTCAAGTATACCACTCACTATACATTTTCTATTCGATTTTAGTTCTTCATAATTATATCTCAGTCTAAGGTCCTTCATAATTATATCTCAGTCTGAAAACCTTCCGAATATTTGGACCTTGGGGAATAATTTTATGAATTTATTCATCTTTTAATGAAATACCCTTGAAATTACGTCACGTAAAAATGACAAATAAGTCTGGTCTCCCATAGCTTCGGACACAAATCATCGCATCTTCGGTTTTTTTGTGATGAATGATCGGATGTTTGATGAGCCAGTGTCTTGATTTAAAGCGTCTCTAAGATGAATGTTTCACCAGCCCTCAGTCTCTGGTGATTACGACATCATATTTAATTCAATCTTTATGATATCTTTTTGCCATCATATCGACAATGTATTGAATAAGAACCGGTCAAGTGCGAGTCAGACTCGCACACGAAGGGTTCCCTACCGACCTCACAGAAGACCGGCGTAAAATAGAAGTGTTATACTTCTACGTTTCGTCTGGAGAGAGAGGTAGCCGGGGCCCACTTTATTTAAAGATCCGCTGAAACGTTAGGGCGACTACGGCAGCCCAAATTTTTTAAGCGTCAAACGTTAGGGCGACTATGGCAGCCCAACCACTTTGTTAACTTTAAAAGTAATTTTCTCCATAGAATTGTCGTAGTGGTTCAATATCGCTAAAAAAGATGGTTCCTGATTAAAAAACGCGTCTTTTGGTGGGTAGAACACAATAAACGGCGACAGCTACCCTCAAAAAAAAAAAATTGTTTACAAAAACTGTTCGAAGTTATTTCAAGTGGTTGTGGGGTCCGCATTTACAATGTAAGTATTGATTTATTTATAAACGCAGTGTATTAGTATTATACATTGAAATAATCCTCATGAATATTTCTTTCATGATTACATCAAATTATATGAATCCAAAGTCTAAAAGAATATTATTTCGGGTGATAAAATGAACACTTAAAAATCGTGCCGGTTTTCATAATTAAAATTGTCTTATATATTATATATTGTAGTAAAATATTCCTAGTAGTTGTAAAAACAGTTCATTATTAACATTTAAAAACACTCAAAACGAAAGGATTGTTACGCAAACAGTTATTATTTTACGTTTTTAAAATTGTCTTCCGCAGGTTTATTGTATGGGCTGATGACGTCACACGAACGTCACGAAAAGTATCAAAATAAGGTTACATACAAACAGTGAACATGAGGGTATTTTCGTATTATCGCGTTTTTTTATTTGGTGTGGTACATTCGTTTTATTTATTTTATTATAGGGTATTTTTGTTTTATCTTTTTCTAGGTCTGAAGTCTATGCCAAATACGAACCTTCTTTCACCATGCACTAATGTTTAAAAATAAAATCACATACGTCATTCCAAGCTGTCAAGACGTATATTTGATTTTTAAGACGTCATCCTCCTAATCGTAATAATACTAATATTTACTGCAAGTTATCAAGACGTGAGAATGATATTGCGAAGACATGGACATGTGAGAGTGCGAGATGAACAAGCTTAATTATCTTTTTCATTTTACGTACTAATCGTAACTACGTTTAATATTTCATTTTATTCAAAGAAATATGTAAGTCGTTAAGGCTTTTGGATTTCAAAGAAGAAGCAGGCCACACCGATGTTGAAAGTAACCCCTTCCTGTTTGATGTTTTCAAAAAATACTGGAACAATAATGAAAAATTTGGAAATGCCAGGAGCGCGACATTAATCTTTGCGTTGAGGGCTGTTTTAAGGCATATCACCAGCCGTAAAATAAATAATATTAGCTGAGATATAGCTCACATACTGTTACTGTGCTTTCTTGTATATTATTACAATATCATAAATACATATCTACAATAAATGCTCATTTCAAATATTAAAAAAATGTGTCAACTAAATATGTATATTATATACCTAAATTTAATAAATATATATTTTATAAATAAATATGTGTTATACATGTTAATATATATGTTATTTAGAAATATAAGAATGTCGTGTACCTATAACAAAATATTTCTAACTAAATAATAAAAAAATAGATGAATAACCCTGTGTTTATGGCCTTATGGGCGGCCATCTTGCCGTCGCATTGAAAAACAATCGAGTGTCTGATTTCAAGTGGAATAGGGTCTATGTTTATGTTTATTGTATAAAGTTTACACAATGAATGTTTACACTTTTGGTATCAAATTAAAGCTTATATTGTCTAGTTTAGTAAAGAATAAATATCAAATGAGATTTGATACAATTTTATTTGTAAAAACTTGTATAAAAAAATATTTACGTGAAATTTAACCAATATTCTCAACTTTAATATTTAATTCTTTGTTTTGGATTAATAGTTGTACTTTAATTTACACATATTTTAATTCCTTATAGTTTCAGCTTTATATACGTATTTTTTATTTCGCTTAAGCTGCCGTTATTTGCTAGAAAATATACTTTTAATCAGCCATGACGTAAGCGCTTGACGCAATTAATCACCGATCAGGTGACAAATCGGTAACCTCTATTCGCTGTCAATAAGGGTTACCTTTCAGTGGAGATGGCAACTTCTTTTTCAACCCTACAGGTGTTAAAAATGTCTATGGGCGGCGGTTATTACTTAACATCAGGTGACCCGCCAGCTCGTTTGCCACTCTATCACTCTATCACCATTAAAAAAAAACATGTTTTATTATCTTTATTCAATATAGAAGTATAGAAGTGTTACACTTACATATTGTCAAAAACAATACTACTGTCAACATTATCTATAAAAACGACAAAAAAAAATCATGTCTGTTTATGGGAGCTCCACTTCTTATATTTTTTGTTTTTTGGTATTTTTTGTTGTAGCGGCAACAGAAATTCATCCTTTGTGAAAATTTCAACTGTCTTACTATCACGATTCATGAGATACAGCCAGGTGACATATGGACAGACATACGTACATACAGACGGACAGCGGAGTCTAAGTAATAGGGTGCCGTTTTACCCTTTGGGTACGGAACCCTAATAAGTAATAATGCAATGGCTTTAAATAGGTAGCTCTAACCATCAACTTAAATGCATACTTGCATGCATGTCACAGTTTTGTTACGCACCTTGTTACAGTACAGTACCTTGCTGAGGAATAGTCAAATATTAACCGTCTTCTCCTATTACGACTATTAAGGGATATTTTTATGGATCATACAATCGGTGTAACTCAGAGACCCTTTTAAGTTGGCCGTGTCTACCGTGCAACACTATATCTCTGGAGCCTTTTTAGGATACCGTACCCAAAGGAAAAAACGGGACCCTATTACTAAGACTCCGCTGTCTGTTTGTCCCTTTGTCAACAGGCTGTATCTCATGAACCATGATATTTACACAGTTGAAATTTGATCTGAGTTTTTGCTTCCCAAGGAGGGTTGACGTCAAGCAGGCGGCTGGTTGTAAAAATATACGCAAAACCACTTACAACATGATTCATGTTGTGCCGACCCCACCTAGGTGGGATAAGGGCAGGAGGATGATAATAACTTGTATACTTGTCCCTCTATTTTAAAAGTTCCCGTCAAACGAAGTCATTTGAAAGAGGCTATGGTACTTTCGGATGTTGGTTAAAAATGTCCTGATGGTGAATGATTATTTGTAAAAAGGTTTTTATTGGTTGTGGCGGCTCCTCAATATTGGGGGGACTAACTTTTCCAGAAGCACAGCACATACCATTTGGTTCATCGACCCATTTTTGGCAAAACACTTAGAGCAGATCTTATTCGTGGCTACGATTTGGACGGAAAATGCATGAAAGCTGTTGAGCAAAATGCATGAAAGCTGATCTGTTACTGTGAGCTAAAACTCGATCACGAACTCTAGTCGTTGACGTTTGTTATCTTTCTCTCTAATCTCGTATACGTTGGGAACGGTCAGACCTCGATTCCCTAGTGTGAATTTGTGTATTTATATTATTGTACTCTTCAAGCCACTGCAAACACTCTATTTGACTTTCTCCGACTTGTAAAACGATATTCAGTTTCCGGTAAAGATTCCTCATTATGTATGACGTATTTTTAGTGTCCTCGCCTGGGAACTATTTCTAGAAAGATGAGATCTTGATCTTATGGGCATTTTAAAATGATAAAAAAAAATAAACTTCCTCAGTATTTAATAATCTGCTAACTGTTGAACAGGAATTACCACTATAAATGTGATTGAATACTTATAAGAACTACTAAGTCAGTCACTAAGCTGTTTGGATAGTTAAATTACAATATACTAACATTTTTAAACTTGCAATATCTAAGGAATGGAATGTCCGAATTTAATAATTCAAAAAGTTTTATAAAGATATTGAAACAGTCTTGAATATGAAGTAATTTATTTTTATAAGGATTTATACCGAGATACAAATAAACAGCCTTTGTTAGCGGCGGCACTTCAATCAAAATTTTAAAATAAAAGAACACTTATTGTGGCATAACTATAATAGTTAGACATATGCTGTCGCGACACTTTTTGTAAATAATGATGTGGTCTGCAAAGTCGTAGTACATTACTTTATTCTATCATCAATAGTTTTCGCAGCGCACGCGACGTAAAGAATATTTTAGGTAATTTTTCTACACCTTGAGTAACATTATTGGAGTTTTAGTAAGGATCCCTAATTTTTTGAAAATGTTATATAGCCCATGTCAAACAGGGATAATGTAGCTTCTCAACAGTGAAAGAATTTTTCAAATCGGTTAAGTAGTTTCGGAGCCTATTCGATACATACAAACAATCAAATCTTTCCTCTTTATATAATAGATGACGCACTTCTGAGGTGAAACGTAATAAAAAAAAAAAAAACCCATTTGACAACCTCCTTTGAAATCGTATAAAAAAATCAAAATTTTACCTTCTACGACCTCCCTGGCTATCGCTACGCCGTTTCCGACCTCGCACATTTGGCGTGGAAAATGACACGAAACAATAACGGAAGCAAAACGAAACATAAACAAAACGCAAAGCAAAACGTATATTTGCGTATTACTTTCGACGCCTGAATAATTCAAAGTCAAATTGATTCAAAGGAAAATACTATGACTGCCTACATATCTAGCCGTTCTTTCTAAACTACCCTCCGGCGTATCAAATACTATATCGCAGATAACAAATATCTTCGAAACATAACCGGTGTGCAATCGATTATTTCACGACAGAAACGGAGTATTATTTTTTTTTTATAGTAACGTAATCGATTACGGAGAAAAAGTAACGATATTTATGATTTTCTCTTTTTAACAGACTTAAAAAAAGAAGTAGTTTTCTCAATTCGACCGATATATATATTTTTTTTATGTGTTCGCGGATAAATGTGTCGTTTATGGACCGATTTTGATGATTCTTTTTTTGTTGGAAAGGAGATATCCCAAGGGTGGTACCATGATAAGGAAACCCGGATCTGATGATGGCACCACAGAGAAATCGAGGGCAATCCTCAAATGTTATTAGTTTCCTGTTTGAAGTCGGTTTTTTTTTTGTTCAAAACTATTAGTTACTTTAGATTTTAGACTTAGTGCTAGTCTTTGCACTTAATAGCCCGTGATAGCTCAGTGTCCGGGCGCTCGCTTTCAATTCAATATACTCGAGCAACCAGAGTTCGAGCACCGGTGCCGGCGCCAATGAAATGGTAAACTTATCACGTGCTCAGCGGTGAAGGAAAACATCGTGAGGAAGCCTGCATGTTTTCGAAATAATAACAATGGAGACCCAATTGGCGTGCGGAGTAGTAAACCTGCCTCTTGCGCCCATCCCCACTACTGGAAAAATATTGTGCGATGAACAGAGTTTTTGCACAGGACTTCAAACAGGAAGCTAATAAAACATTATCAACGCCTGTAACATTTGAGGATTGCCCTCGATTTCTCTGGTATGGCATCATCAGATCTGGGTTTCCTTATCATGGTACCACCCTTGGGATATCTCCTTTCCAACAAAAAAAGAATCGTCAAAATCGGTTCATAAATGACGAAGTTATCCCCGGACACACATAAAAAAATATAAACGGTCGAATTGAGAAACCTCCTTCTTTTTTGAAGTTGGTTAAAAAGATCAAAATCATTTATTCATCGACATAACAAAAATACATTTAATTTATCGATAGTCGTATTTATTTATTCTACCACCGTTACGTAATGAGGTTCCTCTAACGGAGAAGAAACAGGCGAAAGATACTCCGCATCCTCTTTTTTGTTAATTATAAAACCAATCCATACTAATATTATAAATAGCGAAAGTAACACTGTCTGTCTGTCTGTCTGTCTGTCTGTCTCGCTTTCACGCCAAAACTACTGAACCGATTTAAATGAAATTTAGACTATCTGTGTACTACACAGATAGTCTAGAGCCTGAGAAACGACATACATAGGCTAGCTTTTAATTGGAAAAATGTGTTGTGAAAGGTTGAAAAGGGGGAAGAAAAGTTGTATGAAAGTATTGTCATTGTCAGAACAAGAAGCATAAAAAATATATTTTAGGCTGTTGATTAGATATAAATAAAAATGACATATAAAGTTTGTAAAAATGTTACCACGCGGACGAAGTCGCGGCTGATTATCTATACATAGACGAGCAAGATGCATGAAGCATATAGACAAATTAAACTCACATCTTCGTCCGAAGAGCGGTCTCTTCAAAGACAGTGTCAGGGGCCCGGTCATCAGGATGTCTGTGGTCGAACTAACACCGGAGTTCTGCAAGCAGATTGATATTTTCACCTCCACATAAATGAAAAAAAAATGGATAAACACGAAAGCATAGTTGCGTTAAAATATATCGAAATTCGATAGTCTAAAATAAATATCGAATATCGATATATCGCAAGCAAATATCGACGATATAATTAAATATCGAAATTTATTGCTCATGTCTATGTTAAACATTTCTCCAACGGATGGCAATATCGCAAACTGACATCCGATATCAACAACGTTGTTAAAAAAACGTAAAAAAAAAATAACATGTGACACTCACCCAATCGCCAATCTTATCTGAAATTAATAGGTATTTTATTAACATACAATATTTTTATTACAGTGATAGTTATTTTGTGAATGTCAAAGGCATTTTTTTTATTTTCCTGACGTGATATTAATGTACTATATACTTAATTAAATAAAAGGTAAATACTATAATAGAAAACCAACGTATGATATTAAATAAGTTAGGTCAACGTTAATAAATATTTTACGATAAAAATGAGTTGTGCGATGCTATTGATATATTGCACGTTGATAAGAAGACCGTCACTATACGAAAAAATGTAATTTTGTGAAACTTGCACCATCTTTTAGCGCTTGAAGCTCGAAGTATATTACATCCGCAAAAAGTATCGATACTTGATTAGTAACGATATTTGCGTTGCCATATTTAGAATTTTCGTACTCAATACTTTTGTTCCGATACTTTATTAGGTATCGATACTTTCTGATGTACTCGATTGTCTTTCTACTCTTTACTATTATTGATCCAGATATCCATATTCAATATTAGGGAAATCCCCGAATCTCCTAATCAGCGGTTATGTGTTACCAGTTGAGTACTTTAATCGGATCTTGGTATTTTGAAATGGTCCGGTGTCTTCTTGATAGTCGGACTCATTCATGAGAGGAGAGAAATGAAAACGGTGTTCAGTACGTAGTTGTTTAGTTATTGTTCTTAGTACAGAATGTAGATTTTTTTATATTTTTGAATTAACAGTGTACCTTTTTTGAGATTTTTAATACTCTTCCCGAGGCAAAGAGAAAGTACTCGAGATTGAGTAAGTATCGATACTTTTATTCGTATCAATACATTTCATACGATACTTGGTATCTAGTGGGTATCGATACTTTTTAAAATTTGCGGAACACTAAAACAACCTGTTTTCGTAACTCTAATAATTTCCGCTAGATGGAGTAGCGTAGAATTGTTTTATCGACATATTGACGCTTACTATTACAAAAGACCCAGTGTGACCATTTGTGGCAGGTTTCTGCCATTTGGGCAGATTTTGCACCAAAATTTTAGCTGTGGCAGATTAGGCGATATGACGATTCAAAAAAAGAGTCAAAAATGGGCAGATTTCAAAGAATTCTTTATTATTTAAGAAATACGTTTGTATATATAAATTAACATTTGTATTCGGAATACTTATAATAGAAAGAAAAATATTCTATTTCTTATTATTTACTTTTAACATTATTTGGGAGCAAATTATTTTCTGATGTGGCAACTTTCGTCTCAAAGTACGGGGACTTTCCCGATTATTGTATATTAGTAACTAATATTGGTAACAAATATTAGTAACAAATCAACTAATATTAGTAACAAATAATTAAATTAAAGTAATATTAGAATAATAAATTAAATAACAAATATTAAATTAAACTAATATTGGTAACAAATCAGCAATAAGATTTATTTCGTTATTAATATAGCTGATCAAAGTTCATGTCAACGTTTGTTGTACTTTCTAATTCTCTATCATTCTATACCCCATTCTCTTTTGGCGTTTATAGTGTGTAGTTGGGTCTTCCGTGCATGATGACAACAAAAAAAAACCAATTCATGCCATCTCTATATTTTTATACATTTACTGTATAAAAATATAGAGATAGCTTTGGCAATAAGGTCTAGAAACCACAAATTTCTCATTAAGGGTCACCCTTATTTTGGTTATGACCATTCATTCAACAATTGGGAAATAAGTGAAAATGTTAAGATCTGGTCCTATTTAAGTTCCCGAACATTGCAGCAATAAAGAACGCACAAAAAAAAGTAAACGCATACGTTTTTAATCTGATGGACCATAGTGATTTTTGCGAAATTAAGTCTGTTCCTAAAAAAAAAACATTTTCAAAGAAGGACTATAGATATTAAAATTATAAAAATTATAAAAGAATTAAGTTATAAACTGCTAAGGCAAAATATTTTTTTATAAGACTTCTTACTTATAACAGAACTTGTTAGATATTCCATTACAAGTTAATAGGATAGCTACTCGTAGGTAAGAGTCAGCTAATAGACAACAGGTTCCTTATGACAATCTAAAAATGATTATGAAAATCTACTGAAATCTCTTTACGCAGCTAAGCTTCCTTTAGCTGAAACAAAAAATAACAAAATCAAACCATGATTGACTAAATCATATACCTAATTATTATGTTTCTTCTTATTTGGATAGTATGAATCTATTCATCTGATAAAAAAACTTTTGATCTCAATTATTAATTAGAATATACAACAATGAAACATGATTGTGATATTAATACAAACTTTGTTTCTATTTCGATAATTACATTAGAATTATTTTTGAGAATAGGTACTTACTTTATTTTAAGATTATTGATCTCAATTTTTAAGTACAATTTATAATAATTAAAAATGGATGTGATATTCATCCGAACTTTGTTTCTATTTTCATAGTTACATAATTCATTTTAGAATGTCTTCACTTTATTTTAATTAATTGAGAGTGAATCTTTAAGGTTTTTTGAAGTTGTAAACCTTTATATTAGTCCTCAAATGTTTAAAAAATTTGATTTAGCCAGTTTTTCCAGTCGCAAATAGGTTAATGTTTAAATATTTTGAATTAAACTTTGCAATAAAATATATTTTATGAATAGAAACTTGCAATAAAAAACATAATATTACATTTTTTTTTATTCTTTCTGGTCCAAAACTGGTTATTACTGTGTGGTAGAACCATAGACTTGGGATCTAAATCAATGAGTAAAACTTTAAATCATCATCATCATCATTTCAGCCTGTTTGAGTCCACTGCTGCACATAGGACTCCCCCATAGAAACTTTAAATGCTTCTACAGAAAAAAAACGTATAGTGTCACTCTTCTAATCAAAGTGCGATAGCAGTATTTTCATATAAGGATCTTCTTCTCTTCTATTTTTGTTGGTAACTGTATAAACGCTTATATTCTTAGTGACATTGAATAACATAAAAATATGGAATTCAACTCACCGTTTCTCGCAAAAATTGTATTATTACGATCCATTTCCTGAAATAATCAGGGAATACAGAAGTCCAGTTCCACTTATACGTAAGGCTAAATATATCACAAACACTCTTTAATAATTTTAAACTTAACCTATCATCGTGTAAAACTAAATATTTAATAATCTTTGGAGAATGAAACAAATCAATGTTTATATTTTATAAAAGTCAGAAGTCAGAATCAGTGTTGCCATTTGCCAACAATGTAGGGCCTGATGTCGCCATTTTTTCCGGCATAAGCGGCCACAACTTCTGATTTAGTTTAAATTATATAGCTTAATTTAAATTAACTTATTTATTTTCACCTTAACGCCTTTCAACTTCGCGTTAACCTTACATAAAATTGTAAAAAAATATTTAGATTCTGCTTGGTCTGTCTGCCTGCAATAATAAGGCACCAACAAGATTATCGCCGTTATCGCCAGGCGTCATCAGTTGTAATCTAATCAGTGGCATCAGGCGGCTGCTGTGCTACTACCAATATATAATAAATAAAAATACCAATAAAATAATAATATAAATAACCAACAATTAACCTGCAGTCTGTTAAATATAGGTTGGTTACACGGGACATTGACATTCACATACAAATATGGATCTCGTATATGAAGTTCCGTATTTTTTAAACAAAAAATGTACGTAACACAATGTGGTACTTTATTTTGTAATGTCACTTTACTTTATTAATGTCAAATATATACGATGATACGCGGCACATTGACATTACAATGTCCCGCGTATCATCTTATATTTAACAAACTTTAATAGCCTAACTAACGACTATTTGTCGCTATTAAAGTTTGCCTACGTGGGCCACACTGGTTAGAATCACAGATAACAGATAAATTATATAAGAATAAGTCGATTCTTAATCGATTCTCGCGATAAAAAAATAGCATATTTTCACAAAACGTACAAAAATATTTCAGCCGCATAAATTCCAAGCTATTTTAGTTTTAGGGTTCCGCACCTTAAAAAGTAAAAAAAAATTACCCTTATAAGAACACTCTCTTGTCCGTCTGTCTGTCCGCATGTCACCACTGTTAATGGTAATGATTATTTAATAATTATATTAATATAAAAAAAATCGGTGATGATTATTTAGCAATTTTATTCTGGCGGTATAATGGGTGGGTACGGAGCCCTCGGTGTACGTAGCCGAGTCGCACTTGACCGGTTTTTATTTATTTTAATTTTGATTAATTTCTTGACAACCACGTAACTTCACGAAACTAAAACCCGACTGCAGTTTCAGCCTAAACGCATGTTACGACGGCAGTTTTAAATTCAGAAGAAATTTGGCGGAAATTTTGACTAAGCCAAAATTAAGGTTGAATTGGGGCTTTATAAGTAAATAATGGAAGTAATGTACTTTCATTTTATATAAAGGTGTCCCCGACCTACGAGACCTTACTCAGCAGAGTTCTATTGTTGAATGTTTGCGCGCATTACTCATATCCCCGCCATAATCCTTACTAATATTATAAAAAGTTTGTATGGATGGATGTTTGTTACCCTTTCAAACTTTTTTAACAAAAACTACTGAATAGATTTAAATGAAATTTTACAATTAATATATAATTTTAAATAATATAGATTATACATCAGAATAACACATAGGCTATAATTTATAAAGATATTGTAATGCGATGTTGTGAACACAAAGATGTATCGCGACGTTAAAGTCGCTACTCCGTCCTTCATTTTCAAGGAGCGGAGACAAAATATTTTAAAGGAATAATATATAGTTATGAAAGTCCGCTAGTTAAATATTTCAGAATCTCACTCGCACCCTCGTGGAGCGTACGTCTGCGATAGTGCCGTCCTAGGAATGTTTTAAACGACCCATCAGTTTGGCAAACAACCCATCAGGTTCAGAGCGTAGGAGTGAGCTATGCTAGGTTAAACAGAGAATTTGGGAGTCAACAATTGCAACTGTTTTCGTAAGCGGTATTGCACGAATGGGTAGGTCCATCCAGGTAAGTACAACGACCTCACAGAAGACCGGCGTAAAGTAGAAGTGTTACACTTCTGCGTTTCGTCTGGTGAGCGAGGTAGCCGGGGCCCACTTTATTTAAAGGTGGCAACGCATTTGCAACCCTACGGGTGTTGCAAGTGTCCATGGACGGCGAATATCACTTAACATCGGGTGAACCGCCAGCTAGCTTGCCACCATCGCGAATAAAAAAGTGAGTGGGTACTTATGTACACGCGTTAGAATATATGTTATACTAGCGGCCCGCCCCGGCTTCGCACGGGTATTTAACAAAATTTTTAAAACTAAAAATTATCATAAACATAAAATATTTCGAATATTTCGTCTTTGGTGAATAATTTTATGAATTTCTTCATCTTTTAATGAAATAATTGAAATTACGTCATGAGGATCGAAAGACCGCTGACCAGATAATGGTTCCGCTTTAATTACGGGACATTCGATCGACATTTGATCTTTTTGTTGACCGATATTTGATGTGCCAATGTCTTGATTTAAAGCGTCTCTAAGATGAATGTTTCACCAGCCCTCAGTCTCTGGTGATTACGACATCATATGTAATTCAATCTTTATGATATTTTTTGCCATCATATCTACAAAGTATTGAATAAAAACCCGCCAAGTGCGAGTGCGTACGTTCTACGTTCGTGTTCTGAGGAATTATGTCAAACATTTTAAGAGTTCGTATAAATTACACCGGTTATCGGTTACTTGCGAAAAGTAATCACAAAACAATTTTGTTGGAGATATGAATTGCCTTTTGCAGCCGCAAATGACATACGACGGCATAATTTCGCAAATAGAATTTTATTAATAAAACTTAATACACTTTCATTTACTCGTGGAAAACTGCCGAGCGGCCGTCAAAATACATCAAACCTTTTTGTCTCGGGATCGGCAAGTAAAAAAATATATCGCTAATGATCGTATCGAAATTTTTAAATAGTGTCGTTATCTCATCAGGTTTCGCATGATTATTCACACATAGTTTCCAAACCATTCAAAGTTTGCAGAAAAGATTGGGGGAGAAAAGAGTTGATTAGTTGTAAAAAGTCCGAAAACTGTTAATTGTCCGTTAACGTCAGGGTCATATTATAGTCTTATGAGTTAATAGTATTAGTATTTTAATGGACGCTTTCACAAAGATGATGGCGGGATTTATTAAAGTTAAATATACACGAGAAGCACCCAAAAAGTATATTTGTACATACATTAAACATGAAATCAGAGTTGCGTTAAAGATAATATATCGCAATTGACAAGAATTTGATACTTTAAAATAAATATAAATTATCGATACATATATTGATAGTTTTATCGAAATATATTTTGCTGTATCGATATTTGTTTGCAAAGCCTATTTTTAACATCTGACACTGACTGACATTCTGAGATTCTGACAGTGACATTTTTCCGTTGTGTTTGTATCTAATATCTATTGGTACTTGTTATTCATCATCATCATTTTCATTATCATCATTTCAGCCTGTTTGAGTCCACTGCTGAACATAGGCCTTGTTATTATTTTAAGTTTAATTAAAAGCGGCATTAAGTTACTATTGATGCGCCAGAAATGTTATTTAACTTTATTATAGTCACTTGTTTACTGCTCATTTCAGCCGAAGAAAACATCCAAGAGGGTTTCTGTGATGCATCGACGGAAACCTGCCAAGATTCAAACAGTGCGCTGAAGTTCTTGTACTATGACGTGAATCCGCCCGAAGGCTTCAACCTGAGACGCGATGTTTACATGAGGTTCGCGATAATGCTGGCGGAAGCGCGGAAAGCGGGCAAAAAGCTCGACTGGCGAATCGTGCTACCACCCTGGCATCGTATGTACCATTGGAGGACGGAAGGAAAGTCTAGCCAACCGTTGCCCTGGAGCGCGTTTTTTGATATCGACTCGCTGAAGTCATACGCCCCGGTTGTGGAACTGCATGAAGTGTTTTCGACGCCTGGAAACCGACGGTTAGAGATCGACCGCCTTTATGTGCTGCAAAACTATGAGAACGCTTTCGAGAATGGCGTTTTCGAGGAGAAGTGGCAGCTTGTAGAGGACTGCGGATACGACGGCCGCTATTGGGGCTACACAAACGTCACCGCGAAGGAGGTTGTGTGTGCGAACTTCCAGGGGAAGATCTCCAAGCTGTGGGAGCTGGTGTCACTGCATCCATCGGACAGGTCGGTCATGTTCGCTCACGGTGAGATACCCCTGCACAGCGCATACGGCACCAAAGCGTACTGGGACTGCCGGAGGAGCATGAAGTTTAACAGGTCTCTAGTTGAGGCTGCTAAACAATATATATCCCAATTTCTCAAATGCAAGGTTGAGAAATGCACATCTTACATTGCTGTCCATTGGAGAAGACAGGATTTCGCAAGAAGCCGAAAAAGAGATGTCCCATCTATACAAGGCGCTGTTAAACAGATAAAAGAAGCTTTAGAGAACCATGTACCTAACATCCAAAGGATTTTCATTGCAACGGATGCATCAGCTGAAGAGGCTAATCAATTGGAGAAAGGACTTAAAAATTTTGGGTATAAAGTTTATTTTTATACACCAAGTAAATCCGAATTAAGTGTTTATAGAGAGGGTGGTGTTGCAGTCATTGAACAGATCATTTGCTCACATGCCGCATACTTTGTTGGTACACACGAGAGCACTTTCTCCTTCCGCATACAAGAGGAGAGAGAAATACTGGGATTTGATAGCAGAACTACATTTAACAGGCTTTGTCCCGATACGGGCAAATGTGAGGAGCCGTCGAAATGGACTATAGTTAGTTAAAATGATGAAGTTCCTATAATACTTAAACAAATTTTAATAAAATATTGCTATAAATAAGAGACAATGAAAAAACTCACAAAAAAAAACAAACCTAGTCTTCTATATCAAATAAACAGAAAGTTTAATACAGTGTTAGTTACGATTTTATAACCATTGTTTTTTATTATTGTGATCTGTCTTATACAAAAATTAAATTCACTTTAACATGAATCTCAATTGGAAATATATAAAACACTAGGTTGTAATGGTTTTAGTCCAGCAATTATTTTCTCTCATTTCAATCTTCTTTTTTTTCCAAACTTTTTTTATATTGCAAATACTGAATATTGTTGTTTAAAATATATAATTTTTATTTCAAATTGTCTGAAAGTACTTGCTAATTTATTGTCGAGCAAGTTCTTTTTTTTTTATTTGCATGAATCAAATGTCATAAATATAGAAAGTGTATTTGGATCTTTTAAACTCGAAGTAGTCACTCATTGGGTAGGTATACTTTTTGTGTCTTGTTCAGTTAAGACTCTAATGTGACAACAACAAAATGTATGGACATTGCTTATTGTGATAACTTTGCAGATAAGAGATTTATATCAGTGCCATTTTATCTTTAGTTTTTATAAGCTATTATTGCTAAATAGACTGTCAACATTGGAACATATTATATGAGATTTAGATTACACTAATAATCTGTATTTATTTATTATCCTGCGCGTCATTTTGTAATATTTTTTATGTGAGAAAGAGGCAACGGTTCACCTAATGTTAAGTGATAACCTCCGCCCATGGACATTTTCAAAAGCCTTAGGTGTGTGTATAAATATTAAATTTTTGAAAATGCTATATAAATTTTGCAGCCACATATTTCCTCTCTTTCAACTCCACAAAAAAAGTATTTGTACCATTTGTGATTATATAATAATATTGTAGTGTGTCTGAATCTGAATGTTTATGTTTGTGATATTTATAAAATTTTTAGAAAAAGTACGAAAAGATTGTCGCTGCTGTGGGAATCGAACCTACGTCTTCGGCATTCGCGGCTTGATAAAGGAGCCACTAAGCTAAACAGCTGATTGCCACACCGAAAAAAATCTGAACTTCTTTTATCTACATTGTTTTTAGCATTACATATCTTTTTAAGTGATAACCGCTGCAAATCAAATCATTTATTCATCGAAATATACACTTCATCTAACCATAGTAATTTTTGAAATCTACCACCGTTTCGTAATGAGGCGAAAGAAACTCCGTAGGCATCCTCTTTTTTGTCATTTTCTTTTCTCAAAGAAAGACATTGTTATACGGTACAATTTTTTTTTATTTAGAAACAGCTTATGAGCGATCATCTCATTCCCTGGTGTTATTATCGTTAATGTATTTATTTATATTATAATAACCCTCTTTAAAAAGTTTTTCTTTTATATATTTCTTAAACCTGTTAATATATACGCTTTGCACATTAACTGGGATTTCCTTGTAGAAGCTTGTACACCGTCCCATAAACGAGTTACTGACTCTATGGAGCCTAGTAACTGGCGAATGCCCATGGACATTTGCAACACCCGGCTGCAAACGCGTTGCCACCTTAAGTGGGGTTATCAGGCGACTAACCAACATTAATTCGCAAACCATAAATGACACAACTTACAAATTAATAATCCTCACATAAGGACGAAATCAATATAGCGTACAAAAATGTACATTACAGGTTTTATGATTTGGAAATTCGGATTATGTCGATACATGCACAATAAACAGATACAAAACTCCAATAATGTTACTCAAGGTGTACAAAAATTATCTTCTTCTTCTATATTATAAAGAGGAAAGATTTGATTGTTTGTATGTATTGAATAGGCTCCGAAACTACTGAACCGATTTAAAAAATTCTTTCACTGTTGAGAAGCTACATTATCCCTGCTTGATATAGGCTATATTATATTTTAAAAAAAATTAGGGATCCTTCCTAAAACTCCAATAATGTTACTCAAGGTGTACAAAAATTACCTAGAATATTATTTACATCGCATGCGCTGCGAAAACTATTGATGATAGACTAAAATAATGTACTATGACTTTGCAGAACACATTTTTATTTACAAAAAGCGTCGTGACAGCATATGTCTAACTATTATAGTTATGCCACAATCAGTGTTCTTTTATTTTAAAATTTTGATTGAAATGCCGCCGCTAGAAAAGGCTCTTTATTTGTATCTTGGTATTTATCCTTATAAAAATAAATTACTTCTTATTTAAGACTGTTTCAATATCTTTATATAACTTTTTGAATTATCAAATTCGGTCATTCCATTCGAAAGATATCACAAGTTTAAAACTGTTAGTATATTGTTAATTGTTAAAATTATTTAACTTAACAGCTTGGTGACTGACTTAGTACTTCTTATAATTCTTCAATCACATTTTAGTGGTAATTCCTGTTCGACATCATTTTAAAATGCGCGAAGATCAAGTTCCCAAGCAAAAATCCCAATCAAAAATACGTCGTAAAAAATCATCTTACAAGTCGGAGAGAGTCAAGTAGAGTGTTTGCAGTGGCTTGAAGAGCAAAATAATATAAATATACAAATTCACACTAGGGAATCGAGCTCTGAGCGTTTCCAACGCCTACGAGATTAGAGAGAAAGACAACAAATGTAAACGACTAGAGTTCGTAATCGAGTTTTAGCTGACAGTAACAGATCAGCTTTTTTGCATTATGCTCAACAGTCTTCTGTCCAATTCGAAGCCATGAATAAGATCTGCTCAGTGTTCTAGCAAAAAATGGGTCGATGAACCAAATGGTATGTGCTGTGCTTCTGGAAAAGTTAGTCTCCCCGATATTGAGGAGCCGCCACAGCCAATAAAAAATCTTTTGATAAATAATCATTCACCATCTGAACATTTTTAACCAACATCCGAAAGTACAATAGCCTCAATACAACATGAATCATGTTGTACGCGGTTTTGGCCATATTTTTACAACCAGTCGCCTGCCTGACGTTAAACCTCCTTGGGAAACAAGCAAAAAGCAAACCCAGATCAAATTTCAACTGTGTAACTATCACGGTTCATGAGATACAGCCTGTTGACAGAGGGACAAACAGACAGCGGAGTCTTAGTAATAGGGTCCCGTTTTACCCTTTGGGTACGGAATCCTAAAAAGGCCCCAAAGATATAGTGTTGCACGGTAGACACGTCCAACTTAAAAGGGTCTCTGAGTTACACCGATTGCATGATCCACTACAATGTCCCTTAATCGTCGTAATGGGAGAAGACGGTTATTATTTACTATTCCTCAGCAAGGTACAGTGCGTAACAAAACTGTGACATGCATGCAATTGTATGCATTAAGGTTGATGGTTAGAGCTACCTGTTTTAAGCCATTGCATTATTACTGGGACTCATTAGGGACCTATTACTAAGACTCCGCTGTCCGTCTGTATGTCCTTATGTCTGTCCATATGTCACCAGGTTGTATCTCATGAATCGTGATAGTTAGACAGTTGAAATTTTCACAAACTATGTATTTCTGTTGCCGCTATAACAACAAATACTAAAAAACAAAAAAATATAAATAAGTGGGGCTCCCATAAAACAGACATGATTTTTTTGCCGTTTTTATAAATAATGTTGACAGTAGTAGTGTTTTTGACAATATGTAAGTATAATACTTCTTATATTGAATAAAGATAATAAAACATGATTTTTTTTTTATGTGATAGAGTGGCAAATGAGCTGGCGGTTCACCTGATGTTAAGTAATAACCGCCGCCCATGGACATTTGTAACACCTGTAGGATTGCAAATGAGTTGCCATCTTTAAATAAAGTGGGCCCCGGCTACCTCTCTCACCAGACGAAACGTAGAAGTATAACACATCTGTTTTACGCCGGTTTTCTGTGAGGTCGATACGGAACCCTTCGTGTGCGAGGTTTTCCAAAAAAATATAGATAGCCGAAGTATTTGTATCCGATATATCGATATAAAATATTTAATATCGAAATCATGTCAAAGATGATATTTTTTCAAATTCGAATCCGGCACGGAGTCCGTAGTTATCAAATATTTATTACATGAAATACCTTTATTTTTTGACAACGGCTATTAAACAGAAAATATAAATATATCGATATTTTCTCTTCGATATATCGAACTCGATATGGATCTTTTTATAAATATCGGAAATATCGATTCTTTCAAAAATCGATGAAGATCGATTGAAAATTTCTTCACTTACGGCGTCCCTCTTTAGCCGCTAATGTGTTAGTGTTGCAAGTTAAGAACCTTATCTTTACCCAAAAGTAAGAGGTAATATTAAAACAACCTGACCTTTTATTACTAATTCAATAAACGAAATTACATTAAGATACAACATTTATCAATATAATAAAGCCAATAAAGATTTCTAAGATCAGCACTGCCCAATGTTTTCTACGATTTGGACAAATTATTAAAAATGATCTACTTATATAGCTTAGGTAATGGCTATGTAATTATAGTTTTTGAACTATTTCAACAGTATTTGTAAGGACCCAGAACAATCGTAGCGGACAATCATGCCATAAAAAATCATACAACTAACACAAATAAAACACCATAATCATCATCATATAAGCCGAAAGATGTCCACTGCTGAACATAGGCTTCTCTCATTGATTTTCAAATAAATAAATAAACACCATAATACCTAATAATAATCACCGAAGTAATTTCGCGCAGTTGGAAGTCGAACACACCACTTGTAACATTATTCTCTTGCAAACATGCGCAAATCTTCGATATTGTACAGCGAGTTACGAGTACGACGGTATATCGTAATTGTTCGCATGAAAATTTGCATTTTCTACATATTTTCATACAATTCAAAATTCGTAAAATAGAATAGATATGAAGGAAATAGTTAAAAAGAGTTAACGATCCGCGAGGAGCATACAAAGAGTTGTTATTAGTATTAAACACGAAACCATAGTTGCGTTAAAAAGTCAAGCGCTAGTCAGTTCCATAAATAAATAAAAAATTTGTGCGTGTACTAGCGTACACTCGTAAGAAGTGAAACTTTTGAAGTGAAACTTCTTTATCGGGGTTGGAAAAAATGTAGTGTAACATTTTTGCGTTACGCGCCATCTTTTTCTTATCTTAAAATGTTCCTCTAACGCCATCTAGTGTTGAATAGGGGGTTTTATGTCGTCTTTATTCTTTGGTGGTTTCAAGGTTCACGTTGCAAGTTTTCAATCAATTCTTTTTTTTTTTTTTTTTTTTTTGGGCTTGATGAGCCACTGTTGGCCTTAGGGGCCTTTACAGTTCCGACGGGCTTGAGGTGGCCGGGCGCTCGAGACGCTTGGCCTGAACCTCGCGTATTTATTATTACGCGTTATGGTGACTAAGCTCGAGGGCTCCCGAAGGAACCTCGGCTCGGGCCGTCACGCTATTTAATTCACCGGTTTGGGAGGCCGCCTAGCCCTTAGGGCGCTTTGGCGGGGGCTCCATGGAGTGATCAGGCTCAAGGGTCCCCGAGAGGGGACCTCGGCTTGGGCTGTCTCTCAACACGCGTTTAGCATTCCGATTCGAGGGTGCCCGAGAGGGCCGGACCTCGGCTCGATCGGTAGCTGTTATCTGACTGGGGGGATCTCTAGAGCTATCGTTACTACCACTTCGTAAAGCGTTGGCGCTGGGAGCGCCAGGAGAAGAAGTGGCGGAAGAAACTCCAGCAACGCTTCTATCTTGAACTGGGGAGAACCTGCCAGGTACGTGGCGGAACCTAGTATATGTTTGCCGCACTCGCCGGCGAGTGCGGTTTGTGTTGGTGTGTTTGCGAAGTTTTTTAATCCTTTCGATGGCGATAGTCGTCTCATCGTCAGGGAAATCGAGAATGTGTCGCGGTCTACGGTGATTGCGGCGGAACGTACCTAGCGGCAGGGGTCTGTAGGTGGCGGCACCTACGATTAGCGGGTTGGGATGCGCGGTGGCGGAATCGAAGTATCGGCGCGACGCCGACTTCAGGAATTGAGCGATGGTGGGCAACTCTAAATCGACATGAAGGTCGATATTGCGCATGTACCAGGGTGCTCCCGTGGCTCTGCGCAAAAATCGATTTTGGATGACCTGAAGCCGGTGTATTTGCTTCGGAGCAATGTGTGCGAAAACTGGACTCGCGTACGTCATGATAGGGCGAACTACTGCCTTATATAGAGTCACCTTGTTCCGAAGGGACATTTTAGACGTTTTGTTGAGGAGCGGATGGAGGCGACCGAGTACGAAGGCCGCCCGGTTCTTGACCCGAGTCACGTGCTGGTTGAATCTAAGTTGGGAGTCAAGGACGACACCTAGATATTTAACTTTGTTCACCCATGGTACCGGACTATCCATGAGTTTAACGGGGGGTGGTTTATCTACGTTTTTATGCGAAAAAAGGACGGCCGCGCTCTTGGCGAGATTGATTTCGATCCTCCATTGCCGAAACCAGTCACCGATGGTGATGGCTGCAGCTTGGAGGCGTCGATGGATAATTTCGGATGTTCTGCCTGCTGTATAGAGACAGGTGTCGTCGGCAAATAGGGCAAGTTCTACATCTTTGACTCGCGGCATGTCATTGGTGTAGAGCGTAAAAAGGACTGGGCCCAACACCGACCCCTGTGACACCCCGGCTCGAACGGGATGCGTTGTCGAACACACGCCTTCGACGCGATAACGAAAGGTCCGATTACTTAGGAAGTCTCGTATTATGCATACGAGACGATCGGGTACTCCGAACCCGTATAACTTTTATACGAGCCCGTTGTGCCAGACTTTATCGAAGGCCTTTGCCACGTCTAAGAAGAGTGCTCTGGTGTTGAGTCCGCGTTGGCGTTTGACTAGTATGTGCTCCGTGATGCGGTGCACTTGATGGGTACAAGAATGTTTGGCTCTAAAGCCAAACTGTTCAGGGATGGGGAGCCCTTTGGCGTCCATAAGGGATCTTAGTCGGGCTAGTATTAGTCTTTCAAAGATCTTCCCAAATGTTTTGAGAAGACTTATTGGACAATAAGAGGTTGGGAGGGTCGCGGGTTTGTGGGGTTTGAGGAACCCTATTACGTCCGCTTCTTTCCACTCGGACGGGAAGAAGCCTTCGGTTATAGCCGCGTTGTAAATTAAGACTAGTATCTGAAGGATGCTAGTAGAGAGAAGTTTGGTCACCTTATTGGTGATACCATCTGAGCCAGGCGCTTTGCGTGGGCGTAGTTTGTTTATTGTTTCTGCGAGTTCCGAACACGTGACCGGGCGAACGGGATCGCGGAGTGGTTCCGATGCTTTCCTTTCGACCTCTTCGTTCACCTTACGGAGGTGATCGGGGTGGGTCGGAAGCAAGCTGGGGGAGCATTGGGCCTCTAGGCTGTCAGCTAGGCATTCGGCTTTCTCTTCGTCCAGCATTGCTGGCGTTCCTATCGGGCGAACTAGTGGTGGCATGTTTGGAGTGGCTATACCCTTGAGGGTTTTAGGAAGTTTCCAAAAGGCTTGGTGGGATGGTTTTATAGAGACTAAGGTGGAGTCCCACCGTTCGTTTCGTGAGTCTGCTATACGTGTTTTGACTTCACGTTGTAATTTACGTAGCAGTCTACGATTTGAGTCGGTGGGATATCTATCGTAGGCGCGTGTGGCCGCATTCTTGCGCCTCAGTAAGTCTTGTACATCGTCTGGCAGGGCCCAGCGATAGTCGTCCATCGCTGGAACCTGTCTCGAGCATTGCTCGACGACGGTGTTGACGTGACTCGTGAGGGCCCGAATTGCGGTCTCCGTGTCCTGTTTGTTGTTCAGTTGGTCGGGGATCGACTCTAATATTGAATTGGGCTCATTCAGTTTAGTTTTGACTCTATGCCAGCTAATGACTGTTTTGGTTTGGGGGGCGGCTATTGCTAAGGGCCCTAGCCGAAATAGGACTGGTCGGTGATCAGAGTGAAGCTCGTGAATCACTTCCGGGTCGCGCATGGTCAGATTGATGTTTTTGACAACTGCAATATCAAGCACATCCGATGATTGTCCCTCTATATAAGGGAAGTGCGTATGTTCGACTGGGGCTACAACTTCAAAGTCGAGCCTGTCGGATAGCGAGTCGAGTGCGGTGCCTCGACTGTTGGTGCGTGTCGAGTTCCATCGGATATGTTTTTTTTAATCAACAATTTTTGCGGACCCTCATACTAATTACAACGGTCAAACCATAGTGTGTTTTAATTTAAATATGTGTGTGTATATATGTTAATATAAAAGTGTGTTTTAATAAAAAATTTTAATAAAAGCCTTTTATTAAACTTTATCTAATTTAACTTTATTTAACCAATTTCTGTAAAGTTGCATATAGTGACGTTATTTTTCAAAAAATAATTTTAAAGGCTTTTATTATCATAAACATAAATACAAATTCTACAATTATTTCATTTTAGCTTTGTATAATATTTAGTTTCTTATTTGTAATACATTGGTGACGTTAGTAGTAAATTAAAACACACTATGGTTTGACCGTTGTAATTAGTATGAGGGTCCGCAAAAATTGTTGATTAAAAAACTTGCAACGTGAACCTTGAAACCACTAAAGAATAAAGACGACATAAAACCCCCTATTCAACACTAGATGGCGTTAGAGGAACATTTTAAGATAAGAAAAAGATGGCGCGTAACGCAAAAATGTTACACAAAATTTTTTTCCAACCCCGATAAAGAAGTTTCACTTCAAAAATATATCGGAATCGACACGAATTCGATATCTAAAATAAATCTCGAAATCAATATATCGCGATACAAAATATCGATGTTATATATCGATAGGTGTTTAGAAAAATATCGGAATTTTTAAATATCGATATTTTCCCCATGTCTAGTCTAGTCTGATGTCACTCTCACTATTGTCATAAATTAAAATTAGGTCTATGGCAATCCGAACGAATGAGATTTTTTAGTAAATTAAAGTACTTAAACTAGTTATTTATATAATTCATCCATAAGCTAAGAAAAAATGGAGTTAAATGACGTTATAGTGAATCAACCCGTGGTTATAGATAATGTAATTACATAAAATTAAAAACTTATTGATTTGCTGTTCTCTCAAATGGGCACACCTGTTTTTCCGTATTTACATTATTTCATTATCGTTATATTTTTAATAATAACTACTCCACTTCTTTTGTCGAAGGGCTAGTTTAATAATATTGTAAAAGAAAGTAATTATACAAGTTAAATGCTACATTGCGTATGAGTCATTGACCGCATACGTATTGACGTAGTTTTGTTGTGTATTTACTGTAATTGTTTTTCAGGGCTCCGGAGTGATCAAAGCGGGCTTTGCAGGTGATCAAATACCAAAATGCAGATTTCCGAACTAGTGAGTATGATAGTTTCATAGTCTGACCGTTCCTGCCATAAATGGTGTCTTTAAATCTAGCCTGAATGATAATAAGTGTGACAAATGAACGAAGAAACGGTTTGTATATATCTATGCGTGTTTTTAGTCTATCATCAACATGTAATAAATTGTTTTATCAATTATTTGCAAATAATAATAACTTGGCCACTGTAAATATAATTGTGATTATATCATCATTATAGAAATCTGTGTCCATCTAGCGGGTAATTTTAAAACTACTTTTGTTTTGTAGCATTGGGCGCCCAAAACATGTGCGGGTGATGGCGGGTGCGTTGGAAGGGGAACTATTTGTGGGCCCTCGAGCCGAAGAGCACCGCGGTCTTCTCAGCATAAAGTACCCCATGGAGCATGGGATTGTGACAGATTGGAATGATATGGAGCGAGTGTGGACATATATCTATAGCAAGGTATGTGTATTCATATATTCATTATGAACTGTCTTAGTTTAGTTCTCATCTCCAAGTAATTTTGAAAATATCCGATGGGTTCTCACAAATGTTACAATGTGCCGAAGAATTATATAATTGTGCGGAGACCTGCATATTTTCGAAATAATAAAAGAATATTATTCTAATGTATGTGAAGTGCACCAATCCACAGTGTGCCTGCATGGTGGAATTTGCCCTATGTACAAAGGAGATCTATGCCCAGCCGTGTGACATATATAGGCTGTTATATTACTTTACTGTTTTTCCCTTTACATCATCATTGAAGTAATGAAGATTTGGTGTTTTGATTTAACATAGTAAATAACTGAACAACAAGTTGGATGTAACACTTATTTAGGTATTTGTTCCATCTCGTCTCCACAGGACCAGCTATCTACATTCTCAGAGGAACACCCAGTGCTTTTAACAGAGGCCCCGCTCAACCCACGTCGCAATCGCGAGAAAGCGGCCGAGGTCTTCTTCGAGACCTTCAACGTACCAGCCCTCTTCCTCTCCATGCAGGCAGTGCTCAGTCTGTAAGTCTTTTTGTTAACCTACAACACCCGAGGGCTCGCAGATGCGTTGACAACTTTTAATAAAGTGGGCCCCGGCTATCTGACTCACCAGACGAAACGCGAAAGTATAACACTTCCACTTCACACCGGTCTTCTGCGAGATCGTGGACTTCCCCGGAAGCACCTTCCCATTTGTCCAACAGCGTAGACCACGGATGAGCAACGCGCGGCCCCTTAAACATGTTTATGCGGCCCGCCAAGCATTTCTAAAATTTTAATTTATTTTATCGAATTTCTCCCGTCAATATATTGTTATGAAATTAATTATAATACAATGGTTGTACATACTGAACCGAAAAAATTTTTTTTCGTTTTTCTGTTCTTTTCTTGTTTCTTTTTACCTTGCATTAAAATTTGTATATGAAATCTTTACTTCTTCTTGTTCTTTGTTATAAATAAATTTTCGTAAATTATTATGTGCGGCACGCCAAAAAAATTTGAAATTTAAATTGGCCCATTGATTAAAAAGGTTGCAACCCCTGGCGTAGACTATTGTGTGGCTCTACAAGAGTTACTGGTTGATGATTGACGCTAACCACCCATTAAGGAATAAGTATTTGCCCTCCCAACCTGCTTCATAGAACATAATTGGGACAAAATCTATGTATACCAGAAATATGTGGTGCATTCTTTTCTAGTCTCTAAACAGAAGGCTTAAGGGTCTTCTAATAATTTAACTTCATCTTACTTAATTGATTACAATTATTAATTAAATTTAAGATTTAATTTATTAAGTAGTACCGCTATTCAGATCCTTTGAAATATATTTGTGGTAATAAAAGTTATGAATGCTCTCAGATGACTAGACTGGTTATGATTAAAAAGTTACTTTCTACCCTCACGATGTTTTCCTTCAACGCGGAGTCTATTATAGGTCGTTACTAAAATTAAAAATTCGTTGGTGCTGGCACCCGGATATTAATTGTGGTTGCTCGAGTATGTTGAATTAAAATCGAGTGCCCGGACTCCGAGCTATCATGGACTGTTCAGGGTACAGTGCAAAAACTTGGCCAGCTAATTATATTAAAAGATTCATTTAAATAAACAGTGTTGAGTCGCTGATAATTCATCATCATCATCATTTCAGTCTGTTTGAGTCCACTGCTGAACATAGGCCTCCCCCATAGACTGCCATGAAGTACGATCCTGAGCCACCTGCATCCATCGACTTCCCGCACATTTGCACAGGTCGTCACTCCATCTAGTGGGGGGTCGTCCTACACTGCGATGGCCAGTACGAGGCTGCCACTCGAGAACCTTTCTTCCCCAACGGTTATCGCTGATAATTACTGGAAGATAATTTATCAATTACTATAATGTGAAAAGGAAAACATCGTGAGGAAACATTTTTTTATCAAAATATTTTCGAAATAATAAAAAAATTCGAAGATATGTGAAGTCCGCCAATCCGCCGTGGGGCCACGTGGTTGTTGGGTATCCCTAATACCCTCTTTCTAGAGGAGGCCTTTGCCCATCAGTGAGGTTATGTAAAACCTAATTACTTTACTCATAATTATTAATTAACTAGCTGTGCGCGCGACTTCGTCCGCGAGGAATATGAAATTAAAAAAAATCTAAAATAAAAGTAGCCTAAGTTACTCCTTATTACATCAGCTATCTGTCAGTGAAAGTCCCGTCCAAATCGGTCCAGCCGTTTCAGAGATTAGCCGGAACAAACAGACAGACAAAAATTGTATAAAATGTTATTTTGGTACATGTACCGTGTATACAGCCATATGCATTTAGTAAACAGTGGTTATTTTAATATTACAAACAGACAATGCAATTTTATTTATCTGTATATATGATTTTAGTAAATTTAGTCGATTGGCCATCCGTCGTTTCCCAGATACGCGACAGGTAGGACCACAGGTGTGGTTCTGGACTCCGGTGATGGGGTCACCCATGCGGTTCCGATCTACGAGGGCTTCGCGATGCCCCACAGCATCATGAGGGTCGACGTAGCGGGCAGGGATGTCACCAGATACCTGAGGTGAGAGAAAATTACAGTTTCGAGACCGTGTTCACTCAATTTCAAGTGGACTTTAACATGTTGCAAACAGGTAGGGCCACGCAGCAGCCTCGGCTGTTGCACGAATGGGCAGGCCCGTCCGGGTAAGTACCACGACCTCACAGAAGACCGGCGTAAAGTGGAAGTATGACAAATACTTTCGCGTTTCGTCTGGTGAGTGAGGTAGCCGGAGCCCAATTTTCAAAAGGTTGTCAACGCATCTGTAACTCTCGAGTGTAGCAGATGTCCATGGGTGGCGGTATTCACTTAACATCAGGTGAACCGTCTGCTCGTTTGACAAATTTTCGCATAAAAAAAAAAAAAAAAAAAAAAAGGCCGCGAATGCCGAAGACGTGGGTTCGATTCCCACAGCGGCGACAATCTTCTCGTACTATTTCTACAAATTTAATGTTGTAAACATGTTTATTCTTCAAATAATGGTACAAAAAATATTCTGCCGAGAGTTTTTTATTTTTATTTATTTATTTAACACCAACAAAGTACACACCGTAACAGAATAAATAAACAAGGTTTACAAAAAATTGATGAGTGATACCTTAATCATAGTCAAGAACTACTTTTTAACAGACAGAGACAAAACCAAAAAACTTTTACAAAACTCAAGGTGAAGTACGAACATAATATTACAAACATTAAACTAAAATACAGTAAAATTAGAGAAAAAACGGTATGTTACTGAAAAATTTTAAAGTATGTTTCTACATGTTTTAATAAAGTATGTTACTAAAAAAATATGTTACAAAAAAAATATATGAATTGAATGGTGAAGATATTTTGACAGTTAATTAGTAAGTTATGTTAATGCTTTTATATTGAATAAAGAAAGAGAGAGTAAATAATTCAAATACACATATCTCATAAGCAAATCAATGATCCATTTTTTAACGGAATTTACTCCAAGCTAATAAAAAGAATCAACTCAAACAATATTTCTTCGGAGTCATATTTTCGGTACGGATTTACAATCCTGACCAGATGTATAGATCTCCGGAAAAGTTTCTCCGGAGAGCTGTCAAATGTTTTCTTTTTTTTTTCACTTTAAATTATGTACCTCGCAGAATTTTCTTTTGACAAGAGCTCGGACATCGATACGGAATAAACGAATTCTTACCCAGACTTTGTTGCAGATAATAAATGATAATAATTCGTCTGGCTCAAGGGATAGGGTCGCTATCAAATACCATTTGGGTCGTCAGTAAAACAAAATTCGTTGATGTCTCCACTCAGTACCTTATTGGAGCCTGCTTCTCTTTCAAGCTACTCCTGTCTGCTTCTCTTTCAAGCTACTCCTGTCTGCTTCTCTTTCAAGCTCCTCCTGTCTGCTTCTCTTTCAAGCTACTCCTGTCTGCTTCTCTTTCAAGCTACTCCTGTCTTCTTCTCTTTCAAGCTACTCCTGTCCGCTTCTCTTTCTGTTAACGTCTCCATTCGGTGCCTTATTAGTCTGCTTCCCTTACAGGCTACTTCTGCGCAAGGAGGGCGTCAACCTGCGCACCTCTGCCGAGCTGGAGATCGTGAAGGCGATCAAGGAGCGAGCCTGCTACCTCTCCCCCAACCCGCTGAAGGAGGAGAGCATGGACTCGGAGAGGGCGCAGTACACGCTGCCCGACGGCACGCAACTGGAGGTGGGTCGGTTCGAATCCGGTTGCACAGTCGCCATCTATATACAGCGTGTCGTTACCATCGCGACAATAAATGAACACACGTCTAACGTGTGTGAGAATTTAAATTATGGATTTTGTTTAACGTTAATATTTTTTTATGATTATTCGCAAGTAGCGTTAGACGTGTGTTCATTTATTGTCGCGATGGTAACGACACGCTGTATGTATGTATATGTGTATTTATATGTATATATTTTGTTAGCCTTTTGTATATACATTTATTTCTTTACTTACATATTTATAAATACCTTATTATGAATTATGATTGTACATAAGTATTTTTCTTTTTCATTCATTTAGTTAAACCACACCTTTATTCCTAAATTATTTATTTTTAATCCATCCAAAGGTTGCCTGGAAGAAATTACTCTTAGTAATAAGGCCGCCCATTGTACCCATCACTTCTACATTAAGTTTTAATTTTTGTTTGTTTTATTTTTGGTGTGCAATAAAGTATATTAATTAATTAATTCATTCATTAATGTAAGGATGCGGAAGGATAGTAAGAAAGGCAAGCCAGTACACTGTGCTAGGGCGACGCAGCAGCCTCGGCCGTTGCACGAATGGGCAGGCTCGTCCGGGTAAGTACCACGACCTCACAGAAGACCAGCGTAAAGTGGAAGTATAATACTTTCGCGTTTGGTCTGGTGAGTGAGGCGGCCGGAGCCCAATTTTCAAAAGGTGTTCAACGCATCTGCAACCATCGGGTGTAGCAGATGTCCATGGGCGGCGGTATTCACTTAACATCAGGTGAACCGCCTGCTCGCTTGGCAACTTTTCACGTTAAAAAAAAGTAAGCCAGTTTTAAGGCGCACTGACGAACGCAACCTTTAGCCAGAGAGCCCGTATGACGTCCGGGAGAGTGAGATAGATGGCGTATCTAAAAACTGGCCTATTTGAAATTCTTGTTTTCCCGACGTTGCTAGCTCCCATACCTGTACTAATTGTGAAGCTATAGAAAATGTAAACGAACCAATGTCAACATATTTGTTCGCTAATGTAATGTTTGGACGAGAAAGCTGAAAGCTGAATATTTTACAGCGGATGACATTGTACCGTGAAATGGTAATTGCTAAATTCATGCTACTAGAGTAGCTTAAATATGATCATAGGTACAATATTCCAGCCTTCCTCTACTCAACATCTATATGGATTCGCATGCAATTGAATTGAAGATTGACTTTATTAACACTTAGAAGAATACTTTTAAAATTTTATTGTGTGTTATTATATGTATTAACCATAAAAAATATACGAGTATGGTCCGTACAACCATGTGACACTATTTATTTACTATTAACATACTAGCTTTGTTAATCATCATCATCATCATCATTTCAGCCTGTTTGAGTCCACTGCTGAACATAGGCCTCCCCCATAGACCGCCAGGAAGAGCCTGAGCCAAGGAATATGAATGTTATATCCTTTGTTAATATGAATCAAAATTTGCCTCGTTCGCAGATTGGACCGGCGAGATTCCGAGCGCCCGAAGTCCTGTTCAGACCCGACCTCATCGGCGAGGAGTGCGAAGGTACGAAATCGGGTTCCAACATCCTTTTCATGGAACCGTCTGATTAAATGCCTGTGGAGATTGGACGGGGTCTGCGTCAAAGTAGATACAGAATGAGGGCGATATGCGCGAGGTTGTAACGACCTTGAGATTTCCAACACTGTATTGTTTTTGGCTGGTGATGGCGACCCTTGGCGACTTATCCAGTGGCTGTCATCAGAAATTTTACGGCTCCCTCAAGCACTACACACAGAAATATAACACTTCGACTTGCAGCGGGTCTTCTTTGAGTCCGTGGTACTTACCCGGACGGACCTGCCCATATGTGCAACAGAGAAGACTGTTGGCTGGCCCTATCACTTGGAACTTCTTTTTGAAGTCGATTGAAAGTATTGTCTTGTTAAAAAAATCGCGAAATGGCGCCTTTAAACAACTCCCCCGTTCCAGGTCTGCACGAGGTCCTAATGTTCGCCATCCAGAAGTCCGATATGGACCTCCGCAAGGTGCTGTACCAGAACATCGTGCTCAGCGGGGGCTCCACGCTGTTCCGGGGCTTCGGGGACAGGCTCCTGGCGGAGATCAGGCGTTTGGCCCCCAAGGACATGAAGATCAGGGTGAGTGGTGCTGCCTGAGGGTCCAAACGTAGTTATGGGTAATTGGGATGGTGTAATACCATACTGCTCGACTTCTGCTGTTAAAGTGTTGTTCCGCTTTACATTATATGACATATGTAAGCGAATGTGAATCGTGAGGCGAAGACTGTTGAGTGCTTACCACAGCTTATGAGATCAAAATGCTTTTTAAAAAAACATCACGTGATAAATGGACGAACCCAAAAACTGCTGCGTGGCCCTACCGTTGGGTGAAGTATGATTGTCTGTTAACTTCTAGACCGCGGCACGTAGCTTTAATAAGCCTTCCATCCCAGTGGGAACAGTCGCTATCTTCTGTCTACTTCTAGACTTCGGCGCGTAGCTTTAATTAGTCTTCCATTCCAGTGGGGAGGGACGTCATCTTCTGTCTACTTCTAGACCTCGGCGCGTAGCTTTAACTAGCCTTCCATACCAAGTGAGAGAGGCGTCATCATCTTCTGTCTACTTGCAGATCTCGGCGCCCCAGGAGCGGCTCTACTCGACCTGGATAGGGGGCTCCATTCTGGCGTCACTCGACACATTCCGCAAGATGTGGGTCTCGAAGAGGGAGTACGACGAGGAGGGCCACAGGGCCGTCCACCGCAAGACATTCTAGACTCTAAACGGCTTAGCGTAAGGTTCATTTTGCGTTGCGTTGTGATGTGAGAGGACGCTGTCATAATGTGGATATGCCTGTGTTATCGAAGCGCTCGCTGAAAATGTTCTCTCGTATTTAGGTATGATCTTATCGAACGATATATTTAATTTATTTATTCGATAATAATACGAATAGGTCTTAACTCATTTTTTCTATTTGGCAAGTAGTAATCCAAACTAGTCTCTTGCACGGTTTGGAAAATCTATGAAGGAATTTATAGCCTTAGAATGGCTTTTACAATAATAAATTCTAAACTTGTATGTAGCCCATATATCTCTCTATCGTTTTACTAGTTTTGTTTATTGTTAAGTTAAAAAAAAATTCAATTCTGGAAAAACACGGTACATTGATGTTATTATCTCTAAACACTCTCCAATCAGATATATGAAACGAATTTATATGCTACAATGCAATGGAGTCTACGTCTATCACATAACCAGGTAATAAGATTACACAAATACTAGCGGACCCAACAGACATTGTTCTGTACACAAGTCCATCGTCTTAAATTCGAAAATTTCAAACTTTTTTGAGTAGCTTTGTGAATCTAAACCGTTTTCGAATCCACCTGAAGAAAAATTTCATTAAAATCGGTCCAGCCGTTAACTAGGAGTTCATTGACATACACACATACAGAAGAAATATATATATATAAAGATTAGGGACTGATGAGTTTATAACAAATTTGTAATAATTAATATACTACAACATTTAGAACAACATTTTATTTGTTATATCTACTAGACCATCACTGTAATCATTTGTCCCTGAAACATTTTCTGTTCATATATGAAACAAAAGTGAGTATACATCGTGTCGTTACCATCGCGACAATAAATGAACATACGTCTAACGCTACTTGCCAATAATCATAAAAAAATATTAACGTTAAACAAAATCCATAATTAAAAAAAAATATTTTTCAAACTAATTAAGTAAAAAAAAAAAATTGTAACATCCTATACAACTCGCGCCACAGCGTCGTATTACAAGCCTCTCCTTCTAACAGTATGTTTTGTCTCTTTTAAATTCATTCAACCCATTCATATGCTTTGTGCCCTTTACAAATGAACTTTAAGTTACGCTTTTATAGGTAAGGGTGTTCTAAAATTCTTTGTTTTGGAAAATTTAATAACTCTGTAAATATTGATGTTTAAAGAATTTAAATGTTTTATACAACTTTAAAAAGTTATCCCCTATATATGTGTTCATTTATTGTCGCAATGGTAACGACACGCTGTATATTGATATAGACTTGAATGAGCTCAAGAAAATAGAGAGAAAGAAGAAAGTTAATAACGTGGCATAGATATTTTTTTTCTGTTTCCATAGACAAATTGCTTATAATTATCTAAGATTCGCGATTGGTTTATTAATGGAGCTTTCAGTAGAGACATTAAAGATTTTATAATACTTCAATTTCTGTCTTAAATGCTTCTCGATAAGTAGGCAAATAACGAAATGATTCTATGTGGTCCTTACTTGAGTTTATTTTAGCTTTAATACAGTTAAAATTAAGTCTTTGACACTTTAGTCTTTAGTGTAGAGCTTTACCAATGCAGAACTTAAGATTTGGCAGCTAATTATAGTTGGCTTTTCATAATTTACACTTAGAAGTTATCAATATATCACATTAAATAGGTTCAGTACATGTTGAGCAATTGGTTCATAATCTCCTTTAGATAAACCAGTGGCCCATCCAGGCTTTGTCTAGGTTTAATCCTGTTTTTTACATTCAACTCCTCCAGTAGATGTAGTCTGCGTTTTATTTCATGCATTTATATTACATATAGCCTGAGTCTATCTGTTAATTTCAAATGCTGAAAGATTTTTAAAAATAAGTACAGCAGTTTTGTAGGTCATCCTGCAAGAAAAACTAACAAAAATCCCAAATTTTTACTTTATTATATTAAGAAATGTTAATTTAATAAAGAAAAAGTTTATTAGATTTTACAATTGTATGCTGGATGTATTAACTGTCTTATATTTCGTGCATATATATTACAATATATACTGTGTCTATCTGTTTATTTCAAATGGTGAAAGAATTTTTAAAGTATGTGCAGCGGCTTTGAAACTGTCTGCTGTATCGCTTCATTCTAGTTGGGTAAAAATAATATGGCTTTCCCGATTGGCATATCCACATTACTTAATGCCTCTATTGCGAATGGAAGCACGAATTCCCAGCATTAACTTATGTTATTTAAGTGAAAAGTTTATATAAATACATATATATACAAATCGGATCTGAAGTTTTATTGCCATATCAAATAAAGAGTTTAATGTCTTGAGTCTGCTTTAAGCTACAAGTTTATTACACCTGTCATTCGAAGGGGTAAGCAAGGTTAAAAACTCGAGTATATTTTTTTATGAATATCATTTATAATATAAAAATAAAATCGTAATAAAAAAGAAATACCTAAATGGCGTAGCGGGTAGGGTACAGCCTCCTGCGCTTTAGGGTGTGTGATCAATCCCCACTACTGGAACAATATTTTGTGATGAACATAGTGTATTTCCAGTGTTTATTATTTGTGTACTATTAGTGTTATTTACAAAAGTAAAGTATGTTTAAGTAATTTTATCAGTTATCTAGTTCCACACCAAGCGTAGTTTTTGGGACTAGAGAATGTGTGAAAATATGTCCTAAAAATGTTTGTATTTGTTAATTCCAGTTTTTTTTATATTATATTTATATATTATTATATTTATATATATTACATTATTTTATTTTATTATATATATATATAAATAGCATTTTTCTATATATAGAAATTTGAAGTATCCGATGGCTCAGTTGCTAAGCCATTGGCTTCGGCGCTGCGAGTCTTGGGTTCGATTCCCATACGAGGTAGGTTCCGGATCTGGGTGTAAGAGCCGCGATAGCTCAGTGCTCAGACGTTAGCTTTTAATTCAATACTAATATTCGAATTTTGTGGAGAAAAAAAAATTGACAAAAAAGAGGTTACCTACGGAGTTTCTTTCGCCTGTTTCTTCTCCGTTAGAACCTCATTACGAAATGGTGGCAGATTAAAAAAAACGATAATCGATAAATGCAATTCATTTTTCTTATGTCGATGAAAAACTGATTTTGATTTACTAGCGACCCGCCCCGGCTTCGCACGGGTGCAATGTATTATACATATAAACCTTCCTCTTGAATCACTATCTAGTAAAAAAAACCGCCTCAAGGTCCGTTGCAGAGTTTTAAAGATCTAAGCATACATACGGACAGACAGACAACGTCTTTGTTTTATACTATGTAGTAATACTCGAGCAATCCGAATTCATATCCCAGCACCAATGAAATTGGTAATTTTAAATGCTGGCTTATCACGTGCTCAGCGGGGAAGAAAATAACACCGCCGCTATAACAATAATTTTCAACAAAAAAAAAACCGACTTCAAACAGGAAACTAATAAAACATTGTCAACGCCTATAACATTTGAGGATTGCCCTCGATTTCTCTGGTATGGCATCATCAGATCTGGGTTTCCTAATCATGGTACCACCCTTGGAATATCTCCTTTCCAACAAAAAAAGAATCATCAAAATCGGTTCATAAATGACGAAGTTATTCCCGAACATACATGAAAAAATAAAAATATGTACGGTCGAATTGAGAAACCTCCTCCTTTTTTGAAGTCGGTTAAAAAATAGTGAAAAACGGAATAAAAAAATATTTAAGCGGGGCTCCCATATACCTGTTCTTTTTATGTAGTTTTATTTTTTTCCAAAAATTAGAATAAAATTTAACTAATAAAAATATTCACAAAAAATTTACCTCCTAAAAAATTTCCATTGTATATTTTTCATCCCTTACTATTACGCGCTAGGTACCAATGCAATCCAACTCAAGGCTAACCAAAATATAAAGACATCGTTAATACCGTAATTCGTATTTAAGGGCAACAGAGTTTTTTTCCATGCCATTAAGATTCAAAATTACTTAACTGCGCGCTTTGTCGCCCGTTACGGCTCAAGGCTAAACAAAAGAGTAAAAATATAATAATATCGTTGTAATACTCGTTGATACCATGATCAGTATTTAAATAAAACGGATCTTATTTGGATGGAATTAAGATTCAAAATGACTTAACTTATTCATAATATCTGTTTAAAAATCTGATATTGTGCCTTGCTTGCCGTACTGCTCTAACTAGTGTAATATTTGTATCTCACGCTCTTTGTCGCTCAAAATCTGTTTAAAAATCTGATATCGTGCATTGCTTGCCGTCCCGCTCTAACTAGTGAGTATTTATATCTCACGCGCTTTGTCGCTCGATATCTGTTTAAAAATCTGATATCGTGCATTGCTTGCCGTCCCGCTCTAACTAGTGAGTATTTGTATCTCACGCGCTTTGTCTCTCGAAATCTGTTTAAAAATCAGATATTGTGGTAAACGCGTATGATATCGCGATTCGTGTCGGTATAGCGAGCGAGCACGGTACATCAGATTTCGGAAATATCAGATATTGTAAAATACATAGATATTGAACGAGCCAGTAAGCGATATTCGGATATTGAACTAATATCTAGTTTTCATATCTGATACGATTTGTATCGCCCACTTATGTATTTGTTGTTAAAGCAGCAACAGTAATAGATCTTCTATGGCAATTTCAACTGTCTAACTATAACGGCTCATGTAATTAATAAACGCCATGTGCAGTTTTCACGTAAATATTGAAAATTTTTAGTACCATAATATCGAGAAACACACTCAACCTTATATCTGCAGTTTCAATAATGTAAAGTCGAGTGTTATAGATGGTATTTAATCATTCGCCGCCAACTAATAACCTTGACACCATTGTTGAGAACTATCTCTCATTCATGTTATTTCAGTTACTTTGTGTTAAAGATGTGCTATTTTTATTAACGCGGGTGTTAATCGAATAAAACAACTGTCATGCCAAACTTTTATGAAAGGCCAGAAATAAAATAAAAGCTAGCAATGGCATTGACCTTCGTGTGATTTTGTTTGCTTGACATTAGTGATAACCGGTATTGACATTTGTTTGCCACATGAATTAATAAAATGGGCCCCGACTACTTCATTCAGCAGACGAAAGGCAGAAATTTTTATTTTATTTTATTTTTTATTTTTATTGATTAGGAAAACAAACAGCACTTACATAAAATAAATAGTACAAAATACACACTGATATGTGGGCCAATAAAGTTTTCACCACTAGCTATTATACACTTAGCATCAGAAGTATACAATTATAACACAATTATAATATCTTATTTTAACGGTATTTACATTTAAAAAGGAAAAATGTTAAAGATAAGAAAAAAAGATACAAATACAAAACTAAAAACCTAAATTATTTGAAAAACAACATTTACAGATTATATATTTATTTCCATTTTGATTGCGACAAAACATTTTTCTATACTATCTCGAAAAATGTCAATACGATAGAAGTTTTTGTTATACTTACGACAAACTCTTACAGTAAAACGGTTTTTTGTGTAGTTCGTGTTACACAACTGTATATAAAACAGATCATTCGAACGAGAGTTGACTTTGGAACACTTAAATGAAATATTTGAAAGTAGATAGGGAGATTCAATAAAGTTTTTAATTGATTTTAAAAGACACATTTGATCTCTTAACTCTCTTCGCCTTTCAAGGGAAATTAATTTATAAGTAAAAGCAGGACCAAATTTGTGTTTCATCCTCCTGACAAAAGTAGAATAGACTGAATCTTTTCTATTACATTTATATGTGAGGAATAATGTGGATTCCACACGGTTGATGCGTACTCCAACTGAGACCCCACAAGTGAATTATAAAGTACAACTAAAGTAGCTGGCTTTTTAAAGTGTACACCCTGTCTGAGAACAAACCCTAGCATCTTATATGCATGTTTTGCGATATTTTCGAAGTGGGACAGAAAGGACAGATCACTATCAATTTGAACCCCTAGATCTCTCACCTCAGACACTCTTCTCAAAGTGTGATTAAACAACGAGTAATTAAAGGACGTAGTCTGTTTTTTTCCTGGAAAAGGATATCGTACAACATTTATCAGTGTTCAAAAATAGTTTGTTTTGTAAACAGTAGTCTAACAGTTTGTTTAACTCTTTTTGTAAATTAACACAGTCCTGATATGTACAAATGACTTTAAATATTTTAGTATCATCTGCATACAAAAGTACCTCAGAGCTAGAGAAACAATCAATCACGTCGTTGATAAAGATGTTAAAAAGCAGTGGTCCGAGATGAGAGCCCTGGGGAACCCCAGAAGTAATAGGAACAAAACTTGATATGTGACCCTTAATAGCAACCGCCTGAGTTCTATCTCGAAGGTACGAAGTCAGCCACCTCAGCAGATCGCCGTGTATACCGATGATCCCAAGTTTACGTATTAACAGTGAGTGGGAAATTTTATCGAATGCCTTGGAATAGTCAGTATACACAGCGTCAACCTGAAGTCCCTTGTCCATAGCTACCAGAAGAATGTCAACGAACTCATTCAAATTCGTTTCAGCTGAACGACCATTTATAAAACCATGCTGTTGTTTAATTAGTAAGGGCTTTATAGCTGGAAATAAAGTGTCGTAAACAATCTTTTCAAAGAGCTTCGGAATTGTCGACAATTTGGAAATACCACGATAATTCCTTACATTTTGTTTATCGCCACATTTGTGAATAGGGACGATAAGAGACTTTTTCCAATACGCTGGAACATTCCCTTGCGATAGTGAGAAGTTGAAGAGCAAACTTAGAGGATAAGCTAGCTGCTTACTACAATTCTTTAGAAAAATTGGTGGTAAGCCATCTGGGCCACACCCTTTCGATGTATCTAATCTAGATAGGTACTTTTCAACTGCTTCTACTTCAACATCTATCTTACTCAAAACTGTATTATTTGCTTGAAGATTAAAGTAATCGAAATTATTAACTTCATATTCAGACTCAAAGACAGACTTGAAAAATGAATTAAATAGATTTGATATTGATAAACCATCTGAAGCGGATTCATTATCTAAATAAACAGTGTCTGGTATGTGACCATTATCCTTCCTTCCGTTTGCGTTTTTTTGGATTTGATAAAGGACCAAAAGTTTTTAGAGTTATGGCAAATATTGTTTTCTGAGCGTCGATTAAATTCCTCGTAACAAGTACTTAAGTATTTTTAGATCCTTTCGTAAATCAGAAAATATTTTATAATCACTATCTCGTTCATAGACTTTCCATCTCTTATGTGCCTTTAATTTTTTTTTACTAATTTAATTAAATTTCGTGTGTACCAGACGGGAAACTTATCAGCATGTCTTACTGTTTTATGAGGAACAAAATTCTTAACTATTTCATTTAAAATTTTATAAAAGCTTTGAACTGCTGAAACGACATCATAGGGATTTAGAATTTCCCTCCAATTTATAGTTGAAAGTTCCAAATTAATTAAATCATAATTTGCTTTATGAAATTGACGTACGATCCGTGGCGCAGGACGCAGACTAGACTCAACAAAACCTACATCGACATTAAATGACAACGCAGGATGATGTATGTCTTCTGGCTCGGCCAGGGGCTTTGCTTGCGATACCTGACACTCAACGTTAGATAGCACTAAGTCCAAAATCCTTCCGTTTGCGTTTCTTATTCCATTTAATTGAAACAAGCCCGTATATGAAATAAAAGATGACAGTTGAGTAGTAAATATGTTTTTAGATAGATTGTGAATTGTGAAATTTGTTACTTAACTAAAAGACGAACACGTCCAGTCGGCATGACTAACATTGAAGTCACCTAATATCAAAAATTTATCATTAGGATAATCATTTACGATGTCAGAAATATATTCATAGAATAACTGCTGTGAAGAGGCTTGATGGAGGTTTTGAGGGAAATAACAACAAAATAAACGCACTCTTCTGGCAATATGAACGTTACGGGCGCTGTGTTGTATGATACTAATACATGTAACATCGGCATCAGGAAATTTTGGAGGAGGGACCATACTATGCGTTTCTATTGTAATACCTAAGCGTATTGCTATCAAGGTTCCACCTCCTTTGGACATTCCCAGTCGCTCACAGTCTCGGTAAGTTCGGTACACACAGTATCTATGATCAAATAATTCTGTGTCGAAAATTCCTGGTAATAACCAAGTCTCCGTGAGGAAAACAACATCATAATCAGAATTTATAATATTATTGTAGAATAAATTTGTTTTTGTACGTAAACCCCGGACATTTTGATAAAATATATTAAGCTCCATTATATGTTTTTTCAAGGACTTGAATAGTTATTATAATTATTAATGATGCAAAGTACTTAAAGCATTCAATTAAATTAATAAATATTTGTTCAATTATACAACTTTTAGAGTATGTTATGTATTGATGTTTTCTATAAAACAAAATTGAGTAATTTATTCTACAATCTGATAAAATTAGTGTTAAACATTTAAAAAACAGTAAACAAAAATTCATAGACTCATTATTAATACACTCATGACATTCAAGTATCATATTTAAAAAAAATGTATCTTAACTTATTAAAAAAGATAACTAGTTTTTTAACAAGCATCTTATAGTTGAAATTTCTGCCGCAATCACGTCACGTCGGTCGTACCCGGACGGACGTGATCATTCGTACTACAGCGAAGACTTGCGTGGCCTTACCACAGTTAATTAAACTAGCTGGTGCTCGGTTCCGAGTAGCTAAATTTCATCCCAAAGTGAAAGTCTATCTTTACATCAAAATTCATCAAAAAGGTTCTGCGGTTTAATCGTGTAGGCGTAATAGTAAACAAAGACCGTATCGTATCTTAATAAAATAACCACGGAATAACAAAAATAATAAATAGCCATTTTTCTCGTAAAAAATTTCTTGTCAATAAGAATCATGTCAGCCACGGTTAAAATTACTAATCTTTTAATATGGCCTTTTAGTCACATTGCAATCCTGTAGCTATTACAAAAGGGCTATAATTATGATTTAAAACAACAAGTAATATGCATTATCAAGCATTTATTAGAGATTAAAATTATCAGGTAATATTACATCTATTATAACAGACTGCTTGTAGCAAATATCACGATTATTGAGACACGAACTAATCTATTATATCGCTAAACACTCAATAAAACAGATAAAGATAACCCGCAGTTCAAAATACTTATGGCTCTTCATTCAGTGTTCATTTGCCGTCGCGGGTGGTTTTATAAAAAGAGCAAAAATGGCGCCCAAAGCTCCAATCGTCAAATTCAACAATGGAAACACAATTCCCGCCATCGGATTGGGGACATGGAAGGTAGGTAGAGATTTTATTTTTATCTAAATAATATTTCTATTTTACAATATTCTATCTCTTAAGTCATTACGATTTAATTTTATACGAGTTTTATTTATTCGTACAACACTTTTATTGATCTAATATTTACAAGATTAAATCTATCTAAAATTACATATTATTACAAATTACAACAATTTTGATTTTTCACTTTTTCTTAAATTACTGTTCTTTTTATCGTAATTTTCGTAGGTAAGGAAGCATAATATTCAAAAATGTACCATTAAGTACCTCTGTTTCCACTAGGACAAAAATTCCATATTATCATTCCTATCTATAACTACCTTGAACTCTGTCGAAAATATCATCTAATCCCGCAACTATTCGCCATGATAAAACCGACTACGTCTTTATACTTATAATTCTTAATAATGTACTTGATTGCCCTGAATTATTAGCCAAACTATAATAAATATCCCGGACAAATCAATTCGTTTCACGCCGCCTTTGCATTAAGCCATTAATCCAAAGCGTCATCAAATTACAGACAAAACAGTTATAATGTGGAAGCAATTACAGACTTGTAGCTTCATTTAAATAATTATGTAAACTGCGATTTCGATCCATTCGCGACGAGTATGTCTTAAGCCTTAAATTTTTTAATTGGGATCTCGTATGGGTGAACTAGTCTTGTAAATTTCACTTATGTTAATTAAATATATGAAATTGCCGTTTTGTATTAAATAAGTAAAAGTTATTTCTTCAAACTTTCTTTTTTTTTTCTAAATGAAACTAATTTTTACGAATTTATGGAGTTTATTTTTATTTAAAAACTTTTTGCACATACAATGTACAATGGCGGATCGCTCTACACGAGCAATATACCTAAAGACCCCCACGTCAATCTCGCGCTTTTCGCGGATGACAGGGCGCTCTTTTATTCAGACCGCAACCTTAGTCAACTAACCACTCGACTCCAAAACGCCGCCGACCGCCTCGGCGATTGGTTCCGCAAATGGAGAATAGAAATAAATCCCGAAAAGAGTGTGGCGATTCACTTCATACGAAGTACTTACCCGTCACATCTTTATAATGGCCCTCGCCAATGCAGAAAGTTGGGGCAAATATCCCTTTATGGCCAACCGCTCCCCTGGGAGAAAAAGGTCAAATACTTAGGAGTCACTCGACTCGCGTATGTCATTTACTACGCATATTAATTAATGTTTTCAATAGAGCCGCGTTCGTCTCCGGCCGGCTACACAATTTAACTAACGCTAAAAGTAAAATGCCCTTAAGACACAAATTATTATTATATAAAACCTGCGTACGACCTATTATGCCCTACGCATGCATGACCTTCGCCCACACGCACCCTACTCGCTTGTACAAGTTGCAAATAGTACAAAATAAGTTCATCCGCCGCGCAACCGGTGCGCAGTGGTGTCAACGCAACGTCGACCTGCACAGCGATTGCAGACTCCCGACGATTCGCGAATATTTTAAAGACCTAAGCAAACGGTTCTTCCATAGAGCCGAACATCATCCCAACCCTCTGGTGGTAAGCGCAGCAAATTACCAACCCGACACAAACGCGAACGTCAACAAGCGTCGCCCGCGAAACGTCCTCATCGACCCGGTCGATGAAGGGGACTTAGATACGTCGGACCCACGGCCGGGGTTCCCACCGGATAACACTACACTAACAGATAGTTAGTACTACAACAAACACACTAGTTCGCCCTCGCCTCCGAGCACGGCGAGACCAACACAACGCGTACACAAGGTACACCCGCGTTCCGGGGCGGTTCTCACCGTTCCCAGCCACCGATTAGCTAATTGCACCGTCGACGGCTGGGTTTCGATCCGAACCGCGATCTCGATGGCCCTTAGATGACACACCATAGTTAAACGCACGCATGAACACATGCGTGGCCCTACTCACAGCGGAGGGCCCAAACCCGTGGGTTCTGGCTAGCCCAACGGTTCTGTGTCAGATGAAGCTTTAATAGTCTCGGGACTGAAAGCAAAAACATCAGTTAATACAAGACACTACAAGATACAATGGCGGACTTAAAGGTGTTCTCTACCAATTAACCGACAAATAATTTTAATTTTAGTTCCCGACGTTTGAACCCTTTACAGCGTTCATGGTCACGGGACGGACTGAGGCGTTGGACGTCTGATTGTCATAGTTAACCCGGGCTACCGTCAGTTTTTGAATTATTAATTTTGTGTTCGATCTGTGCAGAGGGAATTTTTTATTTCTGTTAATCAAAGTAATTTTTTCGTCTATCACGCGAACAGTCGATGCACCTTTGCCTGATCTTTGGTAGTTTATTGATGCCTTTCTTGTAAAAATCAGCTGGACGGGAGACAACAAACTCTTCAAAGGCGTTTTGTACTGTCTCTTGGTAATTGAATTTTTTCCCCGCTAAAAAGCTGTTGATTGAAAAAAGTAATAGTCGCTAGGTGCAAGGTCTGGTGAGTATGGCGGATTGATATCGATTGACGAACAGAATCCATTTTCGTTTTTGTACAAAGTACTGTATGTAAAAGTAAAACGCGAAAAAAATATGAATGGAAAAGTTGTTTACTATTGTTTATTAGTCTGAATTTGAATCTAAAAGTCGCTATTGTGGCGGCCCCGGGGCTGTTGCCACGGTTGCCCTCCCCTAAATCCGGCCCTGCTAACACGCTATCACCATCATTCATTTCAGTCTGTTTGAGTCACCCGCTGAACATAGGCCATAATTACACAAAGCTTTAAAGTATTGATTTGATTTTGATTTAATCCATCATGAAGTCAAAAATGTTCAGATGTAATAAAAATACAAAGCTAATCAATAAATAATAGACTGACTTTGGAAATAGAACTTCCTGTTTTTAAAACAAAACTAATTTGAATTTAAAATCCACAGCCAATCTAAACTTTTTTTGTTTGAAATCGCCAGTACTGAAGAACTGCAATTTCATACGTAAACACCTATTAATATCCATTTGTAATTTGAAATTACCATGTCAATTAGCTAAAGTACTTGTTTGCTTATCTTTAACTATACTATTACTATAAAAAAGGCTTGTTATTGGCTGTTAGTCATCTACTTTAGGATTATTTAGATTTGTATAGCTGTAACTCTTCCATGTCTCAAATAAACAAATAAAGGAGGATGAAGTCGTGAGGAAACCTACAAATAATATTCAATATAAGACAAGCGCGAGTTGGACTCGCGCACCAAGGGTTCTGTACAATTATTTATAAAAACGGCAAAAATTCGTGCCTTTAATATGGGAGCCCAAATAATTTTTTTTAGTATTTTTGTTATAGCGGTGACAGAAATACATCGTCTATGAAAATTTTAACTGTCTAACTATCTCGGTTCGTGAGATACAGTCCGGTGACAGACGAGCAGACAAACAGACAAACATCAGTCTTAGTAATAGGTTCTTCCCGTTTTGCCCTTTGGGTACGGAACCCGAAAAGGTGAAAGCTAGCATTATTCCGAACCATTTCGACGGCGTTAATCTTGTTCCATGCAGTTTAGTTTAATTTGCATTCACTTTATTTCACCCACCCGAATCCTTGCAAAGTTTATCCTTCGTTAATGGAAAGGATTGATGGAGAAGGATTGGCCAAGCGCTCGCCTTTAATTCAATTTCAATATACCTGTTTTCGACCCCCTATCCGGCACCAATGAAATTGTTAATTTTGTGCTGACTTATCACGTGCTCAGCGGTGAATGAAAATATCGTGAGGAGCTCTATATATTTATAATTTTTTTATAGTGCTAATCTCTGAACTTAAGATAAAACATTAAAATTTGTAGAAAAAGTACGAAAAGATTGTTGCCGCTGTGGGAATCGAACCCTCGTCTTCGGCATTCGCGGCCTGACGCTCTAGCCACTAAGCTAAACGGCAGATTGCCACACCGACGAAAATCTTAACGTCTTTTATCTACATTGGTTTTTAACATTTGAAGCAATGCTTGACTCATCCATTGTTACATCCTTTCCAGCATACAGACAATTTCGAATATTGTTTTACAACGATAATTCGAACGAGAGATGTCGCCATTGCTTTTTTAGAAATTTTTGGTTTATATAGTGCTTATCTCTGCACTTAAGATTAAACATTAAAATTTGTAGAATCTTTTCGTACTTTTTCTACAAATTTTAAAAGCTCTACATATTTTAAAAAAAAAAATATTTCGAAGATATGTGAAGTGGTGGAATATGCCCTGATACCCTCTGTTGAGGCCTTTGCCCAGCCGTAGGATACGTATAAGCTGTTACTTTACATTACAATAGTAGAGGGGCGTGATAATTCTAATGAGTGAATTTGATATTCAACGAGGTGCTTGTATGTACATAGATAATGAAGTCATTGACCGACTAGGATAATCGAATGATAATAGTTTCTCATTTGCATTTTCTATTTACAATTGCATAATAAGCGACGAAATGCATTAGTTTTTGATGAGTTTCTTCGAGGTGGTAACACTTTGTGACGTGTTTTTTTTAAATATATCTGACGCTTTCGCTTCCGGTCCATAGACTATTAAAGATTCATCGAACGCAGACGTGGAATCTCTGACTTAGAATCACGAATCTACGAGCTTGATACGGCCCTCCGCATTGGGTAGTGAGTTATCTATGGGGAGGAATGTCACAAATTTACCATCGATGCTAATCGGTGGCTGGGAGCGGCGAGAACCGCCTTAGAACGCGGGCGTACCTATGAATGAATGGATGGATATTCTTTACAGCACACCAAAATAAAATAAAAAGCCGGCCAAGTGCGAGTCGGACCCGCGCACGAAGGGTTCCGTACCATTATATGTAAAAACGGCAAAAAATCACGACTTTTGTATGGGAGCCCCACTTAAATATTTTTTTATTGTTTTTTAGGAGTTGTTGTTATAGCGGCAACAGAACACCATCTGTGACAATTTCAACTGTCTTACTATCACGGTTCATGAGTTACAGCCTGGTGACAGACGAACAGACAGCAGAGTCTTAGTAAT